CCTGCCTTGATACCCTCACCTGACAAAAGTAAGTGGATAATATTAAAAAAGAAAGCTCACAGGTTTCCTCAGAGATCTAACTTATGTTCCTTTCACTTTTCTCAGGATGCTTCTGTGGCCTGGGATTGATTTACGGCAATAAATCGTGCACCATGCCTCCAATCACCTTCCAGGACCTTCCACTAAACATCTACATGGTGATATTTGGGACTGGAATCTTCGTGTTTGTGCTCAGCCTGATATTCTGCTGTTACTTTATCAGGTAACGTCCCCCAATCCATTAGTGGAGCCCTGTAGAGTAGTGGTTAGAGCACTCGCCTCACGAGCGAGAGGACCCTGAACAGGACAAAAGTTAGGCAAGTCTCCTTACTCTACTCGGCTGTTAGTCGATCAGATCGCTTATGGAGATGTAATAATCTTTCTCGGGTAATAATCCTTAAAAGAAAGGGTCGGTCACTCAATCCACAACTGTTTGTGGGCACTGCTGTTTTATGCAGTTGTGTGGAGCCAGCGATAAGTGTGACCAGTTGTGCAGCCTTTGCCTGTCAGCCTGGGAGCTGTGTGAGAGGAGGTACCACCACATCCATCCATCCCACTGGGCTATATCCAGCGACTCCCTCACACCAAATGTTATTTATACACTAACGCTAGCAATGTGTTCAGCAATCAGATGGCAGGAAATTGCTATTGTCTATAAGAAAAGTTCTACTGACAGCTCCTGTTAACTGTCTCAGTGCGCAATGGAGGCTTCAGAGAGTAACTCAGGGACACAACCACACACCGTCCTTCAGCACAGCACCAGAACTGATGGCAAGAACAACAGCAAGTTACATTTGTAGATGCCTTTCACGTCAGGAATGGTTAGCAAGCGAGAGGACCCGGGTTCGATTCCCAGGCAAGGCAAAACCTTAGGAGAGTTTCCTTCCTAGAGTTATGCACCTCTGTTATAGAGGGTAATAATCCCTTCCAAAAAACAGAATAATAATTTGGTCACTCAATCCAAGACAGTTTGTGGGACCCTGTTGTGCGCAATTGGCTGTCGCATTTCTCCCACAAAATATACAGTCACCACACTTTACAGTATATTCTGTGAATCGCTTTGAGACGTCTCGACGACGTGATAAGACGCTATGGATTCAAATGCAAGGATTATTACTATTGTTGTTGCCACTGGAGGTGAAATGTCAGCTTGGCTCAGTTGGTAAGCCACAGATACTCTGTAGTTTCCCGCCCTCACAGAGTTAAAGGTACGATTTTGATTCCTTTCCTGTGGGATTATTGGACATCCTGTGTTGGCGGTGGGAACATGCTGTACAGACTTCTGGAGTGCTGGAAATTTGAACATATCCTGTAGATTAAGTACAATTTCCTCCAGTGAACAATCATGGCTAGATACTGTAAGCTGCTGTCACACTGTGAAGGTTTATTTTGGGCTGTTATAAGGGAAGGATTTGCCTCACACTCATTCTGCCGCTGCGAGGGAGGCTTCATCAATGGCACTTTGCTTAAAGCGACATGAGATTCTGTTCCAAAATGAAAATAGCTCAATGTAATGACACTTGTGCTTGTGTGTGTCTGTGAGGCTTTGTGTGTGTGTCAGCCCGGCGCAGTGGTAGCGCTCTCTCTCTCTCTCTCTCTCCTCTCTCTCTCTCTCTCTCTCTCGCCTCTGAGTCAGAAGATTGTGGGTTCGAGCCCCCCACATCGGGACTTGGAATCACAGTCTTAGCTGACGCTCCAATGTAGCGCTGAGGGGTGTTGCATTGTCGGAGACGCCGCCGTCCTTCGGATGAAATGTTAAACCTCACTCCCCGTCTGTGCTCTGTTCAGGTGGACATTAAAGATCCTGCGACGCTATTGGAAACGAGAACGTTTCTCTCTCTCTCTCTCTCTCTCTCTCCCCCCCAGTGTCCTGGCTGACAGTGCCCCAGATAAAATTGGTCACTCACTTCACGGCTGTTTGTGGGACGCTGCTGTGTGCAACTGACTGCTGCGTTTCATCCACAATATACAGAGTAACTGCGCTTTACAGCGTGTCCTGTGAAGCGCTTTGAAATGTCTCTGCAATGTAATAAGGTGCTATGTCAATGCAAGGATTATTATTATTATTAGATGTGTGTGTGGGTGTAGTTTCTGACGCTCAGAGACACACAATCGCCGCTCTCTGTGGTCAGTTCCCAGTGTTGTCAGCTCTTGTGGGCCATCTGGTTTAGGGAGGTTGTTGCAAGTTCCATTTCAGTTGCTCACGGTTGGGTAACTAACCATCTGTTTCTTCTCTTTGCAGTAAACTGCGACATCAAGCGCAGAACGAGAGATTTGGATATAAAGAGGTAAAAGAGAACTGCATCTTTTTGTCACCTTTGTCACTGTGGAATCCTGTAGCCCAGTAGTTTAGCGCTCGCCTCGCAAGCGGGAGGACCTGGGTTCAATTCCCAGGCACGGCGAACCATAGGCAAGTTTCCTTACTCTACACACACGCCTCTGTTACCAGCAGTAAGAGGAACCCGGTTTTAGTTGATTGCGGATCGCTTTTCCGGAGGTAATAATCCCTTCAAAAAGTAATAATAATTGGTCACTCAATCCACGACTGTTGTGGGACACTGCTGGCGCAATTGGGTGCCCGTTTCACCCACAAAATAAGTCAATCACTTTACGTATATCCTGTGAAGACGGAGATGAGGTGCTATATCAAATGAAGGATTATTATTATTATCCTCCTCACTAACCTTCCTTTCCTTGCAGGTTATAATCAGAGGAGACGCTAAAAAGCTGAATTTGCATGGGGTAAGTCTCACTGTTACTGTATGAGCTTCACAGACCAGCTAAGGCAACATAGCCTTATTCCCAACATTCACACTACAATTTAGTGCTACTGACATGGTCTACAGTCAAACCCCTTTAGACAACTAACCACCTCCCATCAGTGTAGCAATCTCATCCTGGAACAGCCCAGACAGACTTTGCATAATAAACCACCGGGCAGAGCGCAACCTTAGGGAAATTTCCTTACTCGGCATACACGCCTCTGTTTGCAGTAAGTAGGAACCCAGTTGTTAGTTGATTGCTGGATCGCTTTTCTCTCTTCAGCAACCACCTGTGCACCCCAACAAGTGACCACTCTTTGATAGTCCTTTCACACCTTGAGCCTTGGTTTCGCCCACAGAAAAGTACACAGTCACTACACTTTACATATATTCTGTGAAGTGCTTTGAGACGTCTCGAAGACGTGATAAAGCACTGTATCAAATGCAAGGATTATTATTATTTGATGTGCGGCTGTGTTCGAGATCGGATTTGCTTTTTGTGTCTCCCTGCAGCAGACTTGTGCCGTTTGCTTAGAAGATTTCAAGACTAAGGAGGAGCTGGGGGTGTTACCGTGCAAACACGCCTTCCACAGGAAGTGAGTAACCTTCATTCGCTCAGCACCGCTGTCGTAGTGGCCTTTATACATTGCTCTGTGTTCAGCCTATGGCTGACTAACAAGCCTCGTGTCTGTGGGTGTGTACATTTGTCCACTTAATGGGCGCTGGCCGCTCAATGTCCCCCCCTCCTCCCGTCCCCACATCGTCGGTTGGCCTCAAGTCTCTCTGCCCCCACCCTTTGAAACTCCACCCACAGTCCCTCCCCCTGGTCCCCTCCCTCGCCTCCCTCTCAAGACCCTCTCTTCGACCCGCACCTTCGCCACCCTCCTACCCCCACCCTCACTGCCCTCCACCCTCCTGATCCCAACCTCCAGCTCGGGTCCAAATTCCTGACCGTCCAGCGCCTCGGGACATCCTCTTGACATGAAAAGCACCGTGTAAATGTCATTTGTTGTTGTTGTCTCTGTACAGGGCACATTGCCTGTGCTCAGCATCTCACTGTACAGGGACACATTGCCTGTGCTCAGCATCTCACTGTACAGGGTCACGTTGCCTGTGCTCAGCATCTCACTGTACAGGGTCACGTTGCTGTGCTCAGCATCTCACTGTACAGGGTCACGTTGCCTGTGCTCAGCATCTCACTGTACAGGGACACATTGCCTGCACTCAGGATGTTGCTCTGTACAGTGTCACATGCTACAATAATGGAGATGTTGATAGCAATTAATTCTGTACGGATTAGTCTACAACAGTGTGTGGAAGCTTGGGGAACCTCTAGATCAAAAGTTGTCTGGTTCTTCCCAATGCTACACAACACTGCCTTACTGTTCACATTGTGCCTACAGGTGTCTGGTGAAGTGGCTGGAGATCCGCTGTGTGTGTCCCATGTGCAATAAGCCGATCGCTGGAGGAGCTGAACAGCAGCAGGCTATAGGCACTCTCCTGGATGAATTGGTTTGACACAAGACAAACAAACACAGGCGAAAACAAAAGAGGTTTGGGGGAAGCCAAGATTTTCTATTTTTTTACCTTTGCGATTTGTCAGCTGACTGACTGACTGACTGAAGCCGTGAGCATTTTGTGGCACCGCATCGACTGTGTGTCTGTCACTGCAGCAACGCACGCACACCCAGCAATGTACCTCTTTCCTTCACATCCTCCCAACGAGAGTCAGTGACTGGGGTGGCTGGGGTTCAATGGTATGTCTCTGCTTAAGCTTTTTATTATGAGCAACACTTAAAAGTCACAGAACATTGACGTGGCCACTGTCCGCACATAATGTGAGCCCTGAACACACAGACACAAAACACACGGTATACACACGTCACATTGCATGTACACATACATACCCACACACTTCTTTTGGTCCGACGGTTGTCTGACACATGCGGAAACCCATCAGTATCCAAACCCAACTGGACATGTGAGTATTACACCTTTTACCCACTGACATGTACACACAACTACACAGTCCTGTACACAAACTGTATGATCCTTCCTGAACACTCAGTGACTGAAAAGACCACATACATAGATCTCTGCTGATGCAGTCAAACGCTAACCAAAATCTCAGAGAGGCCAGTGAATGGTGAAGCTGCTTTAAGTAACTACTTCGAGGAGAGAGGCTGCAGTGCATGGAATGCTGTTATGGATCATGTTCCTCTGATATCCAATTACAGCACTTATACATTACCCACAGGAGCACCAGAGCCAAATGCTTTGTGAGCACCAATATGTTAACAAACTCCCACTCCGCACTCTCCTAACGATTTTTAATACATTTTAGGGAGGAATTCTTGCCTAATAGTGTGCTGGCACAATTTGAAAAGTGATCTAAATATAGTTATATCTCCCTATTGTAATACAAGAGCAAAATATCCCCTGAGGAATTAAATTGTCTCACTCAGAGCAGACGGAACAAAGTTCTGCTTTTGGTTCTTGTGGGGAATGGAAACAGTACACGTGAGGTTAGGGGAGGTTGCAACAGAATATTGTATTTACAGTCTAGAAAATCAATGGTGACTCTGACCTGGGAGTCCTGCACAGACTTGGACCTGTATAAAATATTGCATGCTGTGCTGGGTCATTCAGGGTGTGGAAGGCTGGACTTGGAAGAAGAAGGTACTGGTTTGGGATCCCAGTGCCTCAATCACTGTTTCATTAGTACTAAAATGTTTGACAATATCAATCCTGGTGGAGCCAAGTGGGTCCACAGTATCAGTGATGTTGATTGAAGGTTGTAGGACGTCTTCCCTTGAATTGTGGGGTGATCTAATTGAGGTATTTGAAATGATAATGTGATTCATTCAATAGGGTAGCTGCAGAGAAACTATTTCCTTTGGTGGGTGGGGGGAATCCAGAACAAGGGGGTATCATCTTAAAATTAGAGCTAGGCCATTTAGGATCGAAATCAGAAAGTATTTTTTCACGCAAACTCTAGTGGAAATCTAGAACTCTCCCCCCCAAAAAAGGCTGGGGATTATGGCTGGATCCATTCACATTTTCAAAACTGAGATGGAGAGATGTTTGCTAGGTCAGGTTATCGAGAGATATGGGGCAAAGACAGGCAATTGGAGTTGAGGTACAGATCAGCCATGATCTAATAGAATGGTGGAACAGGCTCAAGGGTCTGAATGGCCTCCTCCAGTTCCTGTGTTCCCCATGTGAAAGGCGTTATACAAATATAATTTGGTGTTGACGGCCAGCCTGCTGGTTCATTATTGGGAGATGCAGAGACGTCACAAATCCTGCAATGGTTAAATGTGCCTAGCTGGACAATGTAGAGAAATGTACCAGTGCCTTGCTACTGGTAGACTGCACGGTTATACCATTATTATACAAGATATTTATAGTATTTTGTTCACGGTTACTAGACTGTTCTTTGTATATTTGGAAGGAATCCCCACAGCTGCCGGTTTCTTTGTAGAGGGGATTTCTTTGGTTGTAAAATACATTTTTAATAAATGCCTCCAGTATGCTTTATCACTGTCCTCGTAACCTGCTACAAGATCCTGGAGGGATGGAGGGCACCGAGGGTGGGGGGTAGGAGGGTGACCGAAGGCGCGGTTGAAGAGGAGGGAGGGAGACGGGCGGAGGGTCTGCGGGATGGCTTTGGGATCCAGATTTTTTTTATTTGTTTATTTGTGGAGTCCTGTAGCTCAGTGGTTAGAGCACTCGCTGTTGCAAGTGAGAGACCTGAGTTCAATCCCAGGCAGAGGGCGAAACCTCGGGCAAGTTTCCTTACTCACACAGAGCCTAATAATAATCCTCCAAAACCAAAACAATAATAAATTGGTCATTTTCAATCCACGACTGTTTGTGGGACATTGCTGTGCGCAATTGGCTGCCGCGTTCGCCCACAAATATACAGTCACTTCACTTTACAGTGTGTTCTGTGAAGCGCTTTGGGACGTCCTCCCGACGTGAAAAGCGCTATATCAAATGCGAGGATTATTATTATTATAATCGGTCGGGTCAGTCTGACACACGGGGGAGTCCATGACATTAGTTTAAGAGTCTCCAAATCAGACTGAGACAGTCCCAGTGGTGCACATGGCCATTGCCACCACCTGAGTGTGTGTGAGAGGGGGGGACACGCGCATGCGCTCTCGGCGACAAGCGATTGAGTGCGCATGCGCCGCGCGGTGACGTCACCCACCAACATTTGCATACACTGACCGGGACGGAGCCGCCAAAGGCCAAAAAACGACCAAACGAGAATCAGAAGAAACGATTTAAGCCTCAGGGCCACTGGGAGGGAGGGTCCGATCCGGTCACATCGGTAAACCGGGTACCCAGGTGGCAGTCACCGGGACCTAAAGGGGGGCCGTGTCCAGGTTTAGCGGTGGTGAGTGCGGCTGCGCAGCGATCCTTCTGGTTCAGTCACGTGATGAGTGGGTCACTCACGCGTCTGCGTGACATGTGCCGTCCCTTCAAGTTACGACTTGGGCACAGAACCCGTCTGACACCTGAACCACATGTGCACAGTGTGTACACACGTACACCACACACATGTACATACACCACACACAGGTACATCCTAATACACACACACAGTACATACACCACATACATGTACATCCTAATACACACACATGTACATCCTAATATACACACACACACATGTACATCCTAATACACACAATACATACACCACACACATGTACACTAAACACACACACACTGCACACACATTTACACCCCATACACACACCATACACACACAGTATGTACACAGATACACTACACACATATATACCCCATACATATATGTGCGCCTGTAGACACACACTACAGGAACACACACACAGGAAATCTGCAGCGAGTCAGGAAGCGGCGCTGCTCCAGGTTCCCTCTGTTGTTTGCTGAAGGTATTGTAGTTACTGTATTTCCAGCAAAACTGCTGCTGCTGTACCCGCAATGGCAACAGAAAGTGAAACAGCCGTCTGTGTGTGTGTGTGTGTGTGTGTGTCTGTCTGTGTGTGTGTCTGTCTGTGTGTGTCTGTCTGTGTGTCTGTGTGTGTCTGTCGGTGTGTGTCTGTCTGTGTGTCTGTGTGTGTGTCTGTGTGTGTCTGTCTGTGTGTCTGTGTGTGTGTCTGTCTGTCTGTGTGTGTCTGTCTGTGTCTGTGTGTGTGTGTGTCTGTCTGTGTGTGTGTGTGTGTCTGTGTGTGTGTCTGTGTGTGTGTGTGTCTGTGTGTGTGTGTCTGTCTGTGTGTGTGTCTGTGTTTACACTGAAGTTAAAGGTCTCCAATTGCACTTTTCTTTGCCCTTTTACACCATTAATTATCCTCTGATTTATTCAATGTATTGAATTGACATTCATCGATTATACGTGACGGTAGCGCCGCCTGTGGGCGGACTGCGGTACTGCGGCACCGGGTGCAGCGCCGCGTGTGTCTGCGGTTGAACACAGCGCCGTGTGGCGCGGTGGTGAGTTCGCAGCGCCGCCCGGTGGAGGCGCCGCGGCATCGCACCCTGATCCGCCAGGGGGTGGGTTTTGCAGCGCCGCCCGGTGGAGGCGCCGCGGTACCGCAGGGCGGTTGCGCGCAGCGCCGCCCGGCGGACAGACCGCGGTACTGCCGGCACAGCCCTCGCGAGAGGTTGGCTCGTCACTTCCGGGCAGCACGTGGGGCAGTGAGAGAGGGACAGAGAGAGGGACACAGAGAGAGTGACAGAGAGGGACACAGAGAGTGACAGAGAGGGACACAGAGAGGGACACAGAGAGTGACAGAGAGGGACACAGAGAGGAGCCGCCATGCAACACGATGATGTGAGTCTGTCCGACCCTAAATATACTTCATGTTATAGTTCATTGTAAATCATTTGAGTGAAGAGACACAGAGTGTGTGAGAGAGAGAGAGAGAGAGAGAGAGAGAAAGTGTGTGAGAGAGTGAATGTGTGTGTGTGTGTGTGTGTGTGAGTGCACTCAGTTCAGATAGAGATGTCCCTTCCCCCCACACACCCCCACACACACACACCCCCACACACACACACACACACACACACACACACACCACCCACACACACACACACACACCCCCACACACACCCCCACCACACACACACACCCCCACACACACACCCCACACACACACCCCCCACACACACACCCCCACACACACACACCCACACACACCCCCACACACATACCCCACACACCACACACACACAGCCCCTCACACACCCCCACACACACCCCCACACACACACACACCCCCACACACACACACACCCCACACACACACACCCACACACACACCCCCACACACACACACACATAACCCCCCACACACCCCCACACACACACACACACACACACTAACCCTATCCCCTGACCCCCTGTGACTGTTATCTGTGACTGTGATCTGGTGTCTGATTCTCTCCCTCTCCCTCTCTCCCTCTCTCCCTCTCTCCTCTCCCCCTCTCCCTCTCTCTCTCTCCTCTCTCCCCCTCTCTCTCTCCTCTCTCTCCTCTCTCTCTCTCTCTCTCTCCTCTCTCTCTCTCCCTCTCCAGGTGATTTGGGACGTTATCGGAAACAGACAGTTCTGTTCGTACAAAGTGAAGTAAGTTGTGGTATTCCTGGGACCCGGGAAGGAGCTGTGGTTTAATAATAAAATAATAGTGACCTTACAGGTGATACAGCGCCTTATCGTGTGGTTGAGACGCCTCAAAGCGCTTCACAGGAGTCCTGTAGCTCAGTGGTTAGAGCACTCGCTTTGCAAGTGAGAGACCTGAGTTCAATTCCAGACAGAGGGCGAAACCTTGGGCAAGTTTCCTTACTCCACACAGAGCCTAATAATAATCCCTCCAAAACCAAAACAATAATAAATTGGTCATTTTCAATCTACGACTGTTTGGGGACATTGCTGTGCGCAATTGGCTGCCGCGTTCGCCCACAAATATACAGTCAATTCACTTTACAGTGTGTTCTGTGAAGCGCTTTGGGATGTCCTCCGACGTGAAAAGCGCTATATCAAATGCAAGGATTATTAGGATATATCGCATCTTCAGGTCGCGTCTGAAGACTTCCCTCTTCTAACCGAGCCCGCGGTCGCCTCCTCCCGGCTCAGCGTCGGTCTCCACCACTGTCAAGCGCTCCAGGACGCTGCCCTGCGTGAGGGGCACAATGTAAATAATATATGAAGGTGTATGTGTATGGGGTCTATATAAGTGCAAGTTGTTGTTGGTTGGGGTTCAACCCCTGGACTTCCTTTTTCCCTTCAGAACAAAGACGCAGAGTTTCTGCCGGAATGAGTACAATCTCACGGGGATGTGTAACCGCTCATCCTGTCCCCTCGCAAACAGCCAGTACGCCACGGTCAGGGAGGAGAAAGGTGAGAGGCAGCGGCGAGGGGGGGGGGGGGGGTGGTACTGTGTATGTACTGTGTGTGTGTACTGTGTGTGTGTACTGACCGGGTTTGCGTTGTGGTTGAACAATAGCGAATGTGCTGTGTGTGTGTCAGTGCCCTGAGATGTCCTCCCGACAGACGTGAAAGGCGCTGTGTACATTTGATGTGTTGTGTGTGTGTGTCGCAGGTCAGTGCTTCCTGTACATGAAGGTGATAGAGAGAGCCGCGTTTCCAGCTCGGATGTGGGAGAGAGTGAGTATGGAGCATCGCTCCTCCCCCCCCCCGCGCGTCTCATCCAAAGGATGGCGTCTCCGACAATGCAACACCCCCCAGCGCACCAGTCAGCTTAGACTGTGTGATTACAAGTCCCGATGTGGGGGGGTTTGAACCCACAACCTCCTGACGACATAATGCTCACCCTGGAGGGGGGGTGGGGGGGGGGGTTGGAGTCTGGGAACCCGTCTCTTCTTTTGCCGCCGGTAAAGCCACGTATTGGCCGCTATTTCGCGGCTAATCCTGCGCCGGAATGTTCCGCAGGTGAAGCTGAGCAAGAACTACGAGAAAGCTCTGGAGCAGATCGACGAGAACCTGATCTACTGGCCTCGCTTCCTCCGACACAAGTGCAAACAGCGCTTCACCAAGATCACCCAATACCTCATCCGCATCCGCAAACTCACCCTGAAACGCCAGTAAGGACAAAGCTTCACAGCCGGACGGACACGCGCGGAAACCCGGCTCCGTGATTAACAGTCACAAACCCCAACGGGCATCTCATCACACACGTGGAAATCCCAGAGATGGATTGCTGGGATGGAATGAGCACTCGCACTCACTCTCGGGGTTGACGGGGAGGGGGGGGGGGGCTGCAGAGCCGGGCAGAGTGGGGACTAACTGTTTGCGTCTCTCTTTGTAGGAGGAAACTGGTGCCTTTAAGCAAGAAGGTGGAGCGACGTGACCAGCGCAGAGAGGTCTGTTTGGGTGTATTTGTGAGGGGGGGTGGGGGGGACGGACGGACGGTCTGAGACTTGGCAGTGCCTGTGAGCTGAGGCTGTGTGTGTTGGGTGGGGGGGGGGCGGAGAGGGGATTGTGGAGGTTCAGGGTTGATGTCTGACCTGGTGTCTGGTGTTTTGTTTCAGGAGAAGGCGCTGATCGCAGCTCAGTTGGACAACGCCATTGAGAAGGAATTACTGGACAGACTGAGACAGGGAACGGTGAGGAACCTGAACCCCAACACCTTGAACTGCAGTGGGGGGGGGGAGGGGGGGGGGGTGCCTGATCACACAGTTGAGACGTCTCAAAGCGCTTCACAGAATAGCACGGACAGTGAATTGACTGTACATTCTGTGGACAAAACGCGGCAGCCAATTGTGAGCAGTGTCTATATTGAGTGACCATGTTTTTTTTTTTACTGGACGGGCAGGGATTTGGACCCGAGCTGGGAGTTGGGATCAGGAGGGGTGGAGGGCAGGGCAGGGAGGGTGGGGGTAGGAGGGCGACCGAAGGCGCGGTCAAAGGGGAAAGTCTTGAGACGGGAGGAGCAAACTCGTGGGAGGACTTTAAAGGCGAGGACAAGGATTCTTGTTGCTAATGTCTCTCTCTCTCTCTCTCTCTCTGTAGTATGGAGATATTTACAACTTCCCGGTTCACGCCTTTGACAAAGCTCTGCAGCAACAGGACGAGGAGAGCGAGACAGACTCGGAAGAAGAGGAGGAGGAGGAGGATGCGGTGAGCGACGTTTTAATAATAATAAAATTTGAGATTTGTCACGAGCCAGGACACCAGTCATAGGAACCGTACGAGGCCATTCAGCGCCTCGAGCCTATTCCGCCATTCTATTAGATCGTGGCTGATCTGTACCTGAACTCCAATGACCCGCCTTTGCCCCGTATCCCCTGATACCCTGAGCTGACAAACATCTGGACAATGTGAATGGATCCAGTCATAATCCACAGCCTTTTGGGTGAGGGAGAGAGAGTTCCAGACTCCCATTGGCCTTTGTGTGTAAAGTCCTGCACAATCTGATGTCCCTGAACGTGAACAATACACACAAGGTGTGGGCTGTATGTATGTGTGCATACGTGTCTGCCTGTGTGTACACGTTATGTATATGCAGGCGTGACAGGGAGGTATTTTCTGTGTGGCTGTTTCTAAACTGTTCCCCCCCCCCCCCAACCCCCTTTCTCTCTCTCTCTCTCTCTCTCAGGATGTTGGACAAGTGGAATACGTAGAAGGTGATGAGCTGGAGGAAAGTGACCTGAGTGACTTTGAGGTAAGCAAGAGCCCTTGTCCGTCAGTCCGCCCCTCCCAGCGCTGAAGGTTTAACGTTGCATCCAACATGTACATCTCTCGCTCGTTACCGAGGGGGCTCGGCGCGTCTCAACAGCTACAACACATTACATTTACACGTCGTGTCTCACATCAGGAGAACGTCCCAGGGCCCTGGACAGTCAGGGATTTGGACCCGAGGGGGGTTGGGGTTGGGGGTTGGGATCAGGAGGGGGTGGAGGCCGGGGAGGTTGACCGAAGGCCTGGTTGAAGAGGAGGGTCTTGAAACGGACCTTGAGGGAGGGGCCGAGGCGAAGGGACTGTGCGATTCCTGACTGTCCAGCACCTTGGAACGTCCGCCCAACGCGAAAGGCGCTTGTGAATGTCGCGGTGTTACGGCGGAGCCACGTCTCAGAGGTTAACGACGGGGGGGAAACTTGTGCCCCTCAGGAAATGGACAAAGTGCGGGCGGACGGGAAGGAGGAGGAGATGGAGACGGAAGTTGCCGGAAGGAGGTCGTCGAAGGGGAAGACGCCGGTGAAGGGCGGGGCCCGCTTCAAACGCAGCTTTGTGGAGATCGAGTACGAGCGAGAGACGGAGTCTGAGCCGGCGGCAAAGGCACGGAGCACGTGAGGAGCCGGCGGCGGCGCAGACACCGAGACTCCATCACAACAGCCAAGTCACACCACGAGAGAGAGAGACACCATTCCTCTGGACAGTAAATCAGCTTTGCTGAAGTCAGTCAGTCAGTTTATTATTATTATTATCATCATCGTGTTGTGTTTCAGGGTCTTCAGGGAGTAATTATTGTTGTTATTAATATTCCCGCCTGGTTTTCGGAGCGCCCTCCCATCGTGCCGCCCCTCCAGCCCGGGCTGACACAGCCAACACTGTACAAACTTGTGCATAAAAATATCTCCCGTCGAACGGCGACACGTCTGTCTGTGTCTGAGCTCCTCAAGTCCCCCCTGTCAGGCCGAGCCTGGGACACTGCGCCCCCTCCTGGCTCAGGAACCGGACTGGAGACCCTCATGGGTTGGGGTGGGAGGGTGGGGGTTGGTTCCCACATTAAGTCAACCACAGGCGACCCCCAGTTATAACGGGTCCCTGAGCGCAGACCGGGGTGTCCACCCGTAACTCTGGACCTCTCTCCCCTCCGCCTCGACCCCTTCCCTTCCCCGTCTTCGCGGCCGCGCGCGAGGGACCTGCCTCTTGGACCGCGCCTACGGCCACCCCGTGTCGCCGCCGCCGCCGCCCAGCGCTCCGGGGGCGCTGCCCCGCGCGGGCAGCCACGGCGGTTCCCCGGCAGTCGGAGCCGTCCTCACGGGAGGACGTGACTCGGCCGCACCGGCGCCGCAAGATACAGTCACTACATTTTACAGCGCACGCGGTGAGAAGCGCTTTGAGACGTCTTGGAGACGGGACGAGGCGGGCGCTGCGTTAAGGGCGAGGATGATGATGTGATGATGATGATCAGTGAGTGTAGTGACTGTTCTCGCGTTGCAGAGCTCCGTGACAGTAACAGCTCTGCCTGTGGCGGTGCAGTGGGGACCGGAGAGGATTTGCCCCTCTCACACACACACACACACACACACCCGCTCCCTCCTGCCCTGAGGGAGGAGGTCGGGGGCCCGGGGGGGGGAGGCAGGTCGGCCCGCGGGCTTCAGGCCTACCCGCTGTTCCGCCGCCCCCTCCCGCGGCCCCCGGAGCTCGGTCTGATTTATTCCAGCGACAGGATCCTCCCTCCCTCCCTCCCTGCAACCCCGAACCTCACTGCTCCCGGGCTCCCGGGCTCCGGCCCCCTCCCCGGGGTTCCGGCCCGCGGGCCGCACTGACCTGCTCGCGCCTTTTTCCGTTACTGCTTCGGGTTTTCAAACTGTGGCGCGCGAGCGTGTGGCGCGGCGCCTCTGCGCATGCGCGCGTCTTAAAGGGCCAGTCCCTCACCCACACCACACACCCCCCCCCCCCGGCGCTGGTGGGCGGGTAATAACAACAATAATAATAATAATAATCCTTGTATTTGATAAAGAAGCCCCATCACGTCTTCGAGACGTCTCGAAGCGCTTCGCAGGATACACCGTAAAGTGCGGTGGCTGTGTATTTTGTGTGCGAAATGCCCCCCCACCCCCACCCCTGGACTCCGGCCCACCCTCACCGTCCGGCACTGGGTAAATATGATTTCCCGTTGTTCTTAAAAGTTATCTCTGGACGACAGTAGCAATAATAATAACGGACCTCGCGTTTGACGCAGGCGCCCGATCGCGTCTTCGAGACGTCTCAAAGCGCTTCACGGAATACACTGCGAAGCGTAGTGGCTGTGCATTTTGTGGGCGAAAGACGTGGCAGCGTGGATTGCGCACAGCAGCGTCCCCCACACACTGTCGTGGATTGCGCACAGCAGCGTCCCCCACACACTGTCGTGGATTGCGCACAGCAGCGTCCCCCACACACTGTCGTGGATTGCGCACAGCAGTGTCCCCCACACACTGTCGTGGATTGAGTGACCAGATTATTATTTAAAAAAACACATTTTTTATTTCTTTGAAGGGATTATTACTCCCGGAAAAGCGATCCGCCCATCGACTAACAACGAGTGCCTACTTACTGCTCAGGTAAAAAAAAGAGACGCGTGCGTGAAGTAAGAAAACTTGCCCAATGTTTTGCCCCGCCCAGGAATCGAACCTGGTTCCTCTCGCTTGCAAGAGCTCTAACCACTAACCTACAGGACTTCCCCTTTATTTTGGACAGAGAGACAAGTACAAAGAATAGTCAGTATTGCGTTTGTTTCACCATGTATTAAAGTACAGAAATGAGCAGGGTGTAAATATTACACGTGTAATAGATTGGAGTCTCAGTGGGACTGTAAATATTACATATCTATTAAATGATTCCACTCCAATCCCAAGAGATTGAGATCAATGAGTGTGTGTTTATCCTTTGATGCATTCAGTCATTGAAGGACCCATGTCCCTCAGGAGCTTCTGATATTCCATGAGGGCCTGGCTGTACACATCGCGCTGGAGGACGAAGGATCGCAGGAGGTTTATGGGCTCTGCCTGCAGGAGAAGCTCTGGGATCCCAAACTGCTTGGGGAAGGCACGGTTTCCGATCATAAACCTGTGTAGACGCTTCTCATCCAAGCTTTTCCCGAGGAACTTCAGAACGTCCTGGAGCCTCTGCTCCAAGCAACGGTCGTGCCAGTTCATGTAGGGCTGGCTGAGCAGCAGGTGCATGAGGACAGTCTTGAAGAAGTAGGAGGTGAGAACGCTCTTCTTCTCTGTGCTGCTGTAAAGCTTCTCGTTCAGGAAGGTCAGGATCTGAAGGCACTTGAGGTGGCAGCTGTTCTTGGGGAGGCTCTTGGTGATGATCTTGAGGAAGCGAAGCTCGCATACAGCGCAGGACAGGTGCCAGTAGGTACTGGCCAGTGTGGAATCCTTGTGCAGTCGGGGAAATTGGCCACGAGGAAGACGTCTGAGTCCTTGAGGCGCACAGCGGGGAAGACCTTAATGTAGATGTTGCGGCCCGACTGATACTGCAGTTTTAACCCACAGGAGCCAGTGATGTTGTGAAAGGAGAGTTCAAAATCATACTTGTGACACACTTCACTCCAGGCCCTTATGAAGGCAGTCCGGAACCACTTCAATACTTTCTTAGAGTCCAGGTACCACTCTGAACACACGATGGAAGCCAGGGCGTTGGTGTGCTGGAGCTCACGTTCAAACTTCTTGCTGTGGATGAGACACAGAACCTCTCCGTCGAGCTCAGAGCTCTTGCAGACGCAGCTCACCTCCTCGTTGCCCGGGCTGATCATAAGAATCCGTCCGTAACTCTGCTTGTCTGACGGGATGTCGCAACAACAGATCTCGGGCTTAAAGGTGTAGCCATCTTGAATTAAAATGGGCGCCAGGACATCGTACACAGAGGGGGTCTTGCAACCCCATTTCTCAAACTGACTGCCAATGCCGATGCAGTCCTCCACAATCGTCTCGGAGTTCCACTGGCACATGTTCCTGCAGGCTTGCAAGAGATTGTCCACAAAAGCTTCTACGAACTCGCAAGTCTGAGGTGGCTCCCGGTTGGCCTCCTTAACGCACTTGTAAAAGTCATCCAGCACGGGTCTTTCCGGAATGTTCAGGATGTTGCAGTAAAGCCTTTGAGGAGCCTCGTTCTCGTCCTCTTCCTCGCTGTTGCACTCTGGTATGTTGTCCTGCCGCGTGTCCTGCCTCCACAGCTCCAGGAACAGAATGGTCACCATGAGAAGGATATTCCAGGTGTTCCAGTTCAGGTGGGTTCGTTTCTCTCCCTTCACCATGGCATTGCCCTTCATCTGAGAGTCGTGTCTGCTTTCCACGTCCACTGCTTTCTGGAGCCGCTCCATCTCCAACTTGTACTGTTGTTCCTGCTCCTGCATCTTGACGAGCACCTCCTCATACTCAACCTCATCGCTCAGCAGGCGGGGGTGGTACATGCTTCCCGTGATCACCAGGAGACACACGCTCGCTACCCCTAATAATCCAGGCATCCTGGCAAACAAACAGTCACACTCCCATCAGGGGCAGCACTTCTGTACCCATGTCAACCTGCCCGCTCCCTCCGCTCAGCGGGCGCTGGCCCGCTCCATGTCCCCCGCCCGTCCCTCCCGTCCCACCATCGTCGGTTTTGCCTCAAGTCTCTCTGCCCCCACCCTTTGAAACTCCATCCCACAGTCCCCTCCCCCTGGTCCCCTCCCTCGCCTCCCTCTCAAGACCCTCCTCTTCGACCGCACCTTCGGCCACCCTCCCAGTAGCGAGGCGGGGGCAGTAATTCAGGGCGTCAGAGCTGGGTTTGCGGTGCTGGTTTTAATGGACGGTGGCGGTGTTTGGGGGTGCTGGTCTCGGGGCAGAGGAGCTGGGCTTCGGGGCTGCAGAAAGCAGTTTTGGGGGCGCGAGGGCTTGTTGGTCGCCGGGTGCAGGTTCTGGTTTAGGGGTCGGAGGGGCCGGTTTGGGGGAGAGGGGGCTGGTGCTGGGGGTGGGTGACGGGACTGGATTGGGGGACAGTGCCAGTTTTGGGCGCGGCCTGCCTTGATACCCTCACCTGACAAAAGTAAGTGGATAATATTAAAAAAGAAAGCTCACAGGTTTCCTCAGAGATCTAACTTATTTTCCTTTCACTTTTCTCAGGATGCTTCTGTGGCCTGGGATTGATTTACGGCAATAAATCGTGCACCATGCCTCCAATCACCTTCCAGGACCTTCCACTAAACATCTACATGGTGATATTTGGGACTGGAATCTTCGTGTTTGTGCTCAGCCTGATATTCTGCTGTTACTTTATCAGGTAACGTCCCCCAATCCATTAGTGGAGCCCTGTAGAGTAGTGGTTAGAGCACTCGCCTCACGAGCGAGAGGACCCTGAACAGGACAAAACGTTAGGCAAGTCTCCTTACTCTACTCGGCTGTTAGTCGATCAGATCGCTTATGGAGATGTAATAATCTTTCTCGGGGTAATAATCCTTAAAAGAAAGGGGTCGGTCACTCAATCCACAACTGTTTGTGGGGCACTGCTGTTTTATGCAGTTGTGTGGAACCAGCGATAAGTGTGACCAGTTGTGCAGCCTTTGCCTGTCAGCCTGGGAGCTGTGTGAGAGGAGGTACCACCACATCCATCCATCCCACTGGGCTATATCCAGCGACTCCCTCACACCAAATGTTATTTATACACTAACGCTAGCAATGTGTTCAGCAATCAGATGGCAGGAAATTGCTATTGTCTATAAGAAAAGTTCTACTGACAGCTCCTGTTAACTGTCTCAGTGCGCAATGGAGGCTTCAGAGAGTAACTCAGGGACACAACCACACACCGTCCTTCAGCACAGCACCAGAACTGATGGCAAGAACAACAGCAAGTTACATTTGTAGATGCCTTTCACGTCAGGAATGGTTAGCAAGCGAGAGGACCCGGGTTCGATTCCCAGGCAAGGCAAAACCTTAGGAGAGTTTCCTTCCTAGAGTTATGCACCTCTGTTATAGAGGGGTAATAATCCCTTCCAAAAAACAGAATAATAATTTGGTCACTCAATCCAAGACAGTTTGTGGGACCCTGTTGTGCGCAATTGGCTGTCGCATTTCTCCCACAAAATATACAGTCACCACACTTTACAGTATATTCTGTGAATCGCTTTGAGACGTCTCGACGACGTGATAAGACGCTATGGATTCAAATGCAAGGATTATTACTATTGTTGTTGCCACTGGAGGTGAAATGTCAGCTTGGCTCAGTTGGTAAGCCACAGATACTCTGTAGTTTCCCGCCCTCACAGAGTTAAAGGTACGATTTTGATTCCTTTCCTGTGGGATTATTGGACATCCTGTGTTGGCGGTGGGGAACATGCTGTACAGACTTCTGGAGTGCTGGAAATTTGAACATATCCTGTAGATTAAGTACAATTTCCTCCAGTGAACAATCATGGCTAGATACTGTAAGCTGCTGTCACACTGTGAAGGTTTATTTTGGGCTGTTATAAGGGAAGGATTTGCCTCACACTCATTCTGCCGCTGCGAGGGAGGCTTCATCAATGGCACTTTGCTTAAAGCGACATGAGATTCTGTTCCAAAATGAAAATAGCTCAATGTAATGACACTTGTGCTTGTGTGTGTCTGTGAGGCTTTGTGTGTGTGTCAGCCCGGCGCAGTGGTAGCGCTCTCTCTCTCTCTCTCTCTCGCCTCTGAGTCAGAAGATTGTGGGTTCGAGCCCCCCACATCGGGACTTGGAATCACAGTCTTAGCTGACGCTCCAATGTAGCGCTGAGGGGTGTTGCATTGTCGGAGACGCAGCCGTCCTTCGGATGAAATGTTAAACCTCACTCCCCGTCTGTGCTCTGTTCAGGTGGACATTAAAGATCCTGCGACGCTATTGGAAACGAGAACGTTTCTCTCTCTCTCTCTCTCTCTCTCTCCCCCCCAGTGTCCTGGCTGACAGTGCCCCAGATAAAATTGGTCACTCACTTCACGGCTGTTTGTGGACGCTGCTGTGTGCAACTGACTGCTGCGTTTCATCCACAATATACAGAGTAACTGCGCTTTACAGCGTGTCCTGTGAAGCGCTTTGAAATGTCTCTGCAATGTAATAAGGTGCTATGTCAATGCAAGGATTATTATTATTAGATGTGTGTGGGTGTAGTTTCTGACGCTCAGAGACGCACAATCGCCGCTCTCTGTGGTCAGTTCCCAGTGTTGTCAGCTCTTGTGGGCCATCTGGTTTAGGGAGGTTGTTGCAAGTTCCATTTCAGTTGCTCACGGTTGGGTAACTAACCATCTGTTTCTTCTCTTTGCAGTAAACTGCGACATCAAGCGCAGAACGAGAGATTTGGATATAAAGAGGTAAAAGAGAACTGCATCTTTTTGTCACCTTTGTCACTGTGGAATCCTGTAGCCCAGTAGTTATAGCGCTCGCCTCGCAAGCGAGAGGACCTGGGTTCAATTCCCAGGCACAGCGAAACTTTAGGCAAGTTTCCTTACTCTACACACACGCCTCTGTATACCCAGCAGTAAGGAGGAACCCGGTTATTAGTTGATTGACGGATCGCTTTTCCGGAGGTAATAATCCCTTCAAAAAGTAATAATAATTTGATCACTCAATCCACGACTGCTTGTGGGACACTGCTGAGCGCAATTGGGTGCCACGTTTCACCCACAAAATATAGTCAATTCACTTTACAGTATATCCTGTGAAGACGGGATGAGGTGCTATATCAAATGCAAGGATTATTATTATTATCCTCCTCACTAACCTTCCTTTCCTTGCAGGTTATAATCAGAGGAGACGCTAAAAAGCTGAATTTGCATGGGGTAAGTCTCACTGTTACTGTATGAGCTTCACAGACCAGCTAAGGCAACATAGCCTTATTCCCAACATTCACACTACAATTTAGTGCTACTGACATGGTCTACAGTCAAACCCCTTTAGACAACTAACCACCTCCCATCAGTGTAGCAATCTCATCCTGGAACAGCCCAGACAGACTTTGCATAATAAACCACCGGGCAGAGCGCAACCTTAGGGAAATTTCCTTACTCGGCATACACGCCTCTGTTTGCAGTAAGTAGGAACCCAGTTGTTAGTTGATTGCTGGATCGCTTTTCTCTCTTCAGCAACCACCTGTGCACCCCAACAAGTGACCACTCTTTGATAGTCCTTTCACACCTTGAGCCTTGGTTTCGCCCACAGAAAAGTACACAGTCACTACACTTTACAATATATTCTGTGAAGTGCTTTGAGACGTCTCGAAGACGTGATAAAGCACTGTATCAAATGCAAGGATTATTATTATTTGATGTGCGGCTGTGTTCGAGATCGGATTTGCTTTTTGTGTCTCCCTGCAGCAGACTTGTGCCGTTTGCTTAGAAGATTTCAAGACTAAGGAGGAGCTGGGGGTGTTACCGTGCAAACACGCCTTCCACAGGAAGTGAGTAACCTTCATTCGCTCAGCACCGCTGTCGTAGTGGCCTTTATACATTGCTCTGTGTTCAGCCTATGGCTGACTAACAAGCCTCGTGTCTGTGGGTGTGTACATTTGTCCACTTAATGGGCGCTGGCCTGCTCAATGTCCCCCACTTGCCCGCCCCAACATCGGTGGTTGGGCCTTCAGCATCTCTGCCCCCACCCTTTGGAACTCCAACCCACAGTCCCTCCCCCTAGCCCCCCTCCCTTTCCTTGTCTCAATGCCTCGTCTTCGACCAAACGTGCCTTCAGCCACCCTCCTACCCCCACCCTCACTGCCCTCCACCCCTCCTGATCCCAACCTCCAGCTCGGGTCCAAATTCCTGACCGTCCAGCGCCTCGGGACATCCTCTTGACATGAAAAGCACCGTGTAAATGTCATTTGTTGTTGTTGTCTCTGTACAGGGCACATTGCCTGTGCTCAGCATCTCACTGTACAGGGACACATTGCCTGTGCTCAGCATCTCACTGTACAGGGTCACGTTGCCTGTGCTCAGCATCTCACTGTACAGGGTCACGTTGCCTGTGCTCAGCATCTCACTGTACAGGGTCACGTTGCCTGTGCTCAGCATCTCACTGTACAGGGACACATTGCCTGCACTCAGGATGTTGCTCTGTACAGTGTCACATGCTACAATAATGGAGATGTTGATAGCAATTAATTCTGTACGGATTAGTCTACAACAGTGTGTGGAAGCTTGGGGAACCTCTAGATCAAAAGTTGTCTGGTTCTTCCCAATGCTACACAACACTGCCTTACTGTTCACATTGTGCCTACAGGTGTCTGGTGAAGTGGCTGGAGATCCGCTGTGTGTGTCCCATGTGCAATAAGCCGATCGCTGGAGGAGCTGAACAGCAGCAGGCTATAGGCACTCTCCTGGATGAATTGGTTTGACACAAGACAAACAAACACAGGCGAAAACAAAAGAGGTTTGGGGGAAGCCAAGATTTTCTATTTTTTTACCTTTGCGATTTGTCAGCTGACTGACTGACTGACTGAAGCCGTGAGCATTTTGTGGCACCGCATCGACTGTGTGTCTGTCACTGCAGCAACGCACGCACACCCAGCAATGTACCTCTTTCCTTCACATCCTCCCAACGAGAGTCAGTGACTGGGGTGGCTGGGGTTCAATGGTATGTCTCTGCTTAAGCTTTTTATTATGAGCAACACTTAAAAGTCACAGAACATTGACGTGGCCACTGTCCGCACATAATGTGAGCCCTGAACACACAGACACAAAACACACGGTATACACACGTCACATTGCATGTACACATACATACCCACACACTTCTTTTGGTCCGACGGTTGTCTGACACATGCGGAAACCCATCAGTATCCAAACCCAACTGGACATGTGAGTATTACACCTTTTACCCACTGACATGTACACACAACTACACAGTCCTGTACACAAACTGTATGATCCTTCCTGAACACTCAGTGACTGAAAAGACCACATACATAGATCTCTGCTGATGCAGTCAAACGCTAACCAAAATCTCAGAGAGGCCAGTGAATGGTGAAGCTGCTTTAAGTAACTACTTCGAGGAGAGAGGCTGCAGTGCATGGAATGCTGTTATGGATCATGTTCCTCTGATATCCAATTACAGCACTTATACATTACCCACAGGAGCACCAGAGCCAAATGCTTTGTGAGCACCAATATGTTAACAAACTCCCACTCCGCACTCTCCCTAACGATTTTTAATACATTTTAGGGAGGAATTCTTGCCTAATAGTGTGCTGGCACAATTTGAAAAGTGATCTAAATATAGTTATATCTCCCTATTGTAATACAAGAGCAAAATATCCCCCTGAGGAATTAAATTGTCTCACTCAGAGCAGACGGAACAAAGTTCTGCTTTTGGTTCTTGTGGGGAATGGAAACAGTACACGTGAGGTTAGGGGAGGTTGCAACAGAATATTGTATTTACAGTCTAGAAAATCAATGGTGACTCTGACCTGGGAGTCCTGCACAGACTTGGACCTGTATAAAATATTGCATGCTGTGCTGGGTCATTCAGGGTGTGGAAGGCTGGACTTGGAAGAAGAAGGTACTGGTTTGGGATCCCAGTGCCTCAATCACTGTTTCATTAGTACTAAAATGTTTGACAATATCAATCCTGGTGGAGCCAAGTGGGTCCACAGTATCAGTGATGTTGATTGAAGGTTGTAGGACGTCTTCCCTTGAATTGTGGGGTGATCTAATTGAGGTATTTGAAATGATAATGTGATTCATTCAATAGGGTAGCTGCAGAGAAACTATTTCCTTTGGTGGGTGGGGGGAATCCAGAACAAGGGGGTATCATCTTAAAATTAGAGCTAGGCCATTTAGGATCGAAATCAGAAAGTATTTTTTCACGCAAACTCTAGTGGAAATCTAGAACTCTCCCCCCCAAAAAAGGCTGGGGATTATGGCTGGATCCATTCACATTTTCAAAACTGAGATGGAGAGATGTTTGCTAGGTCAGGTTATCGAGAGATATGGGGCAAAGACAGGCAATTGGAGTTGAGGTACAGATCAGCCATGATCTAATAGAATGGTGGAACAGGCTCAAGGGTCTGAATGGCCTCCTCCAGTTCCTGTGTTCCCCATGTGAAAGGCGTTATACAAATATAATTTGGTGTTGACGGCCAGCCTGCTGGTTCATTATTGGGAGATGCAGAGACGTCACAAATCCTGCAATGGTTAAATGTGCCTAGCTGGACAATGTAGAGAAATGTACCAGTGCCTTGCTACTGGTAGACTGCACGGTTATACCATTATTATACAAGATATTTATAGTATTTTGTTCACGGTTACTAGACTGTTCTTTGTATATTTGGAAGGAATCCCCACAGCTGCCGGTTTCTTTGTAGAGGGGATTTCTTTGGTTGTAAAATACATTTTTAATAAATGCCTCCAGTATGCTTTATCACTGTCCTCGTAACCTGCTACAAGATCCTGGAGGGATGGAGGGCACCGAGGGTGGGGGGTAGGAGGGTGACCGAAGGCGCGGTTGAAGAGGAGGGAGGGAGACGGGCGGAGGGTCTGCGGGATGGCTTTGGGATCCAGATTTTTTTTATTTGTTTATTTGTGGAGTCCTGTAGCTCAGTGGTTAGAGCACTCGCTTTGCAAGTGAGAGACCTGAGTTCAATCCCAGGCAGAGGGCGAAACCTCGGGCAAGTTTCCTTACTCCACACAGAGCCTAATAATAATCCCTCCAAAACCAAAAACAATAATAAATTGGTCATTTTCAATCCACGACTGTTTGTGGGACATTGCTGTGCGCAATTGGCTGCCGCGTTCGCCCACAAATATACAGTCACTTCACTTTACAGTGTGTTCTGTGAAGCGCTTTGGGACGTCCTCCCGACGTGAAAAGCGCTATATCAAATGCGAGGATTATTATTATTATTAATCGGTCGGGTCAGTCTGACACACGGGGGAGTCCATGACATTAGTTTAAGAGTCTCCAAATCAGACTGAGACAGTCCCAGTGGTGCACATGGCCATTGCCACCACCTGAGTGTGTGTGAGAGGGGGGGACACGCGCATGCGCTCTCGGCGACAAGCGATTGAGTGCGCATGCGCCGCGCGGTGACGTCACCCACCCACATTTGCATACACTGACCGGGACGGAGCCGCCAAAGGCCAAAAAACGACCAAACGAGAATCAGAAGAAACGATTTAAGCCTCAGGGCCACTGGGAGGGAGGGGTCCGATCCGGTCACATCGGTAAACCGGGTACCCAGGTGGCAGTCACCGGGACCTAAAGGGGGGCCGTGACCAGGTTTAGCGGTGGTGAGTGCGGCTGCGCAGCGATCCTTCTGGTTCAGTCACGTGATGAGTGGGTCACTCACGCGTCTGCGTGACATGTGCCGTCCCTTCAAGTTACGACTTGGGCACAGAACCCGTCTGACACCTGAACCACATGTGCACAGTGTGTACACACGTACACCACACACATGTACATACACCACACACAGGTACATAGACCACACACATGTACATCCTAATACACACACACACATGTACATCCTAATCCACACAATACATACACCACACACATGTACACTAAACACACACACACTGCACACACATTTACACCCCATACACACAGTACGTACACAGATACACTACACACATATATACCCCATACATGTATGTGCGCCTGTAGACACACACTACAGGAACACACACACAGGAAATCTGCAGCGAGTCAGGAAGCGGCGCTGCTCCAGGTTCCCTCTGTTGTTTGCTGAAGGTATTGTAGTTACTGTATTTCCAGCAAAACTGCTGATGCTGTACCCGCAATGGCAACGGAAAGTGAAACAGCCGTCTGTGTGTGTGTGTCTGTCTGTGTGTGTGTGTGTGTCTGTCTGTGTGTGTGTCTGTCTGTGTGTGTCTGTCTGTGTGTCTGTGTGTGTCTGTCGGTGTGTGTCTGTCTGTGTGTGTGTCTGTCTGTGTGTGTGTGTGTCTGTGTGTGTGTGTGTCTGTATGTGTGTGTCTGTCTGTGTGTGTGTCTGTGTGTGTCTGTCTGTGTGTCTGTGTGTGTGTCTGTCTGTCTGTGTGTGTCTGTCTGTGTCTGTGTGTGTGTGTGTCTGTCTGTGTGTGTGTGTGTGTGTCTGTGTGTGTGTGTCTGTCTGTGTGTCTGTCTGTGTGTGTGTGTGTCTGTGTGTGTGTCTGTGTTTACACTGAAGTTAAAGGTCTCCAATTGCACTTTTCTTTGCCCTTTTACACCATTAATTATCCCTCTGATTTATTCAATGTATTGAATTGACATTCATCGATTATACGTGACGGTAGCGCCGCCCTGTGGGCGGACTGCGGTACTGCGGCACCGGGTGCAGCGCCGCGTGTGTCTGCGGGTTGAACACAGCGCCGTGTGGCGCGGTGGTGAGTTCGCAGCGCCGCCCTGTGGAGGCGCCGCGGCATCGCACCCTGATCCGCCAGGGGGTGGGTTTTGCAGCGCCGCCCGGTGGAGGCGCCGCGGTACCGCAGGGCGGTTGCGCGCAGCGCCGCCCGGCGGACAGACCGCGGTACTGCCGGCACAGCCCCTCGCGAGAGGTTGGCTCGTCACTTCCGGGCAGCACGTGGGGCAGTGAGAGAGGGACAGAGAGAGTGACACAGAGAGTGACAGAGAGGGACACAGAGAGTGACAGAGAGGGACACAGAGAGGGACACAGAGAGTGACAGAGAGGGACACAGAGAGGAGCCGCCATGCAACACGATGATGTGAGTCTGTCCGACCCTAAATATACTTCATGTTATAGTTCATTGTAAATCATTTGAGTGAAGAGACACAGAGTGTGTGAGAGAGAGAGAGAGAGAGAGAGAGAGAAAGTGTGTGAGAGAGTGAATGTGTGTGTGTGTGTGTGTGTGTGAGTGCACTCAGTTCAGATAGAGATGTCCCTTCCCCCCACACACCCCCACACACACACACCCCCACACACACACACACCCACACACACACACACACACACACCCACACACACACACACACACCCCCACACACACCCCCACACACACACACACACCCCCACACACACACCCACACACACACCCCCCACACACACACCCCCACACACACACACACACACACACACCCCCACACACATACCCCCACACACACCCACACACACACACACACCCCCACACACACCCCCACACACACACACACCCCCACACACACCCCCCACACGCACACACCCCACACACACACCCCCACACACACACACACATAACCCCCACACACCCCCACACACACACACACACACACACTAACCCTATCCCCTGACCCCCTGTGACTGTTATCTGTGACTGTGATCTGGTGTCTGATTCTCTCCCTCTCCCTCTCTCCCTCTCTCTCTCTCTCCCTCTCCCCCTCTCTCTCTCTCCCTCTCTCCCTCTCTCTCTCCCTCTCTCTCTCTCCCCCCTCTCCCTCTCTCTCTCTCCCCTCTCCCTCTCTCCCCCTCTCTCTCTCTCCCTCTCTCCCTCTCTCTCTCTCTCTCTCTCCCTCTCTCTCTCTCCCTCTCCAGGTGATTTGGGACGTTATCGGAAACAGACAGTTCTGTTCGTACAAAGTGAAGTAAGTTGTGGTATTCCTGGGACCCGGGAAGGAGCTGTGGTTTAATAATAAAATAATAGTGACCTTTACAGGTGATACAGCGCCTTATCGTGTGGTTGAGACGCCTCAAAGCGCTTCACAGGAGTCCTGTAGCTCAGTGGTTAGAGCACTCGCTTTGCAAGTGAGAGACCTGAGTTCAATTCCAGACAGAGGGCGAAACCTTGGGCAAGTTTCCTTACTCCACACAGAGCCTAATAATAATCCCTCCAAAACCAAAACAATAATAAATTGGTCATTTTCAATCTACGACTGTTTATGGGACATTGCTGTGCGCAATTGGCTGCCGCGTTCGCCCACAAATATACAGTCAATTCACTTTACAGTGTGTTCTGTGAAGCGCTTTGGGATGTCCTCCCGACGTGAAAAGCGCTATATCAAATGCAAGGATTATTAGGATATATCGCATCTTCAGGTCGCGTCTGAAGACTTCCCTCTTCTAACCGAGCCCGCGGTCGCCTCCTCCCGGCTCAGCGTCGGTCTCCACCACTGTCAAGCGCTCCAGGACGCTGCCCTGCGTGAGGGGCACAATGTAAATAATATATGAAGGTGTATGTGTATGGGGTCTATATAAGTGCAAGTTGTTGTTGGTTGGGGTTCAACCCCTGGACTTCCTTTTTCCCTTCAGAACAAAGACGCAGAGTTTCTGCCGGAACGAGTACAATCTCACGGGGATGTGTAACCGCTCATCCTGTCCCCTCGCAAACAGCCAGTACGCCACGGTCAGGGAGGAGAAAGGTGAGAGACAGCGGCGAGGGGGGGGGGGGGGGTGGTACTGTGTATGTACTGTGTGTGTGTACTGTGTGTGTGTACTGACCGGGTTTGCGTTGTGGTTGAACAATAGCGAATGTGCTGTGTGTGTGTCAGTGCCCTGAGATGTCCTCCCGACAGACGTGAAAGGCGCTGTGTACATTTGATGTGTTGTGTGTGTGTGTCGCAGGTCAGTGCTTCCTGTACATGAAGGTGATAGAGAGAGCCGCGTTTCCAGCTCGGATGTGGGAGAGAGTGAGTATGGAGCATCGCTCCCTCCCCCCCCCCCGCGCGTCTCATCCAAAGGATGGCGTCTCCGACAATGCAACACCCCCCAGCGCACCAGTCAGCTTAGACTGTGTGATTACAAGTCCCGATGTGGGGGGGTTTGAACCCACAACCTCCTGACGACATAATGCTCACCCTGGAGGGGGGGTGGGGGGGGGGGTTGGAGTCTGGGAACCCGTCTCTTCTTTTGCCGCCGTAAAGCCACGTATTGGCCGCTATTTCGCGGCTAATCCTGCGCCGGAATGTTCCGCAGGTGAAGCTGAGCAAGAACTACGAGAAAGCTCTGGAGCAGATCGACGAGAACCTGATCTACTGGCCTCGCTTCCTCCGACACAAGTGCAAACAGCGCTTCACCAAGATCACCCAATACCTCATCCGCATCCGCAAACTCACCCTGAAACGCCAGTAAGGACAAAGCTTCACAGCCGGACGGACACGCGCGGAAACCCGGCTCCGTGATTAACAGTCACAAACCCCAACGGGCATCTCATCACACACGTGGAAATCCCAGAGATGGATTGCTGGGATGGAATGAGCACTCGCACTCACTCTCGGGGTTGACGGGGAGGTGTGGGGGGGGCTGCAGAGCCGGGCAGAGTGGGGACTAACTGTTTGCGTCTCTCTTTGTAGGAGGAAACTGGTGCCTTTAAGCAAGAAGGTGGAGCGACGTGACCAGCGCAGAGAGGTCTGTTTGGGTGTATTTGTGAGGGGGGGGTGGGGGGGGACGGACGGACGGTCTGAGACTTGGCAGTGCCTGTGAGCTGAGGCTGTGTGTGTTGGGTGGGGGGGGGGGGCGGAGAGGGGATTGTGGAGGTTCAGGGTTGATGTCTGACCTGGTGTCTGGTGTTTTGTTTCAGGAGAAGGCGCTGATCGCAGCTCAGTTGGACAACGCCATTGAGAAGGAATTACTGGACAGACTGAGACAGGGAACGGTGAGGAACCTGAACCCCAACACCTTGAACTGCAGTGGGGGGGGGGAGGGGGGGGGGGGTGCCTGATCACACAGTTGAGACGTCTCAAAGCGCTTCACAGAATAGCACGGACAGTGAATTGACTGTACATTCTGTGGACAAAACGCGGCAGCCAATTGTGAGCAGTGTCTATATTGAGTGACCATGTTTTTTTTTTACTGGACGGGCAGGGATTTGGACCCGAGCTGGGAGTTGGGATCAGGAGGGGTGGAGGGCAGGGCAGGGAGGGTGGGGGTAGGAGGGCGACCGAAGGCGCGGTCAAAGGGGAAAGTCTTGAGACGGGAGGAGCAAACTCGTGGGAGGACTTTAAAGGCGAGGACAAGGATTCTTGTTGCTAATGTCTCTCTCTCTCTCTCTCTCTCTGTAGTATGGAGATATTTACAACTTCCCGGTTCACGCCTTTGACAAAGCTCTGCAGCAACAGGACGAGGAGAGCGAGACAGACTCGGAAGAAGAGGAGGAGGAGGAGGATGCGGTGAGCGACGTTTTAATAATAATAAAATTTGAGATTTGTCACGAGCCAGGACACCAGTCATAGGAACCGTACGAGGCCATTCAGCGCCTCGAGCCTATTCCGCCATTCTATTAGATCGTGGCTGATCTGTACCTGAACTCCAATGACCCGCCTTTGCCCCGTATCCCCTGATACCCTGAGCTGACAAACATCTGGACAATGTGAATGGATCCAGTCATAATCCACAGCCTTTTGGGTGAGGGAGAGAGAGTTCCAGACTCCCATTGGCCTTTGTGTGTAAAGTCCTGCACAATCTGATGTCCCTGAACGTGAACACATACACACAAGGTGTGGGCTGTATGTATGTGTGCATACGTGTCTGCCTGTGTGTACACGTTATGTATATGCAGGCGTGACAGGGAGGTATTTTCTGTGTGGCTGTTTCTAAACTGTTCCCCCCCCCCCCCAACCCCCTTTCTCTCTCTCTCTCTCTCTCTCAGGATGTTGGACAAGTGGAATACGTAGAAGGTGATGAGCTGGAGGAAAGTGACCTGAGTGACTTTGAGGTAAGCAAGAGCCCTTGTCCGTCAGTCCGCCCCTCCCAGCGCTGAAGGTTTAACGTTGCATCCAACATGTACATCTCTCGCTCGTTACCGAGGGGGCTCGGCGCGTCTCAACAGCTACAACACATTACATTTACACGTCGTGTCTCACATCAGGAGAACGTCCCAGGGCCCTGGACAGTCAGGGATTTGGACCCGAGGGGGGTTGGGGGTTGGGGGTTGGGATCAGTAGGGGGTGGAGGCCGGGGAGGTTGACCGAAGCCCTGGTTGAAGAGGAGGGTCTTGAAACGGACCTTGAGGGAGGGGCCGAGGCGAAGGGACTGTGCGATTCCTGACTGTCCAGCACCTTGGAACGTCCGCCCAACGCGAAAGGCGCTTGTGAATGTCGCGGTGTTACGGCCGGAGCCACGTCTCAGAGGTTAACGACGGGGGGGAAACTTGTGCCCCTCAGGAAATGGACAAAGTGCGGGCGGACGGGAAGGAGGAGGAGATGGAGACGGAAGTTGCCGGAAGGAGGTCGTCGAAGGGGAAGACGCCGGTGAAGGGCGGGGCCCGCTTCAAACGCAGCTTTGTGGAGATCGAGTACGAGCGAGAGACGGAGTCTGAGCCGGCGGCAAAGGCACGGAGCACGTGAGGAGCCGGCGGCGGCGCAGACACCGAGACTCCATCACAACAGCCAAGTCACACCACGAGAGAGAGAGACACCATTCCTCTGGACAGTAAATCAGCTTTGCTGAAGTCAGTCAGTCAGTTTATTATTATTATTATCATCATCGTGTTGTGTTTCAGGGTCTTCAGGGAGTAATTATTGTTGTTATTAATATTCCCGCCTGGTTTTCGGAGCGCCCTCCCATCGTGCCGCCCCTCCAGCCCGGGCTGACACAGCCAACACTGTACAAACTTGTGCATAAAAATATCTCCCGTCGAACGGCGACACGTCTGTCTGTGTCTGAGCTCCTCAAGTCCCCCCCTGTCAGGCCGAGCCTGGGATACTGCGGCCCCTCCTGGCTCAGGAACCGGACTGGAGACCCTCATGGGTTGGGGTGGGAGGGTGGGGGGTTGGTTCCCACATTCAGTTGTCAAACATGTCACCTTGGAGCCAGTTGCTGCCGTCCTGAGCTGCTGCTGTTGATCTCTTGTTGTGTTCCCTGTAGCCAAGTCCTGACTGCTCGGCTGTCACAGCTCGACACCAACCTCGTCAACACCAGCTGAAGGCAACACACACACACACACACACACACACCGTCAGCAGCTGGAGGAGAAGGAGGGAGGAATGGAGAGAGAGAGACAGACAGACTGGGGCAGCACTTACCGGCACGGTATCGCTGCTGCAGTGATGAAGGAGACACACACAGCGAGTAGCACTCTGTAGTAGCTGCTCTCTGCTCCCCGCGGCCTCGCTCCCCCCCTCGCACACGTCCAGCACCAGCCTCAGCAACGCCCTGAGCAACGGCTCCAGCCACAGCCTCGCCCTGTCACCAAACACCCTCCGTCAATCTTCTCTCCTCTCCTTCCCTCTCGCTCCCCCTCTTTCCCTCATCCCTTTCCCCATTTTCCCGCCTCCCAGGTAACGTTGGACCTAAGGTTCCCAAAGCTTCTCACTGTTGTAGACTAATCCGTCCGGAATTAACTGCTGTCAACATCTCCATTATTCTGTGCTGTAAGGTTCTTTGATACGATTTGTAATAATAATAATAATCCTCGCATTTGATCCAGCGCCTTATCACGTCGTTGAGACACCACAAAGCGCTTCGCGGGATACACTGTAAAGTGTAGTGACTGTATATTTTGTGGGCGAAACTTCCGGAATGGTAGAAGGCCAACTGGACGGACCTTGGTCTTTTTTTTCGTCCAGCAATTCCTATGTTTCCCCTTCCCTCCCTCCCCAACCAGCCCCCAGCCCAGCGTCTGTGCTGACTGACCTGGGCCAGGCTTGCTGGATCACGGTCTCCAGCGTGCGGAGAACCCCAAGCCTGGCCGCCTCATCCGAACTACCATCATCCACCTCCAGGTAGCCCAGTATAACTCGCTGCAGCCTCTTCCAGTGACGGAGGACAGTGATCCCCAGCCTGTAGCCAGGGCACAGAGCAGAGGAGACAGAGGTTATAATATAATAATAATACTAATACTTGCATTTTACACACACTGACCTGACTTGCCCTCTGGCAGACCTGGGACACTACCCTCACGGCTCCTGTAATAAATACACGCGTCGTCGTTATCTGTCGTGGCTGACCTGGCAGTGAAGGTGGGCAGGTGGGAGGCGTAAACTCTCCGCAGTGGGATCTTGTCTTCGGCCTCCATGTGGGTGAGGATCAGCCGGAGCGTGTCGTCGCTGGGGCCGGGCGCGCGTGGCTTCCCGGGAACGGGCGGTCCCTCCAGCACAGGGAGGAGGGCGAGAAGACAGGGCAGTACGGCCTGACACACAGACAGAGACAGAGAGAGGTAGATAACAACACACAAGGCTACATTTTCACGGCGCCGTTCACGTCGGGAGGAGGCGCTGGACAGGATTTGGACCCGAGCTGGGGTTTGGGACCAGGAGGGTGACCGAGGGTCTTGAGCCGGACCTTGAAGGAGGCAAGGGAGGGAGCAAGGCGACCCCGATGGTGGGGTGGGCAGGGCAGGGGGACCTGGAGCAGACCGGGGCCTGCCGAGCGGACAGGTTGGGTATGGAGTCGGCAGGTCACAGAGGAGCGAGGCCGACCCTACAAGATTTAGGGCTGGACCAGCCGCAGAGCGAGGGAGTGCGACGTGTAGGTAAGAGGTGAGTGAGCGGGTTCCCGTGTCGCAGGCTCCTGGCCGGGCCTCACCTGTACGAGCGAGACCTCGTGTGTGTACAGGTGGTTGTAGAGAGCGTGGTACAGGACCTGGGCTCGGTTATATTGCAGGAGTTCCGCGGGAGGCTGAACAGAACAACACACTCTCAGGTAAACAGCGCCTCGCAAACCTCGCAGCTCCACTCCCCGTCCCCAGACAGACTGATTCCCTCCTTTCTCTCTCTAACCGCTAATTGGCTAACAACCGGGTTCCTACTGACCGCTGGTAAACAGAGTGTGTGTGTGTGTGGAGTAAGGAAACTTGCCTAAGGTTTCGGTCCTGCCCGGGAATCGAACCCGGGTCCTCTCGCTTGCGAGGCGAGCGCTCACGAGGTAGAAGGTGAACCGGATGGACCTTGGTCTATACAGCAATAATAATAATAATAATAATCTCTGCCTTTGATATAGCGCCTTATCGCATCGTTGAGATGTGTCAAAGCGCTTCAAGAATGCTGTAAAGTGTAGTGGCTGTGGATTTCACCCTCGGGGATAGATTCCTTCTCTCTCCATCGTCCCGTCCCCCCCCACCCCCCACCCCCCACACCTGGTACCTACCACATTCACAATAATGTGCTGGAGACACCTCACGCCCAGAACCTTATTGTTTGTCCTGTAGTCGTCAGAGAGGAGTAAGGCCGGGGGCAGAGCGGCGTCCAGATGCAGAGAGAGTGCAGGACTCCTCGCTCGCTCTAACACCCAGCACAGCACACGGCCTGAGGCAGGGTTCAGCTTCCCGGTCTCTCTGGGGAGAATGACACACACGTCCGTTACATTCTCAACAACAACTTGCGCTTACGCCACCCCCTCCACCCCCTCCCCGCCCTCCCCGCCCTCCCCGCCCTCCACCCCCTCCCCGCCCTCCCCCCCCCTCCCCGCCCTCCACCCCCCTCCCCGCCCTCCACCCCCCCCTCCGGGCGCCAACCCTCTCCTCCTTTCGGGTGCAAACCCTTTCGTGACAATCCTTGCGTTGGATAATAGCGTCCCGATGGGACGTCCTCCGAGACGTCTCCGAGCGCTGCGCGGGATACACTGTGAAGTGTAGTGACTGCGCGTCTCGTGGGCGGAACGGGTCAGCCAATCGCGCGCGGTCAGTTGTGGACGGAGCGCCCAAATCCTGATGGATCTGTTGCCCTGGGGATGTGCTCCCGATGTGAAAGTGCGCTGCGTGAATGTGGTGGTGGTGTCGTCGTCGTCGTCGCCGCCGCCGCCGTGGACTCACTTGTCGGCTTGCGGTTGCATTTCTCTCAGGACGGCCCCCAGCGCTCCGTGCCCGGCCTCCGCTGTCCCGCTCAGCAGTTCGGTGGCGGTCGCGCAGCCCGTTGCCTGCAGCAATGCGGCCAGCAGCTCCCCGGCAGCCCGGCGCGAGGCGAGGCTGCTCCAGGGCGCGTTCTGCTGGTGGGCGGCGCAGAACAGCAGCAGTGGGGGCAAAATAGCGTCCAGAATGGCACCCGCGGGGGAGTCCTGACCCTTCTCCTCGTGCAGCTTCCTGACCAGCCGCTGGAGGACCTGAGCCACGGCGCTCGGGCTCTCGGCCGCGGCGCTCAGCGGTGTCTCACCCCCGACACCGCCGCCGAGGTCTCCTGCGGGCGGAGCCGAGCGCCGCGTCAGGCACACGGTCACGTCCCTGTAGGTCCGCACCACATCCTCTCGCTCGCCGGGGCAGCCGGCGGCGAACAGCCAGCGCCCCTCGGCCGTCTCCAGCAGGCACCGGGCGGCCTCCACCGCCTCCCGCCTCTCGCGCTCCGGCCTCTCGCTCTGCAGCGCCCGCTGGATTGCCCGCAGGGCGGGGAGGGCCGACGGGGCCGGTCCGGCTGCACGCGGGCGGGTGTGGCTGTCGCACCGAGTCGGCGCAGGGCGTCATCCGGGCTCTCCATTGAAGCTGCTTTGCTCGGGGGGGGGGGGGGGGGTGTGTGTGTGTGTGTGTGTTTGGGGGGGCGGTGAGGGGGGGGTGTGGGTGGGGGGAGGGGGGTGTTGGGGGGGGGTGTTGGGGTGGGGGTGTGTGTGGGAGTGGGGGGGGTGTGGAGGAGGGGGTGTGTGGGGGGGAGGGGGGGAGTGGGAGGGGGTGTGTGTGGGGGGTGTGTGTGGGGGGAGTGGGAGGGGGTGTGTGTGGGGGGGTGGTGTGGGGGGAGTGGGAGGGGGTGTGTGTGGGGGGTGTGTGGGAGGGGGTGTTGTGGGGGGAGGGGGGTGTTGGGGGTGGGGGGGGGAGGGGGTGTGGGTGGGGGGAGGAGGGGGTGTTGAGGGTGTGGGGGGAGAGGGGGTGTGGGGGGGAGGGGGTGTTGTGGAGGGGGTGTGGGGGGGAGGAGGGGGTGTTGTGGGGGTGTTGAGGGTGTGGGGGGTGTTGGGGGGAGGGTTTGTCTCTGTGTCTTCCTTCTACCTCTGGACTCTGCTAAACAGAGCCGCCGTTTATTCACTGAGTCACTGAATGTCACAGCACTGAGACAGGGAATTCCTCCTCTCACTCTCACTCACTCTCTCTCTCCTCTTCACCTCTTCATTCATTCCCTCTCTCTTCCTCCGTCTCTTCACTCCCTTCACTCGCTCAGGCGTCAACTTCCGGTCACCACGTGACCCTCGGCTCCGTGAGGCGCGCCACCCCGCCACGTGACCAGAGACACGCACACCCCCGCCACGTGACCAGAGACACGCACACCCCCGCCACGTGACCAGAGACACACACCCCCGCCACGTGATCAGAGACACGCACACCCCCGCCACGTGACCCCCCCCCACACACACACACACACGTGACCACCCACGTGGCGACTGGCCATCTCCGCCGAGGTGACGAAAGGGCGACACCCCGCCACGTGATCCCATCCCACCCCACGTGATCGCACCCCCGCCACGTGACACAGCGCCTGGCCTCCTCCCTCCCTCCCGCCGCCAGAACCAAGATGGCGCGGAAGGCTTTCGGGCGGATGATGAACGGCATAAGCGAGCGGGGCGGCTCCGCCTCCAGCCACAGCCTCGCGCTCTCGCCCCCGCCCGCCTCCCGGGAGCACGTGCAGGCCGTCACCAGGGCCTACAGGTCCCAGCCCCGCCTCAGTGAGAGCCTCAGCCACACACACACAGCCGCGCAGTGAGGGCCTGACATCCCCCGTCACCCCCTCACACACACAGACACTCCCCGTCACCCCCTCACACACAGACACACAGACATCCCCCGTCACCCCCTCACACACACAAACACTCCCCGTCACCCCCTCACACACAGACACTCCCCGTCACCCCCTCACACACACCGACACTCCCCGTCACCCCCTCACACACAGACACACCGACACTCCCCGTCACCCCCTCACACACAGACACACAGACACTCCCCGTCACCCCCTCACACACAGACATTCCCCGTCACCCCCTCACACACACCGACACTCCCGTCACCCCCTCACACACAGACACTCCCCGTCACCCCCTCACACACACCGACACTCCCCGTCACCCCCTCACACACACCGACACTCCCCGTCACCCCCTCACACACACCGACACTCCCCGTCACCCCCTCACACACACCGACACTCCCCGTCACCCCCTCACACACACCGACACTCCCCGTCACCCCCTCACACACAGACACACCGACACTCCCCGTCACCCCCTCACACACAGACACACAGACATTCCCCGTCACCCCCTCACACACAGACACTCCCCGTCACCCCCTCACACACACCGACACTCCCCGTCACCCCCTCACACACAGACACTCCCCGTCACCCCCTCACACACACCGACACTCCCCGTCACCTCCTCACACACAGACACACAGACACTCCCCGTCACCCCCTCACACACAGACACTCCCCGTCACCCCCTCACACACACCGACCTCCCCGTCACCCCCTCACACACACAGACACTCCCCGTCACCCCCTCACACACAGACACACAGACACTCCCCGTCACCCCCTCACACACAGACATTCCCCGTCACCCCCTCACACACAGACACTCCCCGTCACCCCCTCACACACAGACACTCCCCGTCACCCCCTCACACACAGACACTCCCCGTCACCCCCTCACACACAGACACTCCCCGTCACCCCCTTACACACAGACATTCCCCGTCACTCACACACAGACATTCCCCGTCACTCACACACAGACATTCCCTGTCACTCCCTCACACACATAGACATTCCTGTCACACTCACTCCTGCCATAGAGAGACACACACACAAACATATACACTATCCCATAGAGAAAGCGGGACTGACATTCTCTCACACAAACACACGCAAAGTCATTCAATCCTGGACTGTTTGTGGGACGCTGCTGTGAGCAATTGGCTGCCCGATTTTGTCCACAAAATCCACAGTCACTACTCTTTATATTCTGTGAAACACTGAGACGTCTCAACGACACGATAAGACACTGTATAAAATGCACAGATTTTTTATTATACACACTATGCCACAGAGAGAGAGACTGATATTCCTGTCACACACACTTGCCTACATCCTGTGCCACACAGAGAGGACCATCATTCTTGTCACACAAACTGCCTCACAAAGTATTCCTGTTTCTTACACATGCACACACACCAGACAGTACCTCACAGAAGGGCTGACATTCCCGTTGGACGTAGACTCATGGAGATATTTATTTTGCAGCATACAAGACTGTGGTTGGTGTGAATGGACCACTGGTAATACTAGACCAAGTGAAGGTACGGTTCTCACCTTTACGCAGGTCATCTCACATTACTAATGAGTGGCAACTCCCTCTCTCCCCACCTTCAAATCCCGCCAAAAGACCTTCCTTTTTGATTGTGCTTCTGTTCACCTTCCTCTCCCCCCGGCTTGTTGTCAGACTTCGCCATTGTGAAGCGTTCCGGGACGCTACACCGCTTGAAGGCCGCTATATAAATGCAAGTTGTTGTATATGCCAGCGCGTTTCTGCCAGCAATATTTCACGCGGCAATGAGGTGATCAATCTCATAGCAACTCGCCCATAAAATATCCCGTGAAGCGCTTTCAACGATTGTGAAATCAACGCAAGGATTATCATTATAATAATAAGTGCCGTTCTATAGAGCAATCCTGTGTCTCTCTAACTCCTGTGTCCTGCAGTTTCCCAGGTTTGCGGAGATTGTACACTTGACGCTCCCCGATGGGACACAACGCAGTGGTCAAGTCCTGGAAGTCAGTGGCTCGAAGGCTGTGGTTCAGGTACCATTGAAGAATTGTGTCTGGGAAGCGGATCTCAAGACTCAAATCTTTTCTCTACAAGTTAGGCCTCGGCTCTCTGGTTTTCCTTACTTTATGGCTCCAGTAGTGATCAGGAAATTCCAACTCTTCCCACCCCCCACCCCCTTGTACAGTGTATCATTGTTTGTCAAGGCCTGGCTCAGCGGTAACGCTCTCAGCTCTTAGTCAGAAGGTTGTGTGTTCAAGCCCCCACATCAGGACTTGGAATCACATAGTCTAAGCTGACACTCCAATGCAGTTGTTGCATTGTCGGAGATATCGTCCTGCGGATGGGATGTTAAACCGAGCTCCACATCTGCCTGTTCAGGTGGAGGTTAAAGATGCCGTGGTGCTATTCGAAAAGAGAAGGGAGTTTCTCTCTCTCAGTGTCCTGGCCAACAATCCCCCAAATAAAGTTGGTTGCTTACTTCATGGCTGTTTGTGGGACAATTGCTGTGCGCAATTGGCTTTCGCGTTTCGTTCACAAAATACAGTCACTCCAATTTACAGTGTATCCTGTGAAGCACTTTAAGACATCTTATTGATGTGATAAGAACTATATCAAATCAAGGATTACTATTATATTATTATTATTTCCTGTGGCATGTAAATCACTCCTCTTTCTCCTGTGTGGTAGGTGTTTGAAGGAACCTCTGGTGTTGATGCAAAGAAGACGATCTGTGAATTCACAGGAGACATCCTCCGCACCCCTGTATCTGAGGATATGCTTGGTAAGTACAATAACGGTGAAAGGATCATTAGAAGCACTGAGCCAATGTGTTTGACACCCAGCAGTGTATAGGTGAAGGGCCCATGTGTCAGTTTATACTGTAAAGTAGTGTAATATCCGAGTGTAAAAAGAATGAAATCCAAAAACGTTGAGTGTTTTACAGTAGTTACTGTCAGGTTTCAATAGTGTCGCAAATAAGAACTAAAATAAGAGCCTGTCCTTCAGATGATACGTTAAACCTCACTCCTTGTCTCTGCCCTGTTCAGGTGGACATTAAAAATCTCCTGCAGCGCTATTCAAAAAGAGAATAGAGTTTAGTCACTCAATCCACGACTGTTTGTGGGATACTGCTGTGCGCAATTGATTGACTGTATGTTTTGTGGGCAAAAAGCGGCAATTTACTTAATAGTTTATTCTGTGAAGCGCTTTGAGATGTCTCAAACACGTGATAAGGCACTGTATCAAATGCAATTATTCTAATTATAATTGGTGTGTTTCAGGTCGTGTGTTCAACGGATCTGGAAAACCGATCGATCGAGGCCCCACTGTCCTGGCGGAGGATTACTTAGACATCATGGGTACGTGATCATAGCTCTATCCTTCAAATAATAATAATCCTTGCATTTAATAAAGCAAACTACACAGTCAATTCACTTCACAGTACATGAAGCGCTTTGAGACATCTTGAAGACGTGATAAGGCGCTATATTATTATTAAATTACATTTACCTTTTTACGGCTGATACTAAAGAGAATTAACAGAGCACGAGTCACCCTGATCTTCACCACTTTGACCAGTTTATTTTGCTTGCCCCACAGGCCAGCCTATAAACCCCCAGTGCCGTATCTACCCCGAGGAGATGATCCAGACGGGGATATCTGCTATCGATGGCATGAACAGCATTGCTCGCGGGCAGAAAATCCCCATCTTCTCAGCCGCTGGCTTACCACACAGTGAGGTGGGTACAAGTGTCCGGAAAATATACAGCGACTCTAGTCTGAAGACTGACTATGCAATAGTGAAGTTTGTGGATTCCCGTAGTGCAGTGGTTAGTGCCCTCGTCTTGCAAGTGAGAAGACCCGGGTTTGATTTCACTTAGGCAAGTTTCCTTACTCCACCCGCCCTCTGTTTACCTTGCAGTAAGTAAGAACCTGTTTGTTAGTCAATTGGCAGATTGCTCTCCAGGGTTAATAATCCCTCCCCAAAAAAGTCACTCATTCCCCGACTGTTTGTGGGACACTGTTGTGCGCAATTGACTGCCGCGTTTCACCCACAAAACATACAGTCAATTTGCTTCCAGTGTATCTGGGAAGCGCTTTGAGACATCCCAACGACACGATAAGGTGCTAGATTAAGTGCAAGGATTATTATTTTGCTGTGTTACTGACTTGCATTGCAGTTGATGATGTGCAAGTAATTGCTGGTCTCTCTGCACAGATTGCTGCCCAGATCTGTCGCCAGGCTGGGCTAGTGAGGAAACCCAAAAGCGTTATGGATTACAGTGAAGAAAACTTTGCCATTGTGTTTGCTGCTATGGGGGTGAGTAAGGCATCCACTCTTCTTTACAGCTCATTCAAAATTCCACCACCTGCATACTTACCCGCTCTAAACTCCGTACCCCCATCACTCCAGCCCTTGCCAGGCTCCACTCACTCCCTATCACAGAACAGGTTGACGTCAAGATCCTCACACTCGTCTACAAATCCCTTCACGTCCTTGCACCTCCCTACCTCTGCGGCCTGCTTTCTCCCCACTCTACCATCTCCTGCCTCCGCTTGGCTCGTTCCGGCCTCCCGCATGTCCTTCGTCACCTTGGTTTCCTTCCACCATCGGCAGTTGTGCTTTCAGCCACTGCGCCCCCAAAACTTTCTCCTTCTATCCTTGTGCCTTTCCACCTGCTTCCTCATCTTCAGATCCTTCCCGAAGACCTTCCTCTTCGATCGTGCTTACAGTCACCCCTCCCGCTCTGCCACTGTTAAGCACTCCGGGACTCTACCTTGCGTAGGGACGCTGTGTAAATGCAAATTGTTACTGTAACACGAGATCCACTAGCTATAGGGTGAGTGTGATAAGAGCCTGTAACGAGAAGAGATTAGGAGAAAGGTTCAGTGAGTTAATGTGTGTGACTGACTGGGGCGTGTTACTGTAACTTGTTATGTTATGCAGGTGAATATGGAGACCGCTAGGTTCTTCAAGTCTGACTTTGAGGAGAACGGTTCAATGGATAATGTGTGTCTGTTCCTGAATCTTGCCAATGACCCGACGTAAGTCAGTGTATCTCAGCGATAGCGATTTACTTCTGCTGGAAACCTTACTCCACACACACGCACGTCTGTGTTTACCCAGCAGTAAGCAGGAACTTGGTTGTTAGTCGATTGGTGGATCGCTTTCAGGGGTAATAGTCAATTTAAAAAAAATATGGTCACTGAATCCACGACTGTTTGTGGGGGGGGCGCTGCCGTGCACAATTGGCTGACGCATCTCGCCCACAGAATATACAGTCACTACACTTTACAGTGCATCATGTGAAGTGCTCTGAGATGACTCGAAGACATGATAAGGCGCTGTATCAAATGCAAGGATTATTATTATACGTTACATTTCATTATGTGAACTACATCTGAACGGGTTAGAAGCGGGAACTCAGACTGAATAAAAGTGCTGTCTTATCTCCTCTTATCTCCCGCAGCATTGAACGCATCATCACCCCTCGCCTGGCCCTGACAACAGCCGAGTTCCTGGCATACCAGTGTGAGAAACACGTGCTAGTGATACTGACAGACATGAGCTCCTACGCAGAGGCGCTCAGAGAGGTAAAGCCAAATAAGGCAATCAATCGCTCCCTTGGTAAAGAAAAGGAAAGAATCCTGTAATAATATACCATACAAAATTACACTTGTATCGTGCCTTTCACATCGGGGGGCGACGGGAGCAAGATTTTAAGCAGGAGTAAATCACGATCTCCGTGACACACGGATAATAATACAATAGCCTTTTCAAGTCGTTGAGATTGACTGTGTATTTTGGGCGAAATGGGGCAGCCAATTTATTATAAATTTTTTTGGAAGGGATTATTACCCCCGGAAAGCGATCCGCCGATCGACTAACAAGCGGGTTCCAACTCACTGCTGCTAAACACGGGCGTGTGTGCGTGAGTAAGCAAACTTGCCTAAGGTTTCGCTCCGACCCACCTGGGAATCAAACCTGGGTCCTCTCACTTTAGAGACGAGCGCTCTAACCGCAATGGATTCCGTACAGCTCGCTGCATAGTGGTGTTAACCAGGTGCAGCAGTAACAGTTTTCCTCGCTTTCTCCCCACAATAGGTGTCAGCCGCTCGGGAGGAGGTCCCTGGGCGCCGGGGGTTCCCTGGCTATATGTACACCGACCTGGCCACGATTTACGAGAGAGCCGGGCGTGTAGAGGGCAGGAACGGCTCCATCACACAGATCCCCATCTTAACCATGCCTAACGATGGTGAGCTAACGGCACGTCACATTGTGTCCTTGGAGAATCTTTAAGGGACACTGACTGTTATAAGAGCACGGTGACGGACTGTGTTGTGAGGATGTACGTTACTACCTGTCTCACCTACATAATAATAATAATCCTTACATTTGATACAGTGCCTTATCACGTCTTCGAGACGTCTCAAAACGCTTCATAGCTGGAAATCGCTGCTGAAATGAAATACAGTCAGCGTTGCAGTGTGATTGAGTGTGTGCAGTGTCATTCTGGCTTTGGATTGCCGAGACACATATAAACTCAAACCCAGCTGTGTTATTTCAGATGTTTATATCTGTCAGAGAGGAGACACTGTTATAAGGTGGTGTTGTTGGTATAAATGGCTTTTAAGTTCAATTTGCTTTTATACCATTTTGTGTTTGACTAGATATCACTCATCCTATCCCTGACCTTACGGGCTATATCACAGAAGGGCAGATCTATGTGGATCGACAGTTGCACAACAGGCAGGTATGTCTTAATCATTGATAGATTTTTGGTAGGTCGGTATTACGGGGTATAGGGAGAAAGCGGGAAATCGGAATTGAAAGGATTAGTTGAGGTACAAATCAGTTATGACCTAATTAAAGAGCGGAACAGGCTCGAAGGGCTGAATGGCCTCTTCCTGTTCCTATTTTCCTATGTTCCTAATCAGTCTAACCCTGAGCGAACCTGATAACATGGAGTCATTGGCAGGACCTGGAAGGGCAGACCAGTTACTGGGGGCAAGGAATCCTCCCTCCCAGCTCCTGTTAACCCTGCAGCCAAAACCCTAACAAGCGGGAAAGCTTGGCCAGACAGCGACATCAATATATTAATCGGTGTTTGCAGACATCTCTCAAATGCAAACTTACTCCTAAGATTTGCTGGTTTAAAAAATCAAAGTTCTATTTGGTGCGAGGGACTAAATGGTGATGCTTTTGTCCGGCAGATCTATCCACCAATCAATGTCCTTCCTTCACTCTCGAGGTTGATGAAGTCAGCTATTGGGGAAGGCATGACACGCAAGGACCATGCAGACGTCTCCAACCAGCTGGTAAGTAAGACAGTTTAGACCTAGACTTGTGGACAAGCCCTCCACGGCCTTGCTCCTCCCTGCCTCTGTGAACTGCTAATTCCTTACCGACTTGCCCGCTTCCTCCACTCAATGGTCTCCGGCCTGCCCCATGTCCCACCATCACCAGTTGGGCCTTCAGCCTCTCCACCCCCATCCTTTGGAACTCCCTCCTCCAGTCCCTCCACCTCACGCCCTCCATTGCCTCCTTCAAGGCACATCTCAAGACCCTCCTCTTCGACCATGCCTTCGGCCATCCTCCTTCCTCCACTCTCCTTGCCTCCACCCCCTCCCGATCCCAACTATTTCCTTGCATTCTCTTCATTATCCTTTAATACCCTGATCTCTCGAGTATCTATCTATCTTACATTTAAACATGCACTTGTTTCTGTATCTATTGCAAGTTGGGCAGTGCATTCTACATTCTCACAACCCTCGCTGTGTGAACAAACACCCTCAGATTTCACCTCTAAGCATACGATTGTGTCTCCTTGTTTGGAGAGAGACAGAGAGAGAGAGAGAGATCAACCACCATATTTCCTCCCCATCTTAACAGAGCCTCTGTTCCCTCTCCCTGCAGTACGCTTGCTATGCCATTGGGAAGGATGTACAAGCTATGAAGGCGGTGGTGGGTGAGGAAGCTCTGACTCCGGATGACCTGTTGTTTCTGGAATTCCTGCAGAAGTTTGAGAAGAACTTTATTGTTCAGGGTGAGCTTTATAATAATAATAATAATAATAATCTTTGTATTTGATTCAGCGCTTTGTCTCAAAGCGCTCCACAGAATACACCATAAAGTGTAGAGACTGTGTATTTTTATGGGCAAAACGCAGCAACTAATTGGGCGTAACAGTCTGCCACAAACAGTCATGGAATGAGCGACTAAATTATTATTTTTTTTGGAGGGATTATTGACCAATCGACTAACAACCAGTTCCTACTTACTGCTGCTGGTAAACAGAAGTGTGCGTGTGGACTAAGGAAACTAGCCTAAGGTTTTTCCCTCTCGCTTGCGAGGTGAGAGCTCTAAACACTACCCTACAGGACTCCACATAACTGTTTGCTAAGACGCCTCTGGTCTGTTCCACTAGGAGCCTATGAAAACCGCACCGTCCACGAGACCCTGGACATCGGTTGGAAGTTACTGCGAATCTTCCCGAAGGAGATGCTGAAGAGAATCCCGCAGAGTGTCCTGGCCGAGTTTTACCCCAGGGATTCTGCCGCCAAACACTAACTGTAGCTCTAACACTGCCGTTCCCACTGGTGTGTGCTGTCTGTATCATTACCGAAACACCTTCCCCTTTATTTCTGCTGGTGCGTGAGTAACGTGGTTCAGTGGTGGGACTCTGTGCCCGTCGATTCCTGTCAACGTCCCTCAGCTTGAGTGGGAGTTGAGTTGCCTGCCGTGTTGGGTTCCTGCTCATTAGGCAGTGTGGGGCCAGGTTAGACAGGATCAAGGCGTTCCCTGTGCTGCGTGCAGGGATTGGAGAGCGTCACTCACCAGTGACTGAGCCGCTGCCTCTCTGTGTTTTCATGTGAAATGTGAAACGCACTGAAAATCCTACGTTTGGAATGTCACACAAACTGCTTCTGGCTATTGAGGTGACGATTCACTTGTGCGTTATTAGGACCACCAATGGGGGGCGGGGGGGTCAGGCCTTCAACCTCTCTGTCCCCATCCTCTGGAACTCATCGCCTCACTCCCTCCGTTGCCTCCCATCTCAAGACCTTCCTGTTTGACTGTGTCTTTGGCCACCCTCCTACCCCCATCCTCGCTGCCCTCCACCCCTACTGATGCCAATCCCCAGCTGGGGTCCAAATCCCTGACCGCCCAGTACCTTGGGAGGTCCTCCCGACACGAGAGGCGCCGTGTAAATAATTTGTTGTTGTTGTTGATGCAGTAAAATACTTCTCAACAAACCGTTCAGGAGGGTTGGTGACGTTGCCATGTTAGTCGTCTAAGGCCATTGCTTGACCTGTCAGTGAGTGTTCTACATGTTCGCACAATGAATTTTGAACAATCTGGCTCCTCGTCGCTTTCTGTCAGTGATGTGAACTCTGAGCTCCAGCGGACTTGTCAGACTTTGAGGCTGTAAGTACTAAACATTTGGCTATTTGCCACTCCAGCTCGCTCTCCTTGTGCCTTGAATTTTTAGACCACGTGTCTCATTTGTTTGTGTTCCTAGTTTTGAACAAGTGACGGGTTTGTTTTGTCAGGCCCGGGTTTGAAATGTTACGTGGGTTACAGAACATTCACGCGTGATCCTCGAGCCATCTGCCTGCCTTACGTGTTGTGTTCTGTGTGTGAGATCGTGTTTGGGTTAAGAAGATTTCTGAGTTGTTTTTTTTAGGCTCTTTTTAGGCATTGTCAGTCGCAGGATCTTTGATCCAACAAGAGCTTAATGTGATCCATTCACCAATATGCATCTTAATGCATTGGTGATCAATGTGAAGATTTATTTGCACTGTAGTAATCCCAGAGCACTTATTTCAAGCCCTGTTAATCCTTGTTAAGCCTTGTTATGTTTTCCTGGTTATTTATTTGAATGATCTTTTCTACGTTTCGTGTTATTTATTTGAATGATCCTTTCTACGTTTCGTGTTATTTATTTGAATGATCCTTTCTACGTTTCGTGTTATTTATTTGAATGATCTTTTCTACGTTTCATGTTCATGCTGTTTTAAATATTGCACCTCATTCTGTTTTAAGCACTTTCTAAGTACAGAATAGGTTGGTGTCTGGTCAAATACACAGATCAGCTTTATGCAGTAAAGGCCCTTTTTGTCTAATATTTTCTTGTGTCGTCAAGTTGTCTGTGAAATATATAAATTGTCGGTAAAGTTATTTTGGTACATTAATGACTATTGTACCATACATTCCATAATTACTACTACTATAATACGTGTATGAAGACATCCTGTGCTTCTAACGCGCAAATTACAGGATCAAATGGAATTTTTAAAAAATCGGTCATATATAGATAAATGTTACGACTGTCCGCAGCAAATATCAAATGTTGATTTCTTTTCCTGTCGGTGGAGACCCGTAGCGTGTTGGTCAGAGCGCTCGAGTTGAATTCCCAGTCAAGTTAGGCAAGTTTCCTGACTCTACGCACCTCTGTTTGCCGAGCAGTCAGTGGGAAGCCGGTTGTTAGTTGATGGGCGGAACACTTTCCAGGATAATAAGCCCCCAGAGAAACAGGTGTGCTGAAAGCCTGAGCGCACAGACGGTGGGGCGGGGGAAACCTGGACCGAGAGGGAGAGGTAACACTGACACCGTTGTCAAGGTGACGGGAGGTGGGTGTGTTGCCAAGGTGACGGGAGGTCTGGCTCTATTGCCGGGATGAACAGGTATCCGGCTCTGTTGCCGGGGGTGATGGAGAGGCTTTTGAGCGAGAGAGGGAGAAGGAGAAGAGAGAGCGACAGAGAAACAGGACAAAACGAGCCACTCGAGACGGAGACGGCGGAAAGGATAGCAGAGAGGGAGAGCGTTTCCAAGAACTGGAGCAGAGACTGAGAGAGAGAGAGAGAGAGAGAGCAGCAGCCAAGAATCAACCGTGTGCCGTAGCGAGGAGCCAAGTTAACCCGAGAGAGAGAGGTAGGGGTGGGGAAGGGAACAGTCCTCGTGGAGAAAGTCTGAGGAAAGTCCCAGAGAAAGAGCAGACACCCCCCGACTCTGTGAGAGCGAGACACACGTCCCGAAAGGGAAAAACTTCAAAGACTGATCCCCACGCTGACACCAAACCAACACTGATGCCGAGACACAGATCCAGAATTGAGCGTTGCAAGATGGAAAAGGTAAAAAAAAAAAGGAACGCACACACATTAATGTTTTTTAATGTGTTAATAATAATAATCCTTGCATTTGATACAGCGCCTTATCATGTCTTCGAGACGTCTCAAAGCGCTTCACAGAATTTGCCGTAAAGTGAATCGACTGAATATTTTGTGGGCGACACAAGAATAATAATAATAATATTCTTATTACAAGACCTTTGTAATTTTTAACTTTTATTTAAATTGTTTAAAAGGCTATCAATCGGTATTAATGGATGCCTTAAGTTTGAAAGATAGAGAGGGAATTTGACGTGGGAAAGAAATGTAGATAATTGCTCTCTTTTTCAATTTGTTCAGGGTTAGAACTTTTTTACACAGACACGTTTTATAAGCAACTCCAGTGGGACAAAACCAATGGGAAGGAAACCTGGCGATCACAGTTAGACGTGGTAAAGTGGTTGCTTTAATCATATTGATAATAATAATAACCCTTACATTTGGCTGCCGCTTTTCAGCCACAAAATACACAGTCACTACACATTACAATATATCCAGTGAAGCGCTTGAGACGTCTCAACAACGTGATAAGGAGCTATATCATAGAATGTACTGAGATGGTACCCTGCGTAGAGGGTGATATATAAGTGCAAGTTGTTGTTGTAAAGTCGATTGACTATATTTTGGGGGTAAAACGCGGCAGCGAAATGTGCAAAGCAGTGTCCCACAAACAGTCGTGGATCGAGTGACCGATTTTTTTTTTAAAGGAATGATTACCCTCCGGAAAGCAATCTACCAATCGACTAACAACCTACTGACTGCTGGTAAACAGAGGCGTGTGTGGAGTAAGGAAACTTGCCTAATGTTTCGCACAGACCCGCCCGGGAATCGAACCCGGGACTTCTCGCTTATAACAGTCAGAAACCGTTAAGTTGGTGAATAACAGGTGAAATACATCCTGTGGTGACGTCATTTCCAAGTATCTTATCATAAATACTTGTTGAGAAATGATTACGTCCTCACTTCTACATATAATGAAGCTGCAGAGGACCATGTGACTTCAGCTTTGTTGCTCATCCACACTCCTAAAAAAAATGGTATAGATAAGTCCTTTTATAGACAAGTGATTGATGGGGTATTCCAGGAAACAGTCTCTTTAGTACAGTATCCCACACTCCAGTACTTTTCAGAAAAATAAGACGTCATCTTTAACGCTGACACCAAAACATCCACAATACTTTCTCGGTGTTTTGCCCTCAGTTGTATTTACCCACTGATATAAATGTCTAAACTGATGCAATTTACAATAACAGTATGGACTTGTGTATATCTGGGTACGGACACGTCAGTGTTACAGTGGTAAACAAATCTCACTAATAATAATTCTGTGGTGTCCTGTAGCATAGTGGTAAGAGCACTCGCCTCTCAAGCGAGAGGACCCAGGTTCGATTCCCGAACAGGATGAAACCGTAGGCAAGCTTCCTTATTCCTCACTCCACACTCCGCTGTTTACCCAGCATGTAAATAGGAACCCAGTTGTTAGCTGATTGACGGATTGCTTTCCAGGGGGTAATAATCCCTTCAAAAATAAAAGAAAATAATAATAATAATTTGGTCACTCAAACCACGACTGCTTGCAGGACGCTGCTGTACACAATTGGCTGCCGTATTTCGCCCACAAAACACACAGTCACTGCACTTGACAGTCTATGCTGTGAAGCACTATGAGACGTCTCGAAGATGTGATAAGGCCCTGTATCAAATGTAAGGATTATTATTATTAATATTATTATAAATGTGTTCATTGTGTCGGTGCCTCACTGACTAATTGATCGCTGTCTTGCCCCCCAACAGGTGGAGCAGATTCTGTCTGAGTTTCACCTGCAGAAGGAGGAGCTGGTGGAGGTGACGAGGAGATTACAGCACGAGATGGAGAAAGGACTGCGGATCGAGACCCACGAGGCAGCCAGTGTCAAGATGCTCCCCACCTATGTGTGTAGCACACCCGATGGCTCAGGTAACACAGACTGATCAGACACTCGAGTCCTGTAGCTCAGTGGTGAGAGCGCTCGCCTCACAAGCGAGAAATCTGGGTTCGATTCCCGGCAGGGCGAAATCTTAGGCAAGTTTCCTTGCTCCACGCATACACCTCTGTTTACCCAGCATTTAGTAGGATCAGCATATCACTTCTGGGGTTAATAATCCCTCTTCCAAAAAATAATAATTTGGTCACTCAATCCACCACTGTTTGTGGACACTGCTGTATGCAATTGGCTGCTGTGTTTTGCCACAATATAGTCAATTCACTTTATCGTATATTCTGTGAAACGCTTTGAGACGTCTCAATGACTGGATAAGGCGCTATATCAAATGCAAAGATTATTATTATTATTATGAGAGCTTTTATTCAATCATGATAGGTTAGCCTAATACCCATTGGCAATCCGTCAATGCTTACTTGATTTGTAATGTAGTTTGGTAGCCTTTGTAGACTCTCGCCTCCGAGTCAGAAGCTTGTGGGTTCAAGCCCCCAAATCCTAAGGGTCTTATGTTCTTATTCTCTCTCCCCTTCTGTTGCACTCAGAGGTGGGAGATTTCCTCTCACTGGACCTGGGGGGCACAAACTTCCGCGTGATGCTGGTGAAAGTTGGTGAAAATGAAGAGGGCGATTGGAAAATTGCAACCATTCCCCAGATGTACTCAATCCCAGTAGATGTTACGACAGGCACAGCACAAATGGTAAGGCTTTATAATGGTACCCATTGTCTCAGTGTCTGACGTGGGACTCCATTGAAGGTCAGTTGGCTGCCTGACACATAGGAACAGAAGGAGGCCATTCAGCCCCTGGAGCCTGTTCCACCATTCTATTAGATCACGGCTGAGCTGCACCTCAACTCCAATTACACTCCTTTGCCCCGTATCCCTTGATAACCTGACCTGACAAAAATTGTGGAAACTCATCACCATGCTTGCCATTGATATCGCTATCTGGCAAGCAAATCGAGTAAGAATAAATTAACTGGTTTACTACGCTGCAATGAGTGTTTTTAGTTTATTCCTTTGTACCTCTTTTGGGAACTTTACTGCAATATGAAATGAATTGTTTTATCTCTCTCTCAACCACGAAACAGAGTTGTTTCCAACACTAAATATTTCTCCTTTGGCAGCTGTTTGACTATATCGCTCAGTGTATCTCCAACTTCCTGGATCGACACAACATAAAGCACAAGAAGCTGCCACTCGGGTTCACATTCTCCTTCCCCGTCCGTCACGAGGACATTGACAAGGTGAGAGAGATCACAAGACCGTAAGCAGCAAAGCAGTGTTGGGTCCTTGTTTGGTGCTCCTCCCTATCTCTGTGACCTGCTAACACCACACCAACCTGTCTGCTCAGTGGGCTCCAGCCTACTCCACTCCGCCCGGCCCACCATCAGTGGTCGGGCCTTCAGCCTTTCTGGCCCCACCCTCTAGAACTCCATCACACAGTCTCTTTGCCTCACCCCTCTCTTGCCTCCTTCAAGGCCTGTCTCAAAACCCTCCTCTTTGACCGCGCCTTCAGTCACCCAACTACCACCCTCCCTGCCCTCCACCCCTCCCGATTCCAACCCCCAGCTCAGGTCCAAATCCCTGACTGTCCAGCGTCCAGTGATCACAGTAACCTTTATCCTCCACAGGGAATTCTTCTAAACTGGACCAAAGGGTTTAAGGCCTCGGGAGCTGAGGGTAACAATATAGTGGGGCTCCTTCGTGATGCCATTAAAAGGAGAGGGGTGAGTTTACATTGGCTACTTTTATGAATCATATTAATATTCCTATAATGTGACGATCTGTGCTTAGTGTTTGTTTGCCTTACCACAGTTCCCTGATTCAAACATTCATTATGTACATCTGCCTGGCTCAGTCGGTCGTGTTCTCTCTCTCTCTCTCTCTCTTGCCTTTGAGTCAGAAGGTTGTGAGTTTGAGCCCCCCCCCCCCACATCGGGACTTGGGATCACACAATCTAAGCTGATGCTCCAATGTAGCGCTGGGGGTGGGTGTTCGTTGTCGGAAGTGCCATCCTTCGGATGAGACTTTAAAGTTCGCTCCCCCTCTGCCTGTTCAGGTGGACTTTAAAGATGATCTGTGGTGCTGAGTTTCTTTTTCCCGGTGTCCTGGCCAACAATCCCACCAAATAAAAAAATTTGGTCGCTCACTTTGGTCGGCTGTTTGTGGGACACTGATGTGTGCAATTGGCTGCCGTATTTCGCCCACAAAATGCACAGTCAATCCACTTACAGTATATATCCTGTGAATTGCTTTGAGACATCTCGAGGGGACTATTACTCCACTGCTAGGTAAACAGAGGTGCGTGTGTGTGTGTGTGTGTGTGGAATAAGGAAACTTGCCTAAGGTTTTGCTCCAACCTGCCCGGGAATCAAACCCGGGTCCTCTCGCCTGCGAGGCGAGCACCCTAACCACTACGCCACAGGAATACACGTAGCCGTCAAAGGATTATGAGATGAAGGAATGAAAGTGGAGAAATGTTAGTTTTAAAGTTTTTATTTTAAGATGCAAGTACATCAGACGCGGAGCTAAACGGAAACGTGAATATTTCAACATCTAAATTCTCTCTGTTGCAGGATATCGAAATGAACGTGGTTGCTATGGTGAACGACACCGTGGCAACAATGATCTCCAGTTACTATGAGGACCACAGCTGTGAGGTCGGGCTGATCGTGGGTAAGGGGGACATACAGCTACTGTTTTTTGGTGACATTGAAATGATAAGATAATGGAAAGGCCTAACGTCACCCAAATAACATAAGCAATGATAACCACAACAACACGCGACATTTATACGGCGCCTTTCACATCGGGAGGACATCCCAAGGCGCTGGACAGTCAAAAGGATTTGGACCTGAGCTGGGGGTTGGGATCAGGAGGGGTGGAGGGAAGGAAGGATGGCGGTAGGACAGTGACTGAAGGCGCGGTCGAAGAGGAGGGTCATAAGATAGGCCTTGAAGGAGGGAACAAGGCCCCAACACAGCCCCAACCTCATGATGTACAGACCAGAAAAGAGGGAGCTCACAAAACGTCGCAGAAAGAACTGCTTTTGGTTTTGCAGTCAATAACAGCCCCACCATAGCATAATGGAAACACAGCTGTCGTCAGCAAACACTGGGGCGGAAGCTGATGGAGTGATCCGGGAAAGTCAGCTCGGAGTGGTGCGTGGTCAGTCCTGCTGCATAAACAGCTCAGCTCACAGTGAATAATTAACAGGATCCCAACAGCTCACGTCATCAATCCTCAAAAGGCAGGCGCAATGCCACCTCCCAGAGCCGGTCACAGCCCAGGAAATATCGGCAGCCTAAGTCATCACAAAACAACAAAATTACAACAACAAAACTGGGGGGGACGTCCCAGGACACTGAACAGTCAGTGATCAGGACCCGAGTTTGGGGGTATGCAGGTCTGGGGTGAGGGAGGGCAGAGAGATAGGAGGGCAGCTTGAAGCCAAGGACGAAAAGGAGAGTTTTGAATCGTGCCTTGGAGGGAGCAAGGCAAAGAGATTGTGGGATGGGGAGATAGTGGAGTCGGGCAAGGATGGAGGTGATGGGATCACGGAGCTGCAGAGTTCTGGATGATCTGCAGCTTGTGGAGGGAAGAGCTGGGGAGGCCAACAGGGAGGGAGTTTCCGCAGTTGATGGCACGGGTAAGGGGGAGGGTCAAACAAGACGCCCGGGTTCCTGACTGGCTTGGTGAGGTGAGGTGTGTATCAGTGGATGCTGATGCTGCCAGTGCCTGAGGTGCGGTTCTTAGAATAGTTCTTAGAGTAAGGCTGTTACTGGCCAACAATCCCCCGGATAAAATTGGTCACTCAATCCACGACTGTTTGTGGGACGCCCCTGTGTGGAATTGGCTACCGCGTTTAGCCCCAAAAATACACAGTCACTGCACTTTACAGTCTATCCTGTGAAGCGCTTTGAGACGTCTCAACGACGCGATAAGGCAGTGTATCAATTGCAAAGAATGATTGTTATCAGACATTGTTACACTCAGAGCCTCTGCAACGGAAATGAAAAAATTCAGCACAACAAAACACACACACACACACATACACAAAGAGAGTGGGGTAACAGCACTTTGTGTGGACACCCTGTACAACTTTATTCCGTTGAAAGAAATGTCTCTGTCTAATCGCTGGCTGTGTGTGTGTGTAATTCCAGGCACTGGCTGTAATGCCTGTTACATGGAGGAAATGAAAAACATGGAGCTGGTAGACGGAGAGGAGGGACGGATGTGCGTGAACACTGAATGGGGAGGGTTCGGGGATACAGGGGAGCTGGAGGAGTTTCGCTTGGAATACGATCGTGTAGTCGACGAGGCATCTCTCAATCCAGGTCACCAATTGTAAGTAAATTTCACGTCAAGTGCTAACCTGAAGGACTTATCCTCCATGTTGCTTGATATCTTTACTCTATTGACCTAGCAGTAAGTAGGAACCCGGTTGTTAGTCAATTGGCGGATCAGTTTTTCCAGGTGTAATAATCCCTTCAATATAATATTCTGGATACAATCACTGGCCTGACCTTTAACAACACTTCTAACCGAGAGCTGAGAAAACAACAGCTATCTCCAGGCTTGTGTTGCTGGCCAGAGCTTGTTTTTTTGGCCTCTCAAGTGGACACCACTCTATGAATGAACCATAAATCTCAGTTTGTCGGAGAGTAATGATGGCCTATTACGCAGCCAATGCCCATCAGTCCAAACTGGCTAACGGGAATTAGCCATTACTAGGTAACTGCAATTGCTGTTTCCCACTCAGCTAATGGCTGTTTACGCCTCGCGAGCTGAGCGGAATTAAACTGTTTGCACTTGATTTCGCTGCACTGGCAAGGAGTTGGAGTCAAGAGTCTGCGCTGTGTCTGTTTGACTATACGTCATTGGTGCTGGGATCGAAACTTCACATTCTCAGCAACTCTCTAGTGGCATGGAACTCGACAATCCCGGCCTCAGCAGTTTCAAGCTGCTCAACATGTCTCTAATTGCTCCGTTTTACCTTTTAGCTACCGGTTGAGGCAGAAGATAGCAAGTGGTGGAACTGCATTGGTTAACACTCAACATGTACTGATGATAAGCATTGAATGCATGTCAGCTAATGCACTGATGCTCAGGCAGATAAGCTGAGAAGTGTTTCTCATTGGTTTAATTACTTGCTCCTTGGTAAACACAGGCATGTACATGGAGTAAGGAAACTTGCCTATGGTTTCACCCTGACCCACCCGGGATCAAACCCGGGTCCTCTTGCTTGCGAGGCACTATGGGACTCCACTATTAGTACACACCATGTCTATAAAGATCAGGAAGGTAGTTGGATTGATCCCCAAGATTTGCAGAAACAGCACGAAAGGCTACTGAACTGTTTACATGTGAGTTTCTCGTTCCTGAACAGATATGAGAAGATTATCGGTGGTAAATACATGGGTGAGGTAACCCGCCTTGTGTTACTGAAACTGGTCAATCAAAACCTGCTCTTCAACGGTGAAGCTTCGGAATTACTCAAAACCAGAGGCAGCTTCGAAACCAAGTTTCTCTCTCAAATTGAAAGGTAAAGAACTCCCTTTGGTTCTTCCTGGGCCGGGGGACACGGAGCAGGCTGGGGGACATGGAGTAGGCCAGGGCTGGCCGAGCAGAGGGAGCGGACAGGTTGGTATGGGGTTAACCTGTCCGCCCTTCATGCAGGGTAGCACCTCAAAGCGTTTAACAGTGGGGAGATTGATGCCGAGAAGGAGAGAGAGGGAGGTGACCTTAGGCACGGTCGGAGAGGAGGGTCTGAAGGTGTGATCTGAAGACGGGCAAGGAGGGGGGCAGTGAGGCAGAGGGGATTGAGGCATTGAGAGTTCCAGAGTGTCGGGGCATAGCGGCCTCGGGTGGTGTATTACTTCCTATTTTGACACCTCTCTCTCTCTCTCTGTCGCTGTGTTTCAGTGATGGGAGCGACCAGAAGCAGATCTATAACATCCTGACCACACTAGGGGTGCTGCCGTCAGAAGCCGACTGTGAAATCGTGCACTTGGTGTGTGAGAGCGTATCCACGCGGGCAGCACATATATGTGCTGCAGGCCTGGCTGGCGTGATCAACCGCTTGTGTGACAACAAGAGGAAGGAAACCATGAAGATGGCTGTCGGAATTGATGGCTCAGTTTACAAGCTCCATCCTCAGTAAGTGCTCACACGACTCGTTCGCCAAACACAACAGTCACTATACTTTACATTATATCCTGTGAAGCGCTCTGAGACGTCTCAACAACATGCAATCATGTAGTCCAAGCTGACACTCCAATGCAGTGCTGGAGGGCGAAACCTTGGGCAAGTTTCCTTACTCCACACACCAAATAATAATCCCTCCAAAACAAAACAAATTGGTCATTTTCAATCCACGACTGATGGTGGGGCACTGCTGTGCGCAATTGGCTGCCGCGTTCACCCACAAATATACAGTCAATTCACTTTACAGTGTGTTCTGTGAAGCGCTTTCGGACGTCCTCCCGACGTGAAAAGCACTATATCAAATGCAAGGATTATTATTATTATTGGAGCGGTGTTGCAGTGTCGGAGACGCCGTCCTTCGGATGAGTCATTAAACTGACTCCCCATCTGCCTGTTCAGGTGGACGTTAAAGATCTCCCGTGACGCGAGTCTTTAATTAAAAGAATAATGCTTTCTTTCAAAAGAATGGCCGATTTGTGTTCTTACATTCCACTCTTTGTCCCTAGATTCCTGCCATTGACCGGGCCAGGACCCAGGAACCCAGCAAGAGCGGGCAGGTCAGGCAGGAGTACACACACTGCATTTTCCTCAGTTTAACTTCCAGTGTAAAGTCTTAAATACTAGGGGCAGGGAATCCTCCCATCCCAACCCATCCCACCCCAGTCAGCTCCTGGTAACCCTGCAACCCGGGGTCACCTCGGAGCTGAACTGTATTCAGAGCCTTGGGATGTCCTCCCGATGTGAAATTCGCTGTACAAATGTAATTTTGTTGTTGTGGTTGTATTAGAGTCCTGTCCCGCCCAGCTGCCAAAATAATACTAATAATAATCCTCGCATTTGATACAGCGCCTTTTCACGTCTTCGAGGCGTCTCAAATCGCTTCACAGGATACGCTGTAAAGTGAATTGACTGTATGTTTTTTGGGTGAAACTCGGCAGCCAATTGCGCACAGCAGCGTCCCCACAAACGGCCGTGGATTGAGCGATCAAATTATTATTTTTTTGTTTAAATTATTATTTTTAAAGAGGTTATTAGCCCCGGAAAGGTGATCCACTAATCGACTAGCAACCGGGTTCCAAATTTACTGCTAGATAAACAGAGGCAATGTGAAGTAAGGAACGTTTCGCCCTGCCCAGGAAAACAACCTGTCTCCTCTCGCTTGCGAGGCGAGTGCTCTAACCGCGACGCAACAGGACTCCGAAAGCTGTGGTTCTGGTATATTAATCGCCTGTCCTTATTTCATTTCCTGTCTCCCAGCTTCAAGAGCAGGTTCCATTCAATGGTGAGAGAGTTGACTCCTCACTGTGACATCATCTTCCTCCAGAGCGACGAAGGCAGCGGGCGCGGGGCAGCCCTCATCTCCGCCATCGCTTGCAAGATGGCGACTTGATTGACCTCCGGCTTCGTAAAGCTACCAATTGAGCTGTCGCTAAGTGACTGGATCTCACATCTGGACATTCCTACAGCATTTCACGTTGTGCCTCAAGCTAGCTTGTTCCCCCGAAGAACGCTGGTCAGATCGCATCATTCGATGCTCACAGCACAACACACACTGTTCAGCCAATGACTGATTGCAATCTTGCAGCCTTACGTCGAATGGGTAACTAACTCAGAACCCTATCTCGATGATCTGTCCTTTCAGATCTCACATCAGTCAGTATTCCTGGGCGGGGTGAAATGTTAGGCACGTTTCCTTACTCCACACATCTCCGTTTACCTAGCTGTCAGTAGGAACCCGGTTGTTAGTCGATTGGCGGAACTCTTTCTGGGGGTAATAATCCCTCCTCAAAAAAATTAATAATTTGGTCACTCATTCCACGACTGTTTGTGGGACGCTGCTGTGTGCAATTGGCTGCCATGTTTAACCCACAAAATATAGTCAATTCACTTTACTTTTCCTGTTTATCCTGTCAATGATATAGTATACCATTTGATGTTGCGACTTATCACGTTGTTGAGACGCCTCAAAGCGCTTCACAGTATATCCTGTGCAGTCCTTTGAGAGTCTCAACGACTTGAAAAGGCGCTACATCAAACGCAAGGATTATGATTATTACAACCTTTCAGTTATTATACAACACAAATTTAAATGTATACAGCGCCTTTCACATCGGGAAGATGTCCCAAGGAGTTTAACAATCCTTGCTATTATTCTTGTAATCTATGAACTTGTACCTCATGTGTAGAACCTGCCAAGTTTCTGGTGATCAGAGCTTTCTCAGATATAGAGCGGGAACATTATACAGACATTTATTATATAAGCAACTGAATACGGTAATTTCAACCTTGTGAATGGAACAAATGTATTGAGATACATAATTTCTAAATGAAATTGATTTAACTTTTCACATCTGAATCTCTATATTAAAATATATTTTACATGAATCCAGTCAGGAGTATTGTTTTGGTGAGTAACCAATTGAAATTACAGTAGCATTGTTTTCCCTAGGGTTCACTTTTCCTCTTAACACCTTTATCATTCATTATTAACTATTTAGAAGTAGAATTATTGGGAGCATAAAAAGCTACAATGCCAGTGGCATTGATGTGTGGAGGAGATGGAACATATTTTAAGTCTGTCTATGCTGTGCTTGGTTCAAATAGGATATAAATGGCCCTTTAAGAACGACTGCAATGGATAAGGACAGATGGAATCCTGTAGTGTAGTGGTTAGAGCACTCGCCTCACAAGCAAGAGGACCTGTGTTCGATTCATGGGCAGGCCCAAACCTTACTCCACACACTCCACTCTGTTTACCAGCAGTAAGTAGGAATCCGGTTGTTAGTCAATTGGTGCATCGCTTTCCGGGGAGTAATAATCCCATCAAGAAATAAATAATAATGCGGTCACTCAATCAACGACTGTTTGTGGGACCCTGCTCTATGCAATCGGCTGCCGTGTTTCACCCACAAAATACACAGTTTACTTTACAGTAGGTCATGTGAAGCTTTTTGACACGTCTCGAAGACATGATAAGGCGCTCTTTCAAATGCAAGCATTATTATTATAAAATTGTTCACTCTCTTGGCTGGTTGTGGCACATTGCTGTGTGCAAATTGGCTGTTGGGTTTGTCTAGAAATACAGAAAACTGAAAAGGTGTGACATTTCAACCGTTCAATGCTTGTGTATTTTGTATTTATTGTAAGACTTGCACACTGTATGAAAACCATAATACCGTATTAATGCAACGTGGTAAAGCTTTTGGATATCCTCTGATTTATGTTGACAAGTAATATGTTGGTGGTTAGTAAAGATGTTTATTTGGCTGACGGGTTTCGCCCACGAAATACACGGTCACTTCACTTTACAGTATATGCTGTGAAGCGCTTTGAGACGTCTCAACGAGGTGATAAGGCATTATTTCAAATTCAAAGGTTATTATTATTATTGCTGCATGTAAAGGGAGCCCCGATCGAATAGCTTCCTAGTGCGAATAGGGTACCAATTAAATGATTACTGTGTTAAAGGCTTAATGCTATTCTGGAATGCCTAGCCCCACTTCACAGTATCTTAACTGTTGTGAAAGAATCCACTTTATCACAGCCGTGTGACGTGCAGTCAGTTACCCGGACTCAAAACTTCCATTTAAAGTCCGTCTGTCACCTAGAATAATCCTTTCCAGGACCGAGTGAGATAAACAGGACTATATAGCCTGGACGTAACCTCTGCACTTGTAGTCAATCTTTGTCACACAACATGGTAAGTGTCACAATGTTTTACATTAATCCCCATTAATGTTATTTTATTCGCTCTTCGTTCCTACCATTACTCTCTGTGTTTGGTATAATTGTTATAATCATTATTGTATTAATCATCCTGTGTGTTTGCTTCGTGCAAATTGTCAAGGTCAAACAGGCTGGAAACTTTGGCATGTATTTAAGCAAGTTTCCTTACTCCACACGCCTCTGTTTACGTGGCAGTATATAGGAATCCGGCTGTTAGTCAATTGGTGGATCACTTTCCAGAGGTAACAAACCCTTCAAAAAATATAATAATATGGACACTCAATCAACGACTGTTTGTGGGACACTGCTGTGTGCAATTGGCTGCCGCATTTCGCCCGCAAAGCGTATACAGTCACTACACTTTACAGTATATTCTGTGAAGCGCTTTGAGATGTCTAGAAGAAGTGATAAGGCGCTGTATAAAATGCAAGGATTATTATTCTAATTATTGATACGTTTGTTACTGGGCTATTAGATTGTGCAGATCACTAGATTTTTCTGGTATCAAATGCAAGGATTATTATTATTACAGCGTGGCAGTGCACTGAATATATTGTATGTTGCTTCTAGGCAAGCAGGAAAGCTACCAAAGACAAAGCAGCCAAACTGAGACAGAAAGGCTCATCCAATGTCTTCTCCATGTTTGAGCAGTCCCAAATACAGGAATTTAAAGAGGTGAGTCTCAAAAATCCGTATCCCCAGCTTCCCACTGTCGCATCAAATGCAAGGATATTTATTTTATAATTATTTACTATGGAGTAAACTATGGAGATCCAGTTACTCAGCAGGGCAATGATTTCATTTGCACAAGATTAAAAGGTAGAATTGTATGCAAAAATAACAGATCTCTTGGTAGTAAAAAATTATGCTCAGGAGCTAATCCCAGGAATGAGGGATTCACACAGACACCGATTTAACCCTGAGTTGTGTATTTTGTAGGCTTTCAGTTGCATCGATCAGAACCGTGATGGAATCATCAGCAAACAGGACCTGAAAGAGACCTACGGTCAACTGGGTGAGTGCCTGCCTACCTATATGTCCTGTTAACTCCATTTCGACCTGACCCTCCGCTCAGCAGGCTTCAGCCTGCTCCATGTCCCCTGCCCGGCCCACCCCATCATTGGCAGTCAGGCCTTCAGTCTCTCTGCTTCCCACCCTTTGGAAATCCATCCCACAGTCCCTTCGCCTCGCTCCCGCTCTCCCTTTCCTCTTTCAAGACCCTCTTCTTCAACTGTGCTTTCGGTCACCCTCCTAACCCCACCATCCCTGCTCCTCGCCCGCTCCCAATTCCAACCCCCAGCTCGGGTTCAAATCCCTGACTGTCCAGCACCTTGGGACATCCTCCCGATGTGAAAGGCGCTGTGTAAATGTAAATTGTTGTTGTTGTTTGCCCAAAAAGTTATAACCAGTGGGAACGCAAAACAAGAATGCGTTACACTTCATTCTGTGATTATTAACCTTCAGTGTGTCTTTGCAGGTAAGATCAATATAAACGATGAGGAATTGGAGGCAATGTTGACTGAGGGAAAGGGGCCAATGAACTTCACCATCTTCCTCACTCTCTTCGGGGAGAAACTGAACGGTAAGGACTGAGGAGCCAACAGCAGCAGGTGGTAATGCTGTGCAGAGGAATAAACAGACAGTAGTTACTGCATGGAGGAGCTAGTGGAGTCCTGTAGAGCTTTATCACGTCGTTGAAACGTCTCAAAGGGTTTCACAGAATATATTGTAAAGTGGAGTCACTATGTTTTGTGGGCGAAACGCAGCAGACAATTGCGCACAGCAGTGACCCACAAACAGTCGTGGATTGAGTTGAGCACTGTTAAGTGCTCCGAGATGCCGCCCTGTGTGAAGGGTGCTAGATAAATGTAAATTGTTGTTGATGATGTTAGTAGCCAGGACAAGCAATTAGCTGTTGCTTACTTATCTTCTTCCCAAAGGTGCTGATGCAGAAGAAACCATCCTCAATGCCTTCAAGTTGTTTGATCCTCAATCAACGGGGAACCTGAACAAAGACGAGTGAGTGGCAGACAGTGTCTGAGACGTGGTTTGTTCTTGAAGGACATATTCTTAGATGTACAGTACTTACATTCCCTGACTGACAGGCACACACTCATTCTGAAGGTCAAATTTCTCATCATAAAATGCACTGGCTGGCCAGAAACATAACTGTGTCTTGGAGTCCAGTAGTGTAGTGGTTAGTGCGAGAGGACCTGGGTTTGATTCCTGGGCGGGGTGAAGTCTTGGGCAAGTTTCCTTACTCCACACACACGGCTCTGTTTACCTAGCAGTCAGTAGTGGGCAAAACGTGGCAGCAAACAGTCATGGATTGAAGATATACAGTAACACAACTTAAAGCTCTTTTCCCTTCTCTGTTGGCCACAGATTTAAAAGACTTCTGCTGACTCAAGCTGATAAATTCAGTGAAGAAGAGGTGAGTGAGCCTTACTTTGGCCTTTGTCCAGGGTGTGTGGCCTTGGCACGATTTAAACCTCTTTCAAGGCCCATCACAAAGTCTTCCTTGATCATGCCTTCGGTCATCTTCCCTCCCTTACCCTCCACCCTCCTGATCCCAACCCCCAGCTTGGGTCCAAATCCCTGACTGTCCAGCGCCTTGGGACGTCCTCCTGTTGTAAATGGCACTGTGTAAATGTCATTTGTTGTTGTTGTGGTGCAGGTAGAGCAAGTGCTTGCTGTGACTCCTATTGACGTGGCCGGAAACCTTGATTATAAGTCACTGTGTTACATCATCACCCATGGAGATGAGAAGGAAGACTCCTAGAGGGGGCTGAGGCCGGGAGAGGAAACTAACTCAGTGTGCTGGTTAATCCTGACCTACTATCTATTATCAAAGTCACAGCACTTCTCTATCTCTCCGACTTGCTTACTCCCCAACCTAGTACCCATTGCCTCCGCTCGACTGGCTCCAGCCTTCTGCTTGTACCTCGCACCCTCTGTTCCACCCTCGGTGGCCACGCTTTCAGCCACTACACTACACCCCAAAACTCCCTTTACCCCTCTGCTTTGCCCCTCCTTCCCCATCTTCAGGTCGCGCCTGAAGACCTTCCTCTTCAACCGTACCTATAGTCACCTTACCCCCTACACCCGGCTCGGTGTCGTGCTCCCGCAAGCGCTCTGGGACGCTATGCAATGAGGGGCGCTGTGTAAATGCAAGTTGTTGTTGACTAAACACATCAATAAAACATTTGAGTGTACAGAGCTTCACGTCCATGTCCAGCTAACGCTGTTTGTGTCGGACTCGGTCAGTGAGCGAACGCCCACAATCCTTGTGAGTTCAGTTGGGACCCGGAAAGTAGTGCTGTAATCATTTTGGAATTGGTAGTTCTGCGGAACACCGGTGTGACCGTACACGGAGGCCGCCCGAGCCTGACTGCCCGCCCTTCAGGACCTGACGTGGGGGCTCGAGAGGGTGACCGCCCGAGCCAGGCTGACCCACAGTAGTGACTGTGTGCTTTGTGAGGCTCGGGGTTGACCATTGCCACGTGCACGTTTGTCCTGCTCTCCAGCACTGAGCATGCGCGGTGTGCCCTCCTCCTGCTCGGCAGCACTGAGCATGCGCGGTGTGCCCGCCGCCTGCTCGGCAGCACTGAGCATGCGCGGCGTGCCCTCCTGCTGCTCGGCAGCACTGAGCATGCGCGGCGTGCCCTCCTGCTCGGCAGCACTGAGCATGCGCGGTGTGCCCTCCTGCTGCTCGGCAGCACTGAGCATGCGCGGCGTGCCCTCCGCCTGCTCGGCAGCACTGAGCATGCGCAGTTTGGACCGGGTCGCGAGGGCGACGGTTGGCGGGAATCTCGGGCTGAGCAGCGCGAGAGGGGGAGGACTCGCAGCGGCGTCTGTGGCGGCGGCGGCGGCCCTGAGGTACAGCGGCCCTGAGGGGGGGAGACACGGAGCGGAGAGGCCGAGGCCGCCGCCGCCGCCGCCACAGGCTGGCAATGAAACACAGCGGCTCCTGAGCGGCTGTGAGTGTGTGGGGGGCCTCTGCCCACAGCTCCGCGCTCTCCGCCTGCCCTCCCCCTCCCCCCTCCCTCCCTCACTCACTCTCTCTCTCTCACTCCCTCCCTCAGTCACTCACTCCCTCACTCTCTCTCTCTCACTCCCTCAGTCACTCACTCCCTCCCTCACTCCTCACTCGGGCTCTGGTCTCCCTCTCAGTCTCGGTGTCGCTGTTTAAAGTGAGACCAGAACCTGCCTCTGTATTAACATCTGCCATTAAACGTTGTCGTAAACAAACTCCATGTACACAGGTACATGGCGGTACACACACACACACAGGTACATGGCGGTACACACACACACACACAGGTACATGGCTGTACACACACACACACAGGTACATGGCTGTACACACACACACACAGGTACATGGCTGTACACACACACACACACACAGGTACATGGCTGTACACAAACACACACACACACACAGGTACATGGCTGTACACACACACACACACAGGTACATGGCTGTACACACACACACACACACAGGTACATGGCTGTACACACACACACACACACAGGTACATGGCTGTACACAAACACACACACACACACAGGTACATGGCTGTACACACACACACACACAGGTACATGGCTGTACACACACACACACACACACACAGGTACATGGCTGTACACACACACACACACAGGTACATGGCTGTACACACACACACACACACACACAGGTACATGGCTGTACACACACACACACACAGGTACATGGCTGTACACACACACACACACACACACAGGTACATGGCTGTACACACACACACACACACACACAGGTACATGGCTGTACACACACACACACACACACTGGTACATGGCTGTACACACACACATAGGTACATGGCTGTATACACACACGTAGTCCTTATCTGCATGTGTATGTTCTCAGAATACTATAATATTTAAATATTCAAGTTAGTTCCTGGAGCGGTTCATAATTTTGTTTTCTTTGCAATACACTCCAGTTCATCTTCTTGCCACTCATAACATAATTAATAATAACAGTCCCGTTGCCTTGCGCCACCCTTGCCTCCTTCAAGGCCTGTCTCAAGACCTTCCTCTTCGACTACATCGTCGGTCACCCTCCTTCCCCTGCCCTCCACCCCTCCCGATCCCAAACTCCAGCTCGGGTGCATATCCTTGACTGTCCAGCACTTTGGGACACCCTGACGTGAAAGGCGCTGTGTAAATGTAATTGGTTGTTGTTGTTAACACACTAATTTCATTTTGTCACAGAGTCGCACAATGTTCTCTGACAAAGCTGCCCAGAAAACTCAAACTCTGCTCTCAGCCCCCATGGAAGATGCTCCCACGTTTGACCGAGTGCCCACTTCCTCTTACAAGAACTGCTCGGAACGCTTCACGCTAGGAGAGCGCAACTTTAACCGGCAGTATGCACACATCTACGCCGTTCGTCTTATCCAGATGCAAAGTTTTCTGGCCGAGAGAGTCAAAAACAAATGGGGTAAGTCCTCGGTGGGCGCGCGCATGTAGGCGTGTGTTTGTGTGAACAAACCAAAGTTCAAGTTTGTCAATGTAAATACAATGCAAATTTTAGTGTACAGATTTACATTTAAATAGCGCGTTTCACGTCAGGAGGATGTCCCAAGGTGCTATGAGTCGCTCTGCGGAAAGAAGTGCACGTATAGAGTCTGTTATTCCAACGGTACCGTTGCCTGGCTAAATTGGTAGCACTCTCGACTTTGAGTCAGATGGTGTGGGTTCAGGATTTGAGCTTCTAATCTTAGACAGTACTCGACACTCCAATGCCATGTTACGGAGTGCTGCATTTTCAGAGGATGGCACTGTGCCCTCATTCTCTACTCTGTCAATACCGCTTTTGGTTGACTGTGCAGAAGGGGGAATAAACAGCCCCCTTAAAGCCTGCATGCCCAGCGAACCATCTGTAGTGATGCTTTCCTGCCGCTTGGCTGTGCACTTGGCCTGTTGCCGCATGTTGCATCCTGAAACCATTGCTGTCCTCTGCCGACAACACTGGGGGGAAATTTGTTGCAAATTATTGTCCTACCATATACATGTCCTGTAGTATAAGTCGCCTACACCACATATTTCCCCGCAGGCCTTTCATTTTGAGGTAAACATTTATATTTAAAATAATTTAAAATAAACATTTAAATTAGAGCTGAGGTATAGTTCAGCCATGATCAAATAGAATGGAGGAACGGGCTTGAGGGGCTGAATGGCCTCCTCCTGTTCCTATGCTCCCGAGCAGATGTGCTGTTGGAATGGGGCTCAGCACGCACTGGCTGTTGTCTTCCAGGTGCTGACGTGCCAGTGAAGAAGCTCTGTGAACTTCAGCTCGGGGAGAGGTGCTGTGTGATCGGGACGCTCTTCAAGCACATGGAGCTGAAACCCTCCATCCTGCGGGAGATCAGTGAAGAGGTAGGAGTCTAAGGGACTCTAGACATAATTGGAACTTCAACTGAAGAATGCGCTCAACAAAAAAAGATTTAACATTGTTTCTTTGTCCTTTCAGCACAACCTGTTGCCTCAGCCGCTGCGAACAAAATTCACCGATCAGTTGGACGAGCTTATTCTCGAGGATGAATTGCAGCGAATCAAATTGGAGGGAGCTATTGATGTTCAGAAATTTGTCACAGGTTGGTTCGACAATTTGATTTGCCTGAGGCAAATTGAGTGAGGTTGTTTCTGGAGTTGGATTTAATGTGCCTGTGCATTCCTTTGCCAGGAGTAATTCTGGGATTGTTGGGAACGGAACAGGGAGACGGTAAATTCCTCGTGGAAGATTTCTGTACCGCTGACCTCCCACCACAGCAGCAAATGGCAGGTCCTGCTACTGACAGGTGAGAGACTGAACCCGATCCTGATGGGTGAGAGGCGGGGTATCAGTCATCAGCCAGGGTATCAGTCACTTGATGTAGTCTGACATAGCTTCCAGACACTTTTTGGGGGTCAGCAGAGTGTTTGATACATGCAGAAACCCATCACCATGCTTGAAACACCATACTACACATGGAAATATACACATGGAAATGTATTGTATTGGGATGTGCATTCTCTCCCTGGATGGACTCATTCTGCTTACCTGATTCAGCATAGACTAGCGAGAGCTAAGGCTTGGGGCCACCATAGTGTACATTTTTAACCAGCTTGCCATTGAAAGCACAGCCACAGTTGCAGATGTTGATGAATGAATGGACTGTGCTGTCTCACAAGATCAGGAGTAGACATTCCCATTATATTACCCATTATATGTCTCTTACTTTGTCACTCTCTGCATTTTACACTTAGATGATCAGGAATGCAGAGCAAGTAATGTTTGGTGCTTTATGCCATTGAAAGGTTAGTTGAATAGTTTTTGAGAGAATTTATTCCACATGACTGTTTGTTTGAAGGTATGTTCTGTTAGCCTCTGGTCTCGGCCTGGGCGGAAGAAACGCAGATAGTCTCCTCGGCATGCAGCTGCTGATTGACATGGTGACTGGTCAATTGGGAGACGAGGGAGAGCAGAGCAGTGCTGCGGAAATATCCCGTGTGATCTTAGCTGGGAACCTTCTGAGCAGGAACACCCAGAACAAAGACTCCTTCAACAAGGTAATTAGGCCCAGTTTGGCTCAGGCTGACTCGCTAGTCATCTGGGTGAGATGAGTGAACGGTTGCACAGAGCACAGGGCAATTACCTTCAGCGGTGGTCAAGTTTTGATCTGACTTTAAAGTTCGATCTTGGCGGGGGCAGTGATAGAAACAACAACTTGCATTTATATAGCGCCGCTCATGCATGGTAGCGTCCCAGAGCGCTTGAAAGAAATGAGTAGGACTTCACAGAATATACTGTAAAGTGTAGTGACTGTGTATTTTGTGGGGCAAGACTATTTATGTTCAGAACTTTGTATTGAATAGTTCACTTGCTGTCGATCATAGATGGAGGTGACTGTGTCTAGGATGAGGGGAAGAGGGCATCTGAACATGATTCAGACTCGCAGATTAACTGTGGGCCGGTGGGATATTTTGTTACATTGCTCTCTCTTATTTTCTCTGTTATCTGGTGGATTTAAGGCAAAGTACCTGACAAAGAAGACACAGGCAGCCACTGTTGAAGCCGTTAAAATGCTGGATGAGATCCTGGTTCAGCTAAGCGTAAGTCTCCCTCAATCATCTAGTGATAAAACCCATCTCTCTATGGTGATAGTCAAACAATCTTCATCTACCTTTGCTGCTGTTGTAAATGTCTTGGGTTTGAATGACTCTGGCTGTGTAAAGGGATGAATTGCTTTCTTTATAATAAGAATAATAATCCTTGCACTTGATATAGCGCCTTATTCACGTTGTTGAGTCGTCTCAAAACGCTTCACAGAATGTATTTGGTGGGTGAAACGCGGTTGTCAATTTGCGCACAGGAGTATCCTACAAACAGTCGTGGATTTATGTACCATGTCAGTCTTGTCAAATATTTATAAGTAGTGCCTCTGACCCTAAAGCATAAACTCTGTTTTCCAGTAGTGACATGGGATCTTAAATGTCGAGGTGTTTAATTTTATAGATCGAAAGCATAGCAATTGGTTTTGCAATCAGTTTCAGTCCTTTAACTCGACAAGCTTCACGTGGAAATCAATAGTCAATGGTTCAGTTTGAGTCCATAACGTTTGGGATTTTTACTTCTCTGTCTGACTGCAGGCTTCTGTCCCTGTTGACTGTATGCCGGGGGAATTTGATCCCACAAATTACACACTCCCTCAGCAGCCCCTCCACCATTGCATGTTCCCACAAGCGGCCACCTACCCTACCATGCAGCTGGTCACCAATCCCTATCAGGCCGACATTGATGGAGTCAGGTAAGGAGGAACAAGCCTTCAAATAATAAGATAATCCTTGCATTTGATATGATGATAATAATCCTTGCATTTGATATGGTACCTTATCATGTCATTTAGACATCTCAAAGCGCTTCACAGAATATACTGTAAAATGAGTTACTGGGTATTTAATGCCTTCTCATGTCACCTCGCAATTCTTATGTTCTTATCTCAATGCTGAGTGACTTGAGTTCTACATTCCTGTGTTAGGTTCCTGGGCACAGCTGGACAGAATGTGAGTGACATTTACCACTACAGCAGTATGGAGGATTACCTAGAGATCTTGGAGTGGACCCTCCGGATTGGCCACATCAGTCCCACAGCCCCAGATACGTTGGGTAAGTACTGTACCTGAGGAACAATCACCCAAGAGTGCATCCACTGTCCATTTTGTTTGTTAGTCGAGTGTCTGACATGCGGAAACCCATTACCATGCTTAAGAGTTTCCATACCAGACTGAGAGTTCCATAGATATATGCATGGGTTATAGGGAGGCGCACAGGTTGCTGAAGACAGTCAGCTTTCTATTGACTTTGATCTTTCTGTTTTTATTTTAGGATGTTACCCATTCTACTTGAAAGACCCCTTCATTCTGGAGGAGTGCCCGCACATTTACTTCTGTGGCAACGCTCCTTCTTTCAAATCCAAGGTCATCAAAGGTGAGGGCCGCAGTTACAATGGGGGGGTGGTGATGGGGGGGGGTGGGTTGTGTTGGGGAAGCAGATATATGCGGGACTATGCTGCAGAACCAAGGTATTCTTTTGTGTTCAAGACGGGGAAGGGGTGTAATCTACTCGCAGAGGAGCAGAGATCACTCACTGAATATAACCTGCAGTGGTATTGATACTTGAGCAACTAGAAATGGTGTGTTTCCATTACTTCCCACAACTTACAGCGATAGTGATCAAGTGCTCAGTCAGCACAGTACTGAATGGAACTGGTTTGCACGTGGGACTTGGATTAGATACTAACATTACACAGTGGAAAGCCAAATGTGCTATCTTTAATGAATCTTTTTAATACTAAAGGAAAACTTAAATGATCTTTCTATCATTGTAGATGCCTTTCCAGTTGATTTAACTTCTCAAGCCATTAATCCAATCACGATTTCAGAGTAGAATCAAGTCATTCATTCTTTCCAGCGCCTTGGGACGTCCTTCCGATGTGAAAGGTCTATTATAAGTGCAGTTTGTGGTTGCTGTTCCCTCCCTACTTTTACTGTATGTCTAAAGTAAGGAGCATGGTGAATTTCTCAATCCAATATCTCCTGCAGTATCTCATCTTTCAGTTTGTAGTTGCGCACTGTGCTGAGTTTGGATCACAGAATGATATTGAGTTGGTTGAGGCTGTATTTGAAACCAGCTGGCTATTGTAATTTGAGGCAGTTGATGTTTATGGTGCATGTCAATGAATTCATTGGGTTGGATGTTCTTGGCCGAGACACTTGTTCTGGTGCCTTTAGGATGGAGTTTGACCGATGAGAGCCAAGGTATTTTTGGATTGGTTACCGCCAAGTAGAGTTGAGTCAAAACAAAACGAGCCTTTCCATAAAATGCACAGATTGGATTAGTTCTTTCTGCACAAGAATGTTCTACAATTGACAGCGATCAAGTCCTTAATCGAGTTCAGTTCAAGTATCTGCAGAGACACTGCTTCAGTGACCGAGTAGTAATCGTATGGAAGAGGTTCCCCAGGAGTCAGATGGTGGAAGCAAAAAGTGTTGATTCTTTCAGGAGCAAATGAGCTAGATTTCTGTTAGGAAATAATATCTGTGGATAGAGTATATAGTTTGGGGTATAACTTGTGAATGTAACTGCCAGCACAGTGGAAGGTGAACTGGATGGACGTTGGTCTTCTTTCGCCCAGCAAATTCTTATGTTCTTGCTTGTCTGATACTCATCTGGGCTTCCTCCTGATTTGAGGATAGGGAAAGCACTGTAACCAATATTGGAATCTCCTGTCCTGGCTGCACTTTCAGCTTGTGTGCAATTTTTACTCTGAGCCGTGGAGTAATGAAGGACACTCTCTGTTCTCAGGCGTAGATGGACAACAAGTGCTGTTGATAGCGGTGCCAGAATTCTCCACCACCCAGAAGGCGTGTCTGGTGAACCTGCGGACGCTTGAGTGCCAGCCAATCAGCTTCTCAGCTTTCTGTGCTGAGGAGGGCGAAGATGTACAAATGGACACCAGTCACTGAACGGACGTGTGCGGGCACTTACTGTGTATTTGCAGTGTTTTACCCCCGCAGGTTTGTCCATTCGAGTGAGTGAGTGAGTGAGCTGAAAAAAAGTTGCCCTAAGTCATTTGAAGTGACCTAACTGTGGATTTCAGTATCTTACAAGGATGTTCTCAGTCCTCAGCTAGGTGGCGGTTGTGTTGTGAGAAATTCTTTGTGCTGTACAGTTTCCTGCTGTCAATTTCTCCATTTTTCCCTTCGTCCGGGGAAGGAAGACACTGCAAATAAAACTGACACATTCAGAAAGTTCCCGTTCCCACCCTCAGGAGTATAAACCCGGAGCCTCATATACTTTTTAGATTTTCAGTTCTCACTTCCCTGCTCCACACCCGTATGGAGCTCATAGCTGCTCTGTTACAGGACATGGTGTATATACACAGTTTGAACATCCTCACGTCTGCTGTGTGAGCACTGAAAGTTCACGGCACTCTGAAGCAACCATTTTAAGCTAGTGCGGAGAAGGTGGAGCTGCAAAATGTCCAACGTCACATATTTTGATGCTGGAATTTTTTATTTATTCACCAGGCTTCTGGGCTTTTAACCTTTTGGTACTCGTATCATCGTATAATACTTTAAATTCTCCTCTCTGCCCAACAAAGTGCTGGGAAGTGATCTGAAAACGCCCAGATTGTGTTTGTTTGTGTTTTTGTACTTGGTATTGCAGAATAGGAGGGTGACTAAGTGAGCTATGTCTGTTCGTGTGTTTTTTTTTTTTGAAACCTATATCATGTAGAATTTTTTCTAAATAAAATCCTTTTTTTTTATTGCTATAAGGTTCAGAATGAATGTTCTGTGTAACTGGCACTTGACAAAGACATCCATTTGGCAGCTTGTACAATGCTTGGAGAGGGTCAGCCATGGGACATGCTTGTGTCCTTGCCTGGAAATCGAACCCGGGTCCTCTCACTTGCGAGGCGAGTGCCCTAACCACTACACTAAGGACACCGCAATGTATGAATGTTAACCATCGTTTGAAAAACCTTTTAAAAACTGACTTATTTTATTATATCCTTTTATTCTGTAAAAAATAACTTGTGTGAATACATTTGCAAAACATAAAGGAACTCTTGTACAGGGCAAACATGTAGTAGCAACCCTTCGGAATGTTCATTGCCGTTTGGTCCAAAAAATACTTGTTATATAATATCTGTGTAAAAAGAACTGGCAGCAGATTCCTTGGTGTGGATCTGCCAGAAAGAATAAGCTTAAATTCCTGTCCTACCCAGTAAGTTTAAACATGCCTTTCCAGGGGCGAAGTGCCACGTTCTTCTCGCTACCAAACCAACAACAACTTGCATTTTATTTATTTGCATTCATAGCGTCCCTCACGCAGGGGAGCTTCCCAGAACGCTTGACAGTGTTGGAGCCTGACGCCGAGCCGGGTGGAAGGGGTAGATGACTATAGGTATGGTTGAAGAGGCAGGTGTTCAGGCGTGATCTGAAGATGGGAAGGAAGGGGACAAGGCAGAGGGCCCCAGGGAGAATATTCCAGAGTTTTGATTTTGTACAATAACCAGTAACGAAATTTCACTTGCAGTGACATAGAGCTGCAAATGTTAAGCAACCGGACAGATAAAACTGCAAGTAAATTGTGGTTGTATTGTGGAACCTGGAATGATTTCAGACATCACTGGTTTTCTATGTTCTCCGGTTGCATTCGCTCCCTGCACATCTGGAATGAGTGTGGAGGGGGTGTGGGAGAGGCACAGCTAAGTTGCATGCAATCTTTTTAACACAATCTTAAAACTCTAGTCAACGAAAGCACTAAAATCTTGTTAGACATAATCCTTTCTTCTCACCTGGTGCAAATAACACATCAACATTCCCTGCGGGATTCATGGATAAATTGCTGTATTGGAGTATTTTATTTATGGCATATCACATAGCACATCTGATAGCTGCGCTGTTCCTTGATGGCTTGCCAAACCTTGGGATTGTTCTCCTTCGAGAAGAGAAGGTTGAGAGGAGATTTAATAGAGGTGTTCAACATTATGAGGGGTTTTGATGGAGTAGGTAGAGATAGATGGGTGGGTCGGTAACCAGAGGGCACAGATTTAAGATAGTTGGAAAAAAGACCCAGACGGGAGACGAGGAGACATTTTTTTTTTTTACCCGGGGAGTTGTTATGGTCTGGAATGCACTTCCTGAAAGGGTGGTGGAAACAGATTCGATAGCAGGTTTCAAAAGGGAATTGGATAGGTACTTGAAAAGGAAAAAAATGCAGGGTTACGGGGTAAGAGTGGGGGAGTGGAACTAGGTGGTAGCTCTGTCAAAGAGCTGCACAGGCACGATGGGCTGGATGGCCTTCTGTGCTGTAAAATTCTATGATTATATACATTCCACAGATTTGTCAGGGAAGGGATTTATTGGAGGAGCTATAACCTCTAAATATGTATGTTACAAAGACCCACTTTCTGTGTTTAATAAAGAAACCAGCTTCATAAAAAAATACATAGCATTTTGCTGATTGATGAAACCTGTAATTATACCCTATGTTTTTAAGGTTCAGAGTTAAACAGCTATATGCCATGTGCTTTCAAACATGATTGTTAAAGGCTATGGAACTCAGAAAACAGCTGTTTGTAGGACTGTCTATTCCTTTTGCCAAATAAGTTCAGGGATGGTTTTATAAGTAATACTAATTCTTATATTTGATACAGCGCCTTTCATGTCGGAGGACTTAACATAGAACGTCATAGGATTTACTGTGAAGTGTAGTGAGTGTATATTTTGTAGGTGAACAAAGCAGCCATTTTGTGCCCCACAAACAGCCATTAAATGATTTGTGAAAAACACAAATCCTTTGGAGAAAGCAGAAAATATTGCTGGTTTGCATCAATGTGATTATAGTTTTAAGTTTCACAGCAAGTAGTTGTAGATCAGAGAAAGCAGACTCTGCTCACGGAGATAGCTGGCACACAAATAAATCTCTTTTACTTGTCTAGTAAAACCCAATGATGAATGACAATTCACATCGCTGCTATTAACACTGTTGCACATCCTGCTTCTCACAAGCACTTTTTTGTAAGATTAACAATCCTCACCTGACACCTTCTTTAGGTTCTAAACAAAACGGTCCTCGATCTTAGTTTCCACCAACCGCACACAGTAGATCCATGGACCAGCTGGCATGAGATCTACTGTAATGTCCAAGTCGCATTTCGCTGGCGCATGTGATATCCTGGGCGCACTCGGATTCTGCGAATCTTCTTTCTTCTCCTCCTGCCCTGCATCTGAACCACATTGATGGGCGTTTTTCCGTATTTATCCATGATTTCCTGAATCCTGTGCCAGTTGGATTTCCGCATGATAAAGTTGCACTGATTGGCTTCGTTCTCGTAGCCCACGTGACACACCTTGGTTATGGTGGTGTAACCCTGTGCTTTGGCTGTCACCCGGTATTCACCGGGGTTGAGTAGCCGCCAGTAGTCCCCACCGCTTGCTACAAACAAAGAGAAATACAGTTTATTGTGGGTCATTTGCTTTACGAAGGAGCTGCACTACAGGACAATACTGTTTAACTCTGGAACACTCTCCTATCCCTCCACCTTACCCCCTCCTTCCCCATCTTCAGGTTGTGCCTACGGTCACCTCCCCCCCCCCCCCCCAGCTCGGTGTCGTGCTCCACAACTGACAAGCGCTCTGGGACGCTAACCTGTGAGGGGCGCTGTGTAAATATAACTTGTTGTTATGGTTCTGGTTCCAATCTCACATTAAACTCGCTCAACTGGATCTTGTTCTAACATGGTTGCCCTACAGTTAACTGGTATGATGTTGCTTATTAAATAAAGAGTCTGGGTCTAGTTGGAGGTTAAACTGAGTATAAATAACATGATGAAACAAGGTGAGGAGATGTAATAATAATAATAATTTCTTGCATTTGGTTTAGTGCCTTTCACGTTTAGGAGGACATCCCAAAGCACTTCACAGGATTTACTGTGAAGTGGAGCGACTGTTGTAGACGAATGTGGCAGCTAACTTATTAATGTATCTAGTTTGATAGATTGATAATATAATTGATAATTTGGTAGATTGCTGGGAGAGCAGATATTGAGATTGGGTGTAAGTATTCTCAAAACATGTGGACTAGTGGATAATGGGAACGATTGAGAAACGATTCATCTTGTAGAGGTTGGTGGTAGAGAACGGACTGGATTACCTGTGCGCACATCATGGTATATGCCTTCCACAGAGATGGTGCCATTTTCAATCGCATTTCCATCCGTGTCTCGCACGAGCCCTTTAATCCCACGATGTACCTGAAACAGAAGTGTGTGAGCCGTAACCTTTTGTACTCTCCTTTAGAACTGGACAACAAAACTACCTCGGCCACTGGACTAGTTTAGGTCAAGTCAGTGTAGGAGAGGAGAAAGGGACAAGCCACTGTAGTTTCCTTCTCTCTCTGTGTAATGGTTCCTTACCTGCTCCATAAAAAAGAGTAGCGCTTCCTGATTGTTCTCCCACTCCTCTTTAAGCTCACTTTCATGCGGGAACTTGTCACAGCCCACGTATATGGAGAGTTGAAAGCAGTTGGTGTGCAGATAGGTGAAATCATTCATGCCTGGAAGTAAACAGTGAAGCTGGCGGGTTAGTTTTCTGATTGTTATAATGTGCACCACTGCTCTTCAGCAGTCTCATCTTCCCACCACCAACAACCTTGCCCCCCCCCCAATCCCTCTTGACCGCAGCTTGGGTGCAGACCCCTTGACTATCTAGTGTTTGGGACGTCCTCCCGACGTAAAAGGATATTAAGAAATGCCTTTAATCTCCCCAACCCAAACGCTATTCTTGTAGCTTTCTGAAACTTATGCCAGTTGTTAGTCGATTGGCACATCGCTTTTCTGGGGTACTAATCCCTCCAATAAAGAATTTAAAAATAAATAAAATAATTTGGTCACATAATCCACGATTGCTTGTGGGACGCTGCTGTGCTCAATTGGCTGCTGCCTTACGCCCACAAAACATACCATCAATTCACTTTACAGTATATTCTGCGAAGCGCTTTGAGACGTCTCGAAGACGTGGTCAGGCTCTATATCAAATGCAAGGATCATTCTTATTTTTAAAAGAATCTTCTACATACTTCCAACAGTTGGGCGCCAGGCTCCACCATTGACGATCCCAAAGCCGTCAGTGAAATCCTCGGTCTGGCATTTCCCTCGAAACGTTTCGGACATGGTGAGGTGCGTGGAGGCGTAAGAGACAGCGAGCCACTGGAAGATAACGTCATCCGGGGTTTTCATGTAACTTGGCTTTTTCTCCCCCTCCTCGTCCTCCTCATCCTCCCAGTACCGGCGCTCGTTCCTGTCCATCGGCCTCATCATGTCTTCCTCCTCCTGACCCTGAGGCTTGGCCATGTTGTAGGGAAAGGTCACCACTTGTTCTCCCCCGAGAATGTTGGCCCCCAGAACAAAAGGATTTTTTTCCAGCCAGCTAATGACAGCACGTGTCTCCATTGCAATCTGAAAAATTGTTAGCGCGCAATATATTAGGGGACATACCATTTACGGGATGTAGTCGGCCTCTTTGCCACCAGTTGACCACTCTGGCCTAGATTTACATAGAATGTACAGCCTAAGTCGTACCGAGTTTATATTCTATGGAAGTTTTACATAACCCATGCTTTGCATAAGTCATATTAAATGTTTGGTCCCAAATGATACGACTTATGCGAGGTTTACTGTAGATTAGTTAGAGCTCAGTAACAGCCGAGTGGAGTGACTGAGCACGGCAGGAGAACCTGCTCTGTGACGCTCTTCTCCCCCCCATCTCCCCCGGGCGGGTTAGTTAGGAATCGCTGCCTCACTCACCGTGGCTTCTTCAGACTCGTATTCCTCTGGAATGGGAATGTGGTGATTGGGAGCTCTTCGGAAATAGCCCGTCCTCTTGTCCGGTTCCTCCCAGATCACCGTGTTGAGGTCTGGGAAGTTCTCACTGAGATCATAGCCTTCCTCTGTCCAGTATCCCAGTGACCAGCTACTGAGTTCAGAGCCCTGTGAGGAGACAGGGAGCTCAGTTGGTTGACTCACCTTTGGCGGCTGCAGTTGGATCTCAGTTTGTTTCTTTACTCACTGAATAGGACCTTGCATAAGCTAGGGTGGTCCGAGCTGGACAAGCAGCAGGAAAGCTTGCCAGACAGTGCTCTCAATGGCAGCTTTGTGGTTTTAGCTGGTTAGATTCCAGCAGTTACCCCAAGGCACACTCTGGGGATCCCCCAAGCCTTTTTTTTATTTTGGGGGGGGATTGTTGGCCAGGACACCAACAAGAGAGAAAGAGAGAAACTCCCTTCTCTTGTCGAATAGCAGCGCGGGAGATCTTTAACATCCACCCGATCAGGCAGACGGGGAGTGAGGTTTAACATCTCATCCGAAGGAGAGGGAATTACTAGATCAAGTCAGTCGCTCTCACCATTTCCTCAGCCAGTTCGTAGCCGTCGGGATTGAGAGAGGGGACGAGGTGTATTCTGGTTTGGTCGACGATGCGCATGATGCGAGGATTCCCGTCGTTGTATTCCTTGCACAGGAACTGCATCAACAGCAGCAGTAACTCACGGCCCAACACCTCGTTGCCATGCATCCCAGCTGTGTAGTGAAACTCAGGCTCCCCTGAAAAAGATGGCTTTTTATTGAAGGGCGAGTGCCATCAAAGCACGCTCCTCAAGTCTTAAAACTGTCAGGGCAATGTGTTGTCTGTCAGTACTTAAAATCATGTTTTTTTAAAATCTTATTTAAGAACGTAATTATTTGCTGGGCGAAAGAAGACCAAAGAACATCCAGTTCGCCTTCCACCACCGTGGCAGTCGCTTGCACATGTCGGGTCCCAAACTATATACTGTATCCCCAGATATTATTTTCTAGTAGAAATCTATCTAATTTGTTCCTGAAACAAGTGACACTTTCTGTTTCCACCGTCTGTCTCCCTAGGGAACCTTTTCCACACGTTTACTACTCGGTCACTGAAGTAGCGTCTGCAGATTTGTTCTGAATTTATCTTCAATCGCAGGCCGTGTCCTCTGGCTGTACTGTTCAGTTCAAGATAAAACAGCTTATCATGGTCTACATTATCTATTCCCTTCAGAATCTTAAAGACGCAATCATATCGCACCTCAACCTTCTTAGAAAGGAAAAAAAAATCAAGTTTTGCTGCACAAAGTTACCCAGTTCGTGCTCTCCTGGGTTATCGGAGATTTCCATGGCGTAGATTTTCAACCCTTGGGAACTCTTTCCAACATTGTAAATCCGGGTAATGTTCGGGCACTCCTCGTTCACAACCTTCATCAGCTAAAAACATTTCAAACTGTTAAATTCTTTCACGCTTTGAAACAAACTCATCGTATTGGCAGGTTTATGTGCATCCCAGTGCACACACCCCAAGCCTTGTCCACTGACAGAAAGTATTTGAGAATTTACCTCCCTTTCATCAACAACAGCAGCAGCCACTTGCATTTAAGTAGCACCCCTCGCCTGGGGTAGTGTCTCGGAGCATAGAATTGAATGGGATGAGATGATGGTAAACCTTGTTTCACAGTGACCCAAATTTGTTGGAAAGACAAAACCGTTTAAGCAATCTCGGCGGCACAGGAGTTTATATGAAGTTTTAGATGGACTTTACTGAGCAATATCTACTGCTCGCATTTGGTGTGGTGTATTTGGAGTGCACTTAGAGACTGGAAAAGGCCATACTGTACCTGCCGCATGTCTTTATAATTGTGGTGTTTGAAGTCCAGATTGGCTTCTGGAGTTACTTCATTGAGCTGATGCTGTCTGACGGCTGTGGGAGACACAACAAGAGCACAATATGTTGCAGGTGATGTAGGGTTAGAGATAGGGAGAGCAAGAGAGAGTGTCAGCACGGTTGAAAGTTAGACAGAGAGATCATTGGTAGACAATTTACTTGTGGTTACTTCAGAGAACTTTTACCTGTGACTGGGCATCCCAGCACCTCCATTCTCATACACAGGCTCCCATTCCAGGTTTGTGGGTTTATTCGGATATAGCGAGCGACGACGGTGCCTGGGAATTCATTCATGACTGGTGTGTCTATATCCACATTCCCGTAAAACAACTGTGGAGACAGAGATACCGTCCATCAGGCACCTGGCCCAGTGATATCAGTCAGTATGCAATAAATAATAACCGTCAGTGTTATTTCCCAGTTAGATTTGTCAGTGAGGGCGGTACATGGAATAGGTTTGTAAGATCCTTACCCAGTCATAATATCCATCAGAGTACGTGATCCAGGTACGACTGTCATTGCTGAACTGCACAAAATAGGAGCTCACCCAGTCATTGCTGTCAACGAAGAGATTAGGGTTGTTGACTTTCAGAAACTTGCATCATAAACTTTCAAACACTCTGAAGACAGTCATAATAATAATAATCCTCGCATTTGATACAGCGCCTTATCACGTTTTCAAGACGTCTCAAAGTGCTTCACAGGATATACTGTAAAGTGAATTGACTGCATTTTACGGGTGATACTCGGGAGCCAATTGCACACAGCAATGTCCACCGATCCCCCAATTGACTAACAACCGGGTTCCTACTTACAGCTGTCAGGGTAAACAGAGCCGTGTGAGTGGAGTAAGGAAACTTGCTTAAGGTTTTGCCCTGACCGGGAATCAAACCCGTGTCGTCTCGCTTGCGAGGCGAGCGCGCTAACCTCTGCGCTACAGGATAAGTGTTAAGAGAAACGGAAAAGTGCGGCTTAGTCACATACTGCAACAGTGAATCCCTGCCCTGGGTTATCACACCAGTGAATTCTGTCAGTTTTCTTGCATCCACTTCAAACCACTGAGACTGGTCATCTGTTCCAGCACACCAGGCTCCGTCAAAATAATCTTCCTCTTCATCCTCGTTCTCCGGCTCTGGGCCTGCCTGGAAATCAGGAGCACGTGTCAGAGAAATATTGGTCAAACCCTTTCAGAACTGAAATAATAAATAATAATCTTTGCATTCGATAGAGCACCTTATCACGTCTTCGAGGCGTCACAAATGCTTCACAGGATATACTGGAAAGTGAATGAACTGTATATTTTGTTCTTATTGTAAGAAAGTACAAAGTTAACCCCTTGCAGCCTTATAACACCAACAAGTGACATTTACAGGGTGTCTTTCATGTTGAGAGGACATCCCAAGGCTCTGCACAGTCAAGGCTTTGCACCTGAGCTGGGGCTTGGGTTCAGGAGGGTTGGCGGGTAAGGGTAGAGGGTGACCAAAGATGCAATCGAAGAGGAGGTTCTTGAGACAGGTCTTGAAGGGGGCAATGGAGGGGCTAAGGGAGAGGGATTGAGTTCCAAAGGGTGGGGGCAGAGAGGCTGAAGGCCTGACCGCTGATGGTGGGACATTCTATTTACATTTAGATGGTTGAGTCCATTTTGTTTCTTTGTTAAAAGTTTAGCCAAAATCAGTTGACGATAGACTGGATCCCAAAACAGCTGTGGGATCGTCAAAATAAATGTCAGCTTGTGGCTGAATGTTCTTTCCTCAACTGGATGTCCTGATAACACTGATGATGTGCCGGATTCTGGCTGGAGCTGAGATAAGGTTCATGGTTTATTGAAACTCAAGACAAGCCACAGACACTCTCCAGAAGGCAGCTGCTTAGAAAGTACGACAACATAATAATAATAATCCTTGCATTTGATACAGCGCCTTATCACGTCGTCGAGACGTCTCAAAGTACTTCACAGGATATACTGTAAAATGGGTTGTCTGTATATTTTGTGGGCGAAGTAAAGAGTGCTGGGAAAGCGTATGTGCCTACTGACTTTGTGTTTGGCACTGAGAGGTTCGCAGATAACACAACCGAGTCTGCTGGTTTTAATGTCTATTGGACTTGTCTTAGATTCTGTTGAATGATGAATTACTTTTCTCTGAGAGAACGCAGCCTCCCCCAAAATAGCTCATTGCTAGAAAATGTCAGGTTGCTCTTGACAACTTGGATTGGGTCCAAACTGATTGCCTGCTCCACAACCCCGCAGAAGTTGAACGCATTCTCAAATATTCTCCAGAGTGCAGGGTAGTGTGGAAGGTGGCAGCGAGTGAAAGAACCTTTCTACTGAAAAGCATCTTGTCACTGTTCTGTCTCTCGGGTCCATCAAAGACTGTATAAGTGACACTACACAGTATGAATGACATTTATATAGTACCTTTCACGTCAGGAAGACGTCTCAAACCACTTAATCAGGGTCTATCCCTCAATCCCTCCACCTTGTCCCCTTAGTCCTCATTTTCAGATCGTGCCTGAAGACTTCGCTCTTTGATCGTGCTTACGGTCACCTCTCCCCTGCTTGGCTTCAGGCTCCGCCACTGCTAAGCGCTCCGAGACGCTACCCTGCGTGCGGGGCGCTATATAAGTACACGAAAGGGAGGGTAGGGGTAGGAAGTGACCGGAGGTGCGGTCGAAGAGGAGGGTCTTGAGATGGGCGTTGAAGAAGGGAAGGGGCGAGCAAGGTGAAGGGACTGTGGGATGGAGTTCCAAAGGGTGGGGGCAGAGAGGAAGGCCCAACCGTCGATGGTTGGGGGGGACCAGGCTGAGGACATGGAGCAGACCAGAGGCAACGGACAGGTCTATATGGCCTCTCAAATGTAAGACCAACGCAAATCACCTCCAAATATAGACCTCCTTATCAAAATAAGTTCTGCCAATGTTCCTATTGCCCTGATGCCACCACATTAATGGACACTCTCACCTGCATATTGAGACGACCGCGATGTGGGCCGAGGCCATACCGGAGCTGAGAAGATGACATCAGCTGATCATCGCCGACACGTTGGGATTCCAGGCCCAGGGGAGGACACTCTGCAGAGAAAGCCGTGCAGCACGCAGAAGGAAAGAGGTGGCGTCAGCAACCGCGTTTGCGAAGGGAGTATATACACAAGTGGACACGATCTGTTGCCTGTCCTGCTTTGACAAGTCAACCTTGACATCTCTCGCTCTGCCGTGGAGATGGGTGATGCTAGCTCAGAAAAGGCGTCATTCCTACAGTTAGATTAACACAAGCTCTTTCACCCACTTTGTACTCATCAACTGTGATGATCATTGCAATGTTTAGGCAGAACAAAGATGTGCCTCGATATTTACAGTACCCCTGTGTGAGTGGGTTACTGACATCTGTTTACTTGTCTTGGAATGACCACACTGCAGATGTTAAACAGCATAAAACAATTAACGTTTTGAACAGTTTAATTAAGTTAGCCTTTGTCCTGCCTGCTGCCAAGTTTTTGCAAAATAACGTACAGTTGTTTTGTCTTTAAACTAACGCCAAATGGAACCGGCACACTTAGCCAACCCAACTCCGTGAGAAAAACAGGATCAAGTATTTATTACAACGATAATAAAAGTCCTTGCTTTTGATACAGTACCTTGTCGTGTTCATAGAATCATAGGAATTTACAGCACAGAAGGAGGTCATTTGGCCCTTCGTGCCTGTGCCGGCTTAGTGACAGAGCTAACAACTAGTCCCACTCCCTCCGCTCTTATCCCACAGCCCTGCACAATTTTTTTCTTTTCAAGTCCCCATCCAATTCCCTTTCGAAAGCTACCATGGAATCTGCTCCCATCGCCCTTTCAGGCGGTGCGTTCCAAACTGTAACGGCTCTCTGGGTAAAAAAAAAAAATAATTCTCCTCATCCTCCCTCTGGCTCTTTGTCGAAATGTTTCCAAGTGCTTCACAGAATTTTCCTGTGAAGTGCAGTGAGTGAGTGTGTTTCGTAGGCAAACACAGGGCAACAAAGTCCCGCAAACAGCTGGCAGTCTGTTGGCCAGGACGCCAGAAGAGACTCCCTTCACTTCTCGGATAGCGCAATGGGACCTTTAACGTCCACCTGAACAGGCAGCTCGGTTTAACGTCTCAAATGAAGGACGGTGCCTCTGATAATGCAGCGCGCTCTCTCCCCCCCCCACCCCCACCCCCACCACCACCCCGCAGCCTTACATTGAAGACAACAAGCTCAAAGTCTTAATGTGGGTCTTGACCCCAAAACTTTCTGACTCTGAGGTGAGAATGCCACCTACTGAGCCAGCCAGATACCTTGCAGAACCAACATTATATAAAAAAAACAACAATAGGAGAGTAGAATTAGATTCCCACAGAGTGCAGTAACTGTACGAGAGTTACTGAGAGTCCTGGTAACCAGTACCAGTTAACCTCTTGTGAACCGGAAGGCCGTATTGGAATTGGAATGTGAACTATGATGGGTTTTCAGTGTATTCTGTTGCCAGATGGAATACAGTACTTGGCTTTTTTTCATTTCTCTATGTTTATCTGTAAAATTGCAGAAAGAAAAAAGATTTTTATTGCCAGTACCGCTGTGATGTTTACCAGATGGCTGGACATTCGATGGTGGTGGAAGAGTTTAAATCCTTCCTTACACAACACCACTGTGGAGTCCTGTAGCTTAGTGGATAGACCACTCGCCTCACAAGCGAGAGGACCCGGGTTTGATTGCTTTAGGCAAGTTTCTTACTCTATAACTCCTCTGTTTACCTAGCAGTAAGTAGGAAACTTCTTGTTAGTCGATTGGTGGATCGCTTTCCGGTGTAATAATCCCATTAAAAAAAATGCGTTCACTCAATCCACAACTGTTTGTGAGACACTGCTGTGTGCAATTGGCTGCCACTTTTCGCCCATGAAATACAGTCAATTCACTTTACAGTATGTTCTGTAAAGCGCTTTCAGACGTCTCGAAGACGTGATTAGGCGCTGTAACAAATGCGAGGATCATTATTATATATTATGAAATATCTGGGCCAACGTTTCTGCGGTTCTGGGTTTGGGCCGGAGCTGGTGGGAGGCTTGTGTTGGGCCAGCAACAACACTACAGAATCCAAACCTTCAGCCAATATTGACTTTGGGCGAGCTCATGTAGACATGCTGTTTAAGGATGAAAGCTAAGACGAGCTGGCAGGGTTAGCAATGTGCAAGTCACGCGCAGGTAAAGTTAACCTTGTGTGAAGGGGTCTGTAAAGGCTCAGGACTTTTGAGGGCGAAGTACCATCTTCTGTTTGCTCTTTCCGGGAACTCTGCTCAGCGGTGAGAGCGCTCGGCTCGCAAGCGAGAGGACCCGGGTTCGATTCCCCCGGGCAGGGTGAAATCTTAGGCGAGTCTCCTCGCGCCTCACACTCACTCGCCTCTGTTTACCAGCAGTTGAGAGACCAGAGGTTAAGAGGAGAGGTTGGCAGCACTACCAAACCTGGCCAGTGGGAGGCGAAAGATCCGTGAAACTCATCCGGAGGGCAACGCCATTCAACTGAGCGCCTTACGTTCCTGTAGAGGATCCACCATCTATTTAAGTGTCGGCCCGGCTCCTTTGGTAACACTCTCGCCTCTGAGGCAGGAGGTTGAAGGTTCAAACCTCAAACCCGTCGGGACTTTGAACTCATATAAGTCTGGGCTGACATTCCAGGGCTGTGCTCTCTTCGGAAGGAGGACATTAAACCGAGTTCAGGCAGACCCTTAAAAATCCCATGACGCTTTGAAAAGGGAAGGGAGTTTCTCTCAGCGTCCTGGCTGACAAGTCCCACGGCTAACAATTGGTCATTGGCTTCAAGTCCGTTTAACGATTAGAGAGTACATCCCGGGAAGCGTTTTGAGGCATTTCAACGAGGTGATATCGCGTTCGTCACGGTTTGTCAGATGATATATAATAAGAATTTGAGACGGCTAGAAGACATGAAAAGCGCTATATCAAATGCGAGGATTATTATTATATTATATATTATCTGACAAACCGTGAAGAACAATGAGGTGAGGTGTAGGGTAAAGCCACAGGTTACCAGACCAGACACGGTGGCCCTTTCTCTTTAGTGTTTCAGCGATTGAATTCCAGACATTTAGCAGAGTTCCCAAGGCTCTGAAAATCTCTAGGGGCTGCAAGTATTCCACCCTCTGACTTAGATAAAAAGATACGAAACTCAAACTCCCTGACCCTGGAATACAGACCTCCTCATAGGCCAGTGACAGACACTACAGAGTACGATCAGGCTGTTCTCCGTGAGGCTACGTCGCGTGAAGGACGCTATATAAATGCAAGTTGTCGTCGTTGTTCTCCCTACTACCAAGGAGACTGAAGAACGAGCAGTCTCAGGGGAGAAACAATCACCGCTATGTGGGTTTAGCTGTTCAGACTCCATCAGTTACCCCCGCGCACACTCTGGGCTCCCCCACCCCAAGCTCTTGTCAAAAGGCAAATGGGAAACCGCACAGTAAACAGAGACGAGTCTGGCAAAATCCAAACGTTTTACTCACTTTTTATCCTCGACACCAAATCTTCGTATGGATCTATCTCTTCCGGAAACTTCTTTCCCGGTTTCTTAGGCTTTGCTGCAAGACACGGAGAAAGAATATTGTCATTTGAAACAATTCCCGTTGTACCTTCCGAGCCCTGATTGAACATTTATGTTTACCAAAGCTTTGCCCACAAAATACGCAGTCACTACGTTTTACAGTATATTCTGTGAAGCGTTTTGAGACTTCTCGAAGATGTGATAAGTCGCTGTATCAAATGCAAGCATCATTATTATTATGTGTGCAATAAACCAACCGTCAAGAAACATGATAGCTGAAAATAACAAGGTAAAAATAAATCACCAGTGGATGAGAATATTAAGCAGCTGTAATCCTATATTATACAAACATAAACACAAAGAATTACGTACGCTTTTCCTCCTCCCAAGTCTCTTCCCAGGTTTCCACCCAAGGTTCTCCATACGTATCTTCCCAAGGCTCGGATTCATCGGGTTCTGGTTCTAGGGGATTCACTGAAAAGCAGCAGCATTCACCCTTAAATTCGCTCCAGTTGAAGTTCGTGAAGCAGAAACAACCAACACAATAAACACAGAAAGACACTCAGAGCCAGCAAAGGTCGTACAGTAATACTCCAACCTTAACTGCCAGCACACCCACGCTGTTATTGTAGTGGAAAAGACAAATACTGTACTCTGAAACTTACCAGTGTTTTGTACTAATAAGCTACAAAAACAACTTGCATTTACACAGTGCCCCTCACACAAGATAGTGTCCCAGAGCACTAGACATTGACGGAGCACAATGTGGAGCCAGGGGAACAGTCTGTAGGAACAGTCGAAGTAGGGAGTAAGCAGGTCGGAGAGGTAGGGAGGTGCCGGGGGCATGAAGGGATTTGAAGATGAGTGTAAGGATCTTGAAATCGATCCGTTGGGCGATGGTTAGCATTATTATTAAGCTGCAGGGGTAGCATTATTATTTATAGTTCTATTTGGAAAGTCTGATGTTCAGTGTAAGGCATTATATTACATCATTGCCATTTGTTTTTAATTTTGCTTGTGATATGAAGCATATACATTCAGTGCAGTTAAAGCCAACTAAGTTACTCACGTGTCTCCTCAGTTGACATTGAGGTCACACACCAATGTTAGGGGATGGATTGGGTCTCTACGTTTGGCCCCACTGTTACTGACACCCAGGTTACTGCTATAGGTTTTTTAAAGAGTAACTGTGCTTGTGGAATCCTGTAGTGGTGGGAGCACTCGCCTCACAAGCGAGACTGTGGGATGGAGTTCCAAAGGGTGGGGGCAGAGAGGCTGAAGGGCCGACCGACGATGCTGGGCCGGGCGGGGGATGTGGAGCAGGCAGGAGCCCGCTGAGTGGAGGGAGCGGACAGGTCTATATGGTGTGACCAGGCTAGAATTAAATCTTCATCCCAGAGTTTTCAATCAACTGCTCTCTCCTGTCCCACTTTGACAGCTCCTTATCAACAGAATATCAACAGGTCACTGTGACCAACTCTCCAGTGCACGGCTGGATTAGTGTGATATATTTTCAGACGACAAGCTAAGAGACAGGTGTCAGCCTTACATTCTCCATCATAGTCTGGTTCCACTTCCTCTATCTCCAGTTCGATCTCAACTCCTATCTCTTCGTCAAGCGTCTTGCTATGTGGTTCCTTCGGTTCTTCTGGTTTGCTCCACTTGACTGAAATGAAAGAAATAATACTCTTAAAACGAGAGCAAAGAATAATAATCCTTGCAATTGATACAGCGTCTAATCGTGTCGACGTGATGTCTTAAAGCGCTTCACCGAATATACTGTAAAGTTAATCGACTATATATTTTGTGGACAAAACGCAGCAGCCAAATGCCCACAGCAGCGTCCCACAAACAGTCGTGGATTGAGTCACCTAATTTTTTAAAACCTATTTGTTATTAAGGGATTCATATTATGACTATTAATCCCTTCAAAAAAATAACGTATTAAAAGTTTTCTTATGTTACAAAAGTGATTTTCCCGAAAAAAACATCAAGTTCTGTTGAACGTACCATCTTCATCTATTCCGTAATCGTAGTAATCTCTCTCAGGCGGTGGAATGGCAGCTTCTGTGGGCTCAACTGCGAAAGAAAACAGTAGAGCATCATGTTTTACCAAGAACAACTCTGTGCTATACAACGTTCTCTGGCCCTCAGGCTTGATGCACCACTCAGAAGCCCGACATTCCTGTCACCTTTGGTCTGGCTCTACTGGCTCCCAGAGGATAGAGTTCAAAATCTTCGTCCTCGCTTTCAAAGCCCCCCACGGTTTTGCTCCTCCCCACCTCTGCGACCTGCTAACTCCGTATAGACCCCTCTCCACTGAGAGGGCTCTGGTCTTTTCCACATCTCCCGTCCAGCCTACCCCACCATTGGTGGTCAGATATTCGGCTTCTCTGTGCCCACGCCTTGGAACTCCATCCCACAGTCCCTCCTCCACATCCCTTTCCTTTCCTGCTTCAAGACCCTCCTAGGTCAACACCCTACCCCCACCCACCCTGCCCTCCACCTCTCCTGATCCTAACCCCCAGTTCGGGTCCAAATCCCTGACTGTCCAGCGCCTTGGAACGTCCTCCTGACGTAAAAGGTGCTGTGTAAATGGAATGTATTGTTGGTTCTTTCTGTCTGAACAGCAGGAAGTGGAAACTTCACTTACCCTCCTCAGGGAATTCCCATTTCTCACTGTATTTCTCTGTGAAGTAATATTCAAAAGGCGTCTCAGTAATGGGCTCGATCGGAGGAATTGTTGGCTCCGCTGGGAGAAAAAAAACCCAAGAGAACAGATTTTGACAGACAGTCAGAAACGCTCGTTTATCTTGATATGAGTTTTAATCCGAATCTCTCTCCCTTAATCTCCCTCCCCTGTCTAAAGTTTGGCCCTGCCCGGGAATCGAACCTGGGTCCTCTTGCTTGCGACGTGAGTGCGCTAACCACTAGGCCACAGCACTCCATAACACTTAAGGGTCTGGGATTGTGGGACCGAGAGAACAAGACTGGACGTAAGTGTTACATTAATATACTAAACGGAAAAACAAAGTCAAGGCCAAAGGCAATGACTGATGGACTGCTTTTTGTCACTTTGAGTATGTATTTTAGGTGTTTTATATTTTCACAGTATCTTAACCCACATTTAGCTGCCATCACTACTGTTCATAAAGACAGTAACTTTCCATTCTCTCGCACGCTCACACTTACGTGTTTTCTCCTCTATCAGAAGCTTTTCCAGTTTTGTGCTGGGTTCGGTGGGAATACCTGTCGGTCAGAAATCAACAGACGTGTGTAACGCGAGTTGTAACTGATCAATGATCTTCCTTATTCCTTTAACTTGACATAGCTAAGCTGTCGGACACATTTTGTTGGACATTTCCTTCCTCCACACGCCTCTGTTTACCGAGCAGTTAGTACAAACCCGGTTGTTAGTCGATTGGCGGATCACTTTCTGGGGGTAAAACTCCCTTAAACATTTTTTAAAAAAATAATAATAATTTGGTCACTCAATCCACTTCTGTTTGTGGGACACTGTTGTGCGCAATTGGCTGCCATGTTTCACCCATAAAATGTACAGTCACTACATTTTACAGTATAATTCCGCAAAGCACTTTGAGACCCCTCGAAGAGGTGATAAGGCGCAGTATCAAAAGCAAGGATTATAATAATGTTTTGTATGTTTTTAGCATATTCTGTAATAAAGAGTGGAGAGGAGAATCTCTGGTTCCCATTACTGCCCTGACGTTACACAACCTAGTCTGGCAGTCCCCTAGGTATGCAGGCTGTTACCAAGAACAGCAAAGGCTGGGTTTCATGAATGTGAGTGTGACATTACAATGCGGCGAGCGGAATGCCGTCTGCCTTTGCAGGAGGAAAGATGGAGCCTGACCTCTGGTATAAGCGTGGGGCCTCACACAGGGAACACATGAGATATGCAAGGAAAGGTCAGTTTGTAGGATTAGCCTCATGTTGGAAACAACAGAAAGATTGTGAAATGGAACAATACCCCCAGTATCGCAGGGAAAACTTAAGGGTGGTCGTCCTCTCACTAAACGCCGGTAGAATAATAATAATAATAGTCCTTGTATTTGTTACAGCGTCTTATTACATTGTTGAGACGTCTCAAAGGGCTTCACAGAATATTTTGTAAAGTGGATTGACTGTGTATTTTGTGGGTGAAACCCGGCAGCCAATTGTGCACAGCAGTGTCCCCACAAACAGTCGTGGATTGAGTGATGAAATAGCAAGCAAGGAAATCCACAGACCTCCATCCCACTCACTGCGAATGGCAATGTCTCTTTTGCTTTACGCTGGGCAGATGAGGTATTATTATTAGTGAAGCGCATGTTGTAAAGGACAGCTGAGAGTTAACAGGGACGCCCCCTGCTAAGGGATTGCAGTCTGTGTGTGTGAAGGTTTGTGGCAAACGGAGTGTTTGAAGGAAGAAGTCTCCAGAAATCTGAACGCTTGCCAATTCACGTCTCAGATTACAAATGGACTGCACTCCAGCTGCATTAATCCTTTCCTACTTCAAACGGCCTTTTCCTAAATGCCCTCCACTGTACCGAGAGGCTGTGCAAGCTTCGGGCTCATTTTTTTGACAGACGCCAGGGCTGAATTTACGTAACGCACCGATGTTTCGCTTTGTGTGGTGGTTTAGTGACCGAAGGTATGTGGTGGATTTTGTGCACCAAATACTCTGCGAACATTCCCCCTTCCCCCAGAGGGTCCTGCCACTTCTTCGAATCCGGGTTCGATTCCCGGGCAGGTTTCCTTAGTCCACAAGCCTCTGTTTACCTAGCAGTAAGTAGGAACCCGGTTGTTAGTCAATTGACGGATCGCTTTCTGGGGGTAATAATCCCCTAAAAAAAAAGTTGTGTCACAAAATATATGATTCCTACATTTTACAGTATACTCTGTGCAGCGCTTTGAGACGGCTCAAAGGCTAGGATTATTATTACTTCTGTCAGGGCTGTGTTAGGATTTATGGTCCTGTCAGGATTGCTTGGCTACGAGTTGGTCTGAGAAGCATCTGCGATCAACACGAGAAACAGGCATTTAGAAAGAGACGCAGCTTGTTATGACCACATGAACTAAAGGACCAGATATGTCTGAAGGCAGTAAGTACGCAACTGCACATGTGACACTTGGCATTGGCTTACGCATCCTTAGTTTTCTTTGCCAAACCCATTCCACATGCAGTGCATTAACATGGCATTGATGACACATTGTCAGCCGCCAGATCATAAAAGCAGCGCTTTACATTGATTTCCTTGTGTTCGCTCCAAAATGAAATAGTTTGGAATAGTCACTTTTTCTGGAAAAGCTTCCTTTTATGAGATATATTAATTATTAAAGATGGGTCTTTGGAATTGAGGTGCACATCAGCGACGATCTGATAGAATGGCAGAACAGGATCGAGGGGCTGAATGGCCTCCTCCTGTTCCTATGGGAGAGCAAACAAGGGAACCAGACTGTCTCACACAAACATTCAATTCTTGCTCTTTACCTGGGTGTTCTTCCTTCTCCCCGGGAGTTGTTGTCTCGGGTTTCCCAGGTTTCTTACCCGGTTTCTTGCCTTTTTTCTCTTTCTCAGCTTTCGGACTTCTGTCCTTTTTTTTCTTCTCTTTCTCGGCTTTCGGACGTTTCTCTTTGACTTTCTTCTCTTTCTTCGGTTTGGGTGTTTTTTCCTTCTTATTCTTCTCTTTCTTGGGCTTGGCCGCTTTCTCTTTGGGTTTCTTCCCCTTCTCCGTGTTCTTAGGAGCTTTCGATGGTCTGGGCTTCAGGGCCTTGTTATCTGTGTCTCTCCGTTTTATGGGCATCGCCCCGAGTTTGGGATCTGGGGGATTTTCCTCTGTTGGGTTCTTGTCTCTTTCTGTCAAAAGATAGAGAGGCACAAGCACTTAATAACACAGTCAATCTTCAGAGACACTGTGGGGTCTTCACACTTTGATATTAGAATTTAAAGACAACAACAACTTGCATTTACACAGCGCCCCCTCACACAGGGTAGCATCCCAGAGCGCTTGACAGTGACGGAGCATGGTGACGAGCCGGGAGAATGGGGGGAAGGTGACCGTAGGCACGGTCAACGAGGAAGGTCTTTAGACGTGACCTGAAAATGGGGAAGGAGGGTTTGAGGGAGAGAGTTCCGGAGTTTCGGGGCATAGTGGCTAAAAGAGCAGCCACCGATGGTGGAGCGGAGGGCACAAGGGACAAGCAGGAGGCCGGAGCCAGTCGAGCGGAGGCAATGTGCGCGTAGTGGGTTGGGGAGTAAACAGGTTGGAGAGGTCGGAAGGTGTCAGAGAGTGAAGGGATTTGAAGACAATCCAACACTGTCTTTTCCACTATTAGGTGACTGAGTCAGGTTGTACTTAGCCCTATAGTTCCTTGGGACGTCCTCCCGACATGAAACACACTCTACATTTGTGCTTATTGTCTTGTTAACCCCCACATAATGAGAGGTGTCAGATCGATGTTCCTCTCTCTCTGTTAAACCATATGTGAGGAGAGCAATCAGTTGATATTTCTTCCCATCTTTCTCGGTTTGATTTTAAGATGCATGTTGGACAATTTATGCCAGTGACAGCCTTTCATTTACAGTATTTCTATCTTGTTGGCCAGGACATCGGGAGAGAAAAACTCCCTTCTCTTTCCGAATAGCACCGCGGGATATAAAGTCCAAAATATTCACTGTACATTATATTCTGTGAAGCACTTTGAGACTTCTCAACATGATAAGGCGCTATATCAAATGCAAGGATTATTATCATCATTAACATCCACCTGAACAGGGCGCAGTTTCATCCGAAAGGACGGCGTCTCCGACAATGCAACACCCCCCCACCCCCAGCGCTGCTTTGGAGCATCAGCTAAGACTGTGATTCCAAGTCCCGCCGTGGGGGCTTGAACCCAAACTTTCTGACTCGGAGGCGAGAGAGGTAGAGAGAGCGCTACCGCTGAGCCAGGCTGACACTGCAGGTCCACCTGCTGCCTACTTAACCTTCTTCACATCATGTTAACTGAGAAGCACATTGAGCTGAACTCACCAGCTGCCTTTACTTTCTTCCTGGGCTTTTCCACCTTGGCTTTGAAGCCCTTCTTCTTGGGATCCAGTGGCATCGAGGCTCCTGGGTTTTCAGCAACATCCTCCCCTGGAGATGCTGGGGCTGGGAGGGTGTGGGGGTCAGCGAGGCTGTGTCTATCAGGAGGTGCAGAGGCTTGTGCCTTCAGTACAGACTTGTGACTGAGAGACCACAGCAGCAGGAGGAGTAGAGTGAGAGGTGAAGTCATTCCCATTGCTTACAATAGCGACCAGAAACAGGAGACACGGATGTCCCAAAGCAATACACAGGCAGCCTTAAAGATAGGGGCTGAGAGCAGCTCAGTTAGGGGCAGACAGATACCAGAGGCAATGCAACAGCTTGCAATAGGAAACCAGCAGCTTAGAGCTCCCAACAGTGGTGAATTCCGGGCATCAACGCTCTGTAGCAATGTTCATCCAGACAGAGGGGACTGGCGATGGAAATCTCCAATGTTAGCTAACACCACAATCCTCTGCCACGTTGTGCTGTCCTGTACTGAGTATCCTTTCTGATTAACCTGCAGCTCTGATCAGCAGCTTTGATTCCCCAATCGCTAGGGTCCCTGGTGAGTGAGACTGAGAAGGATTTTTGAGAGAGAGAGAGTGTGTGTGTGTGTAGAGCCTGCAGACACACTACACTCTGTAGGCACTGCTTGTTTCTCTTTGATTGTAAAACAGACTGGGTTTGAACCTCCCTCTCTCTTTCCCTCCCTCCCTCCCTCCTCGAAGCTCTCACTCTGTCTGTCTCTCTTTTCTTAGCTGTCTGACTGAGGTTGGTTGGCAGTCAGCTGCAAGGCAAGCAATAAGGAGAGGAAATAAACGCCCCCCCCCCCCCCCACACACACACAGGGTCTGAATTACAGTAGAAAGGAGGAAAAAATTGGCAGAGTTTCTCTCTCTCTCTCTTTCCTTCTGAACAGCGAACATGAGTCAGGATGGAGAATGAATCAGCCAGTGAATCAGTCACTGTCCTTGTGAGTATAACTGATTTAGTCATTATTATTATTATTATATACGTGAGAGTAAAACTGTAAGGAGTTTAACAAAAAAGGTGTAAAAACCTACTGTAAAACTTGCATAAGTTTTAGAATTATATATAATAATAATCTTTGCATTTGGTAAAGCACATTATCATGTCATTGATATGTCCCAAAGTGCTTCACAGAATGCACAGTAGCGTGTAGTGACTGCATTTTGTGGGCAAAACGCGGCAGCCAATTGCACACAGCAGCGTCCGACAAAATGTGGATTGAAGCTAGTGGAGCGTAAGCAACAACAACAACAAATTACATTCACATCAGGAGGACGTCCCAAGTCGCTGGACAGTTGGGGATTTGAAACATTTCAACAGGGATGTGCTGTTTCCTACAGAACACTTCGCAGAGGTCTGCGTAGAGAGAGGTGGGTTCATCAGTGACAGTGAGTAGAGTTCAGTGCCTCTCTGCTATCATTCAAGGCAATCTGAACACACGCAGCACTATTCCACCCTGAACTGAGAGGAAAGGGATCACTTTCAGGGTCCCTGGAGGTCTGAAGAGGCTAATGGCCTGTCTCGGAACTGTCTAGTACAACTATGTGGAGCAGCTTGACAAGTCATTGCTGTCTACGTAGCCTGATTTGTGCAGGAAAATCTCGCACAGCGAAGTGGGCTAACAGCCAACACAGCACAAAAACATCACCAGAGTTTAAAAAGTTTCCCCAAACTTTCACTGTTCTCTTTTCACAAGATGTAACTAACCCAAACCTGAGTTTTTGTGGAGTCCTGTAGTAGTTACAGCACTCGCCTCGTAAGCGAGGTTTAATTCCCGGGCGGGTCGGAGTGAAACCTTAGGCAAGTTTTCTTATTCCACACACGCGCACCCCTCTGTTTACCAGCAGTAAGTAGGAACCCGGTTGTTAGTCGATTGGTAGATTACTTTCTTTCCCTCCCAAAAAAATATTAATAATAATTTGGTCACTCAATCCATGGCTGTTGTGGGACACTGCTGTGCGCAATTGGCTGCCGAGTTTCACCCATGAAAATAGAAAGTCAATTCACTTTACAGTGTATCCTTTGAGACTCTCGACTACGTGAGAAGGTGCAATATCAAACGCAAGGATTATTATAAACCTGAGCAATCGCCTGGAAGTTTTGTGAAGATGTATTTCTGTAAGTTTCTCTGCTCTTGTTATGACTTTCAGACCAAGTATGTACCCAACACACAGCACTTTAAGATCCTCTAGAGAGAGGCTCAAGAATCGAGAGCTAATTGCAGCCAAGATCTCTGATATTACAATGTTTATCAGGAAGGAATTCACTGCCTGTCACGTTGACTTTGAATTGGTTTACAAATGATTGAGTTAGATTGGTAATGGGTCTGTGCCAAACCACAGGATCAGGTTTTTACACAAAATAAACACTTTACATGGATGTCTGTCTGTTTAAACGCTAAAACAATACTCGGTACTCCTCAGTGTGTATCTGACATTGTCAGGCTTCTGGATGATTTAGGGGGTAATAATCCCTTCAAAACATTAATTAAAAAAAATAATTATTTGGTCACTGAATCCACGACTGTTTGTGGGGACACTGCTGTGCGCAATTGGCTGCCGTGTTTCACCCACAAAATACACAGTCAATTCACTTTACAGTATATTCTGTGAAGCGCTTTGAGACGTCTCAGTGACGTGATTACAGCCATGGGGTGAGTGAGTGACCAATTGTATTTGAAAGATTTGTTGGCCAGGACACCTGGAGAGAGAAAACTCCCTTCTCTTTTCGAATAGTGCCGTGGGAGATCTTTAACGTCCACATGAACAGGCAGATGGGGAGTTAAGAATGGCCTGGATACCTGAGATGTTTGGGAGCCGTGGACCCAGTTATGAGTTGACGTCTTCGGGAGAGGAGGAAACAGAATTGTAAGGGAGAAAGACAACACAATGCCAATTCCCAGCTCCATTGTAGAAGATGGAATGGAACAATCTGTGCACATATTTCAGCTTTTATTGCGGCCTTTTGAGAAACGTATGATATATATCCCCAAAGTGGCTGTCCTTTTGGGTAAGAAAGATTTTTTTTAAGCTTCCAACCTCTTGAGCGTCCCTCCACACCCTCCTCCCAGGATGATCTTGTTGGGAAATGTCCACTTCTGTGGTGGTTGGGAGTCAAGACATTCCTCTCTCCAGATCCTAGCACGAACATGGAATCCACAAGAAGATTAATCTGGAATATTTGACAGATTCTTCCTCATCCGGAGGGATTTAAGAATGTTCTTGTGATGAAGTGCTGAGGAGCTTTGATACTCTTGTAGCTTTAGAATCATAGCACTCAACTCACAAGCAGGAGGACCCGGGTTCCATTCCTGGGCGGATCAAGGTGAAACCTTAGGCAAGTTTCCTTACTCCTTCCTACACACACGCCTCTGTTTCACTTGCAGTAAGTAGGAACCTGGTTGTTAGTTGATTGGTGGATCGTTTTATGGAGTAATAATCCCTTCAAAAAAATTGGTCACTCAATCCACAACTGTTTGTGGGGACGCTGCTGTGGGCAATTGGCTGCCGTGTTTTGCCCACAAAATATACAGTCAATTCACTTTACAATATATTCTGTGAAGCGCTTTGAGGCATCTCCATGACGGGCTAAGGCGCTATATCAAATGCACGGATTATTATTATTATAAGTTTGTATTCTTATTTGCGCCTTTATCTAAGCAAAATAAAGCGCACAGAGAGAAAGAGAGACAGAGAGAGAGCTTCACCTCTGTGGGCACGCTGACCTCTGACTCATGTAAAGTGTGTGCTAATCACGGGTTCTGTCACAAGAGTAGCTTGACTGGAAACAAAGCTGAGTTCTAACCTCACTTGTAACGTGTAGAATAAACACATGGTTTCCATCAAATTATGGCTTTAGAGGAACTGGCTTTTTCATCCAATTTACGTCTTCGATTCCCATTGAAGTCTAGGTCGCTCTCTACTTAACCCGCTACAATGAAAGACTCCAAGGAAACACTTGGAGTGAGAGGGCCATCACTGCTTCAAGTCAGTTTCAATCACCCCTTTGGCCTGTGGTTTGGTAATGACAAGTGTGAAGGTTTTTTGTTCTAGGATAACTATAGGTAATGGATTGCTCTCATATTGCAGGAAGGCAGGTGTCACTGTGTGTTTCAACAGTATTGCCTGACGCTTACTGTGAAAACATCTTGTAGTGTAGTGGTTGGCGCACTTAGCTCAGCGAGAGGACTCGGATTTGATTCCCAGGCGGGGTGAAAGCTTAGATAAGTTTCCTTATTCCACACACAGGCCTCTGTTTACCTAGCAGTAACTAGGAACCTGGTTGTTAGTCGATTGGCGGATCGTTTCTGGGGATAATAATCCCTTCCAAAAAAAAAGATGCGATATCTCAATCCACGATTGGGACACTGCTGTGCGCAACTGGCTGCAACGTTTTGCGCACAAAATACAGTCAACCCACTCTATAGTATATTCTGTGAAGCATTTTGTGATGTCTCAACAATGTGATAAGATGTTATATCAAATTCAAGGTTTATTATAACACTGGCAAGGGAAAACCCAGGGATGGAAAGGTGGTTGGGACAAGGTTGCTTGGAAGGAAGGGTGTTGGGTTAGAGTTTCATTGCGCAGTCCTGTAGGCAGTTTGATCACGGGGAGGGGGTGAGCCAAGAACAATTTCTGGATGTGTCTTTACTTTCATCGGCTGCCTATAAATTTCTGTTTTCTGGTGACGAGCCAACATTATAAATCCAGCTTTCAAACTCGTACTTTTGATGCTCACTCAAGGCTGGATTGTTTTATAACACATCGTGTGACACAAGTGTTGCCAAGTTACCCCCCCGTAAAAGAGAAACTCGCTGAGCGGGAGGGAGATCAGGAACAGGCTGATGATAATAAGCGCCTTTCATGTTGGAAATGCTTCACAGGGATTTAATGTTGAGTGACAATGTTTTGTTGGTGAACATGGAAACCAGTTCAGGACCTGGAATCACACAATCCCAACAGACCCAACAGTGAAGCTTCCAACATCAAAGCTGGGTAAGCTGACGCTCCAATACAGAGCTGTGGGGGGCGGTGGGGGGGATTTCATTGTCGGAAGTGCAGTCCTTCAGATGAGCCGTCAAACCGACCTCCCCGCCTGTGCCTGTTTAGGTGGACGTTAAAGAACCTGCGGCGCTATTCATTGAGACATTTCAAAGCGCTTCACAGAATATATTGTAAAGTGTAGTCACTGTGTTTTGTGAGTAAAATGAATCAGCCAATTGCGCACAAGCAGTGTCGCATAAAGAGTTGTGGAATGAGTGACCACAGTTTTTTAATGGGTTTGTTACGCAGGAAAGCAATCCACTAACCAACTAACAAGCGGGTTCCTTACTAGGTAAATAGAGGCATGTGGGGTAAGGAAACTTGCCTTGCGAGGCGATTGCCCTAACCAATAGGCTACAGGACTCCACAAGTCCTTGATGTCTGAAGGGCAGAGGTATCAGCTATCTTTACCCCGGTCGGCACTGTGATATTACAGACTGACAAATGATCATTTCCTGAGCGACTACTGCCTGCTGTTATACAGAGGATTAACCCCAGAGTTAGTGTGAATGTTTTTGTTCATATTTAACCCCGAATGACTTATTGTAATGGCCTCCAGATGCTTCCTGTTATCTCCACGTTAGCTAACAACCCCAGGAATTCAAGAGTTTATTTAATTAACGCATCGACATCTCATAACTTCCTGGAAG